AAGCTGTACTGTGTATACAACCAATCGCCACGCCTAAGGTTAGCCAGAATAACAATCTCTGGCACGTTAGTCTCGATGCTAGAGATGTCTATCTTTAACACATCACGCCTAGTCAGATGCGGACCTTGTGTACACGCGCTGAAATCGTATGAACTTAGTATTATATTTTTTGGCCTGAAAATACCATCTCCCGTTGGTGGTGTTCGTGCGATAAAACGCCCAGAGAAGGATCCATGTTTTATAGAGATAATCGTGGAATCACCCGTACGGGACACCCGGATGTTCGTGCTGTGGGAAATGAGTGACGGTGAAGGGCTGTTGTGATCGCGAAATTGTTGATCTATGTTGATAACCGGAGATATGAAATATACTTCATAACGAAAAATCATGCGGCCTACAGCAGGTTCGCCCGGGTAACGTGAACGTGGAATAATGGACCACACGCTAGGTTGGTATTCCCCATCCTTATCTGATGCACTTATGAATGGATGTGCCTTTGGCGAATCTAAATCTAATTTCAATGATATCGGTCCTCCTATGAAAGCGTTCTTCACAGGGCGTGTTGCCGCAGAGACTCTGGTACCTACGATTTTATAATACGTTGTTTTTAGCAATCTGGCACCCTCCGTGATAAAGTGAGTAACAGCAACAATCCTGCGATCACCGCGTCGATATTCTTGAACGTAAACATCTGATGGAAAGGCAACACGAGTTGTTGAAGGACCCAGAACTTCTTGGCCGTATGTGACAAGGCGTATAATGGGATCGTGTGAGTGAAACATCCTATAAATACCTCCATTCTTAAAAGTTCCTTCGAACACATCAATGCATGGGTTAAAATACGTACGAGTAAGGTCCAACACCAGAGATTGTATAGGGTATATTGATCCTATCAATAGTACCGCAAAAATTACAATGGCTTGATTGCCAAAACGAATTGCCATTTTACCAATGTTGTTAATTAGGTATCACCATCTGAAAAATTTATTTTACCCTTAATATCATCAATTCAAAATATTTATAATTTTTTTATTCATTACTGCTAGCGAAGAAAGTTTTAGCTGCATCTTCGACATTGACAGTCTTGATCACAGGTATATTATTATAGTGAGAATTCTGATACTTTAGCCTATGAAAATTAACTTAGTTGTTGATAACATCAGAGCGGCGTTGAAACGTAGGGTTGAGTGGCACGCGAAGAAATTCACTAACATTTCATAGGAAGGTCTACCGTCCACATAACGATTATTTGTTGCTTCGCTGTACAGCAATCGGTTGCTGCCGCTATATGAGCGTGGTTAATAGAATTTATTGTTAATTAGTTATACTTAGACGACCTTTATGGATAATAGCTAGCGTGGAGGGCAGCTCTCACTTTTTTTGCCATGGCCCGCAAGAGCCATTCTTCTGGTGATTGATTCACGGCACAATGTGGATAAATTTATTGTTACACATTTCGATAGCCCTTAAATCTTCACATTATTATTGGGTAAATGTTTGTGTCGGCGGTGTCTGGTTCGAATCATTAACTTCGCTGTATGGCATCTGCTGACAACAGGCGGTCACATAACAACAATTTCCAGGGCCACCAGCTACGTTGAATATTTCGGATACAATACAGCATAAGAAGGTGTGTACACGTATACGAACGTCATCTGATCGTCAACAACCGTTCAATCTGCATTTGACAGTGTTTGGCGGAAGTACGACGAACCCATGATTCATCTGACCACGTAAATGCCAAAAATAAGGTCGCTATGCAGTGACACCGCAGTTTGCTGCGGACTCGGGGAAAGGCACCGCTGCCATGACCCTCGGCATCTTTACGACTGCGTGCTACACTGCGCGTAAACCTCGCCTCTCTAAGACGAGAAAAAATAAACTAAGTAAGGTCGCTCCACATGCAACAGTCTATCTTCGGCGCACGCTCCATCTATCTGACACACACCAAAAAACATCAAAACGTTTTTTAGTATTATTTAAAGTCCGATGTCAGCCCTAGGGTGGCAAGTGAAGCGTGCTCAGAACCTCTGGTGCATAGCATCACCATGCATATTGGCGGTGATCACCTTAACGTTGGGGATGTTCAGCTTCAGGAAGCTCAACATATCGGCAGTGTCCTGGTCCACCTGGATCAGCGGCACGTCCACCTCAGAACGTTCAGGGACGAAGTCCATACGGCGTTCACGCTCTTCCTCCTGGAGCTTCAGCGAAATGCCACGAACAGGACCCTTTTGGATGCGACGCATCAAATGAGTGATGAACCCAGCGACCTTGTTGCGCATACGCTTAGATGGAATCTGGGCCACCTCTTCCGCAACCTTCTTGTTGAAGTGGAAGTCCAAACCAAGCTTCGCATAATACTTCTCTACGATCTGACGCGCAGCGCGCTTGACGGTCTTAGTACGTACTCGACCCTACGAAAGTGTAAAACATTGCATATTCAACAACAATGATAGATGACGGTTAACACAACAATACAGTACCTCGACAAAAGCAACAATAATGGCCACAGCAAACCAACAAAACGCTTAGGAGTACTACAGCGTACACAAACAAGTCATAATATACACATAGGTCACACAACTCACCATTATCACTCTAAAAGGATGCCTAACTCTTCAGGACTACGACGCTCACAAACACAATGTTGAACGACGATATACGACGCAGCCTCCTCATATATGGTCCCCTACAATACTACGATATTTAGCGATGCCATCCACTAGCGAAACGCCAGAACCCAGCAACGATCACGGGCCTGGAGCTCTGTGGGGACGCGGCCTGGCATCGGTACCGGCTCCGGGCAACCTACGGCCAGTGTGCACAAAATATCTTTGTAACTCCCAATATCTCGCTCTACAAGATATTGATGGGTCGTAATCGGCTCTGTGTGCAACTCTAGCAGCTGCCGCTAGTGTTCGCTCCGGAGCAACTGTGCCTTAGAGACTGTAGAGCACCGTATCTAGCTCCGATTTTTATCGTTGTGTTATTCATGATTTGATATATACCAGCCAGGGGGTTAAAACCATGCTGTAAACGAATAGGCGTCTATAAATTTACAATATTTCGGAAAGCGACTGGCGTGAGCAATTAGACAGCTACTAAGGTGTAGCACGCGGGTTCATTTTCATTACCTATTTTTGATTGCGCTGTGGTACGATGAAATTCACTCTAGTAGTCTTAGGAACTCCGTCTATTAGCTACTTGTGTAATGTTTTCATTGGGATGGATGTTTCACATTACACATTGCTGCTGAATTTATCTTAATTGATTTCTTTTTTATTATCGTACCAATTATCTTTGTACTCTTATCAGGGTCTATCTCCCTACTGTTTGAAATGCCGCCCTCATAATGATTTATATGGAGGTCAGTATGAACGGAGTGATGCCAAAATGGTAACACACTTATGAAAATTCCAATTTAAACAAATCTTTATTACTCTTTTCCGAGAGTTCATATTTTTTTTAATCTTCTAGTTTTAGCCCTTACGCAAAAGCTCCATTGCATCACCTGAGCTCGCGTTGTTTTTTTAGAAAATGCGTTCCATTATTCTACTTAAAGCGACACCGCCTGCTGTTGTACTCTATGCTAGCTAAAATACGTCTAATCCTACGTGTATGTAGGTCATCGGCCTGTCTTCTTTTGCATATCCTCCTACCCATGCGAGTCTAACAACATTGTGATACCTAGTGGCAGAATGTTCTTGAAGGATCATTTGGTAACCTCTTACATTGGCGGCGATGAGGGTTATGGATGCGTTTTCAGTCGACCGTTGGAAGATGCTGCTGCGATCTTACTCGACAAGCCCCTCTATTCCTACATCCACTACTTCTCACAGTAAGCATCAGCAACGATAGCATCATATACCGAACTATAGAAAGGCATGTATGATTTGCGCTACTTGTTTCACGTCGGTGGGATCCTTGATTGATAACATCAATCATCTTCTGAAACTGTAACTTAGCAAATTCTCTGATTTCAAAAATGCGCTACAGGGGACGTATGCAGCTTTCAAAAGAAGCGTGTGAATTGATTGCATCCCACGATCTTGTATGACCATATTTTGTGAGATTGATGACCAATACAGAGTGTGAACCGCACGGACGTTATACGTTGCGATCAATGTCAACACGCGTTCTGTTCTCGTAGATGTATGGAGGTGGTGTACATGTGACACAGTTTCATCTGTTTTCAGACTTCCTCCGCTATTCATAGATTTTTATGCCGAACAATGACGCGATCGGAACACAACGATTGGATAGCGTTTAAGAGGTTTCACAATGTGTCTGTTTTGTCCAAATTTTTACAGATATTGTTTAATGAACAACGAAAACCTGTATTTCGTCGGTATGGCACGCATCATAAGTATCTAAGAATCACAGGGTTGATATATGCGACGATGGTTGCAGAAGTTATATTCAATAAACGCAGTCTGGAGAATCTTATGGCTACTTTATCAGAGTACTACGGAGCTCCATGGTTAGTGGCTTATGACATTATACCTTCTTATTTTGGGCGGTGATGTGACTCATTACGGTATTCAATTGCTTCGCCGTGCCCCGAGCATGTGCGGAATATTAACGGATGTCTCCCAAAGACATTAACTAGTCACATCATTCACCTTCAGTCACTAAATGTTGATATTAGGCACGCTATACCGTCCAAAGGTGATGATTTGGGTCAAGTGGAAACTGACAAACTTACCAGGTTAGGCCTCCTCTATTGCAGACCCATCAACATATTACGTAGCGCTTCGGGAGCATTTAGATTATTGTTGAGCGCATTAAACCGGTTTAGAGCGTCAATGCGGACGCAAGCTGCGTCTAGCACGGATCGATTGTTCAGCTTGGACTACTACCTACATATGCTGGTGTGCATACAGAGTGCTTTATTCATCTTTTACAGGGTAAAGTCGAACTGGTGGCCGTTGAGATCGAGATTGAGAATCCTCTCAACGGGATGCTAGAGACTTTACTACGAGATTCTGCCATTAGATCTGCAATAGGCGAGGTTTGTCGGTTGAAGTGACGAATTGAGCAGCGCAGCAACTTGCCCAGATCAAGCGTACACTATACGGTAATAATTCCACGGATAACACTATACAACCTATCAGGTGTAGACTCCAGCAATCCGGAGGTTCATTCGCAGTGCGTTTAAAACTGTCTGATATCGTTGCATGGCACTGCAGCGACCTTCAGTTACCGGACATTTTGGGAGTGGGAATTTATGAATCACTGTCACGGCTGAACCACTCATGCTCTCCTAACCTGGAGTTAGGATATAAAGATGATAATATAGCGAGGGTAAGTCTTCTTATCATCGATCAGTTATACTGCATCTAGGCACGGCTGCTTCGTCCTGTTGCGGAAGGTGAGCAGGCTACCATTGCATATGTCGACGTATCATTGCCACTGGAAGATCGCCGTCAGGAGCTTTGGAATGTGAGTGCAACGTAATACATGTGCTGATTGTTGTAGAACTATCGGTTCACGTGCCGCTGCCCAAAGTGTCTAGCTGACGATGCAGAGAATGCCACTGATAGACTTTGCCAAACCTTTAAGTTTTAAAATTTGAGTTGCACATGATAGTTTTTAAGGAATTTGCAAAGTGGCATAGGGAATTTCGAATACATGTTAGGACGCAGGCGTTACACACCAGTATCGACGTCGGCATGAGATACGAGAATTGCTATGTTTTCTAACGGTTTATGGGCTACTTCGAGTGCCTATTGCGATTAGGCCACGCGTACCATGGTCGATCAACCTGTTGTTTCTTTCGACAGATTTCTGGAGGCGCTGATTTCTGATCGCATTTTGGATCTCAACTACGATGGTATTCTGCCCCTTTTGGTAACAAGTGTCAAACGCAGCATATGCGAAGCGGCGACAACACCGTTTGGTCCACGGTCGACTGCTGCGGCCGTCTTCCTCAAAGCATCGCAGCATAAGGATACGTATCGGCGGAGCGTCCTAGGTCCCATATTCAAACCTCAGGAAGCACGTAAATACATCCAACAACGCCATACAATCGTTCAATGGTTCAAGCGTGCGAAACAACAGAATGCCGAGCGAAAGCCCGCCGAGTCAGACGGCGTCGACTGTCTAATTCGAATGTTGAACTATTCGAATGATTTCCAATACCCCAGTGAGGATACTACAGGTTAGTTCTTTGCATCATTTTTCTAATGTTTCCTTTTGTTTGTGACGTTTTAATTTAGTCGGTGTATTAACGTTTTGTACTCACGTAACTGCAGATATCCTTTCAAGCCGCGTCATTAAAGGCGATCAACTGCTATTCACTGATTCCGATACAGATGGTGCCTCGGATACATATACAGTTGACACGGTGGATGGAAACACTTCCGACGGTGCAACTTGTGCCGTGGAACCGGATGTGACAAAAGCAGAGGGCTCATGCCGCGATGATGCCTCCATAACAACATCGTATTCGCATACAGGTATTGCGTCTACGAAAGATAGATGTATGACAGCAATACCTTCTATCCATATATCTGCCCAAGAAGCATCGATCGATCCTGGAGGCATCAAAAATGGCATGTTGGAATCATCAACCGACAATGCAAACATTTCACATCTCAATAACACAGGACATAAAGACTGTAATGCAGATGGCACGTCGGAGATGGAATTTCGTGGCGGAGAGGACACCCCGATGGAGCTCGATGGCGAGTCGTTAAATTGCGGCATTGCTAATCTTAATGAAGGGTCTAGCGAATCTCATGAGCAATGTCTACTTGATAAAGCCACCAATGCGGATAACGTGAAATCTGAAGACTCACCAGTGAAGGACGCCGCGCCCGAGGCTAAGGTAATTAAATACTTCTGTAACACATCTATCATTTTTTATGGCGGCGCGAATCTGGTAACACCTTGCTACTACTTCATCAGCCAATTGCTGTCGAAGCCCATAAGTGAGCTCGTTGCGTATCCTGACCACTTGCGCAGTCGGCACTCCTTCGTTCTTTGGCAGAACACTCACCTGCAGCATATATGTTGCCGAGAGCTTCGATTTGCATTTTTGAACAGTGAGATAACAACTGCGAAACTCACTGAGATCCTATTAAATAAGAAAAGCAAGTGTTGTATATTAGAAGATGTGGATCTCTTACCAATGGAGATACAGCTGGTGATAAGCAAGCAGGTGAACAAGAACGAGCGCCCGTTCATTTTGTTGACTCGCCGCATTAGTCAGATATCTGCTAGACTACGGAGTTTTTCGTTCAACTTTCGTGTTCCACCAGTTGATGTTGATATGTTGATTGAGGGGGCACTGTCTAAGAAGCTCTGTCCGACCCTTTTCACAGGTGTGGCACGCCACTCTATCATCGAGTTTGCAACTCGCGCGCGTGATGATTTGCTTTGGTTTTATCACTCAATGGTTAATCTACGCGAGAAAAAGGCTATATCTTTGCGACGTGATATCTTGCCGTTGAAAAGAGTCGTCCATTGTATCGCATTCCAAGAAAAGAATATGAGATCAATAATGCTGCTAAAGGATTCATTAACGAACTTAATACTCACGTACATTCGTAATCCGTTTTTCTTTTGGTTGGAATTACTGGATGAATTCGATGTGGTTGGGAGGGCACAGCACCTGAAGGCTAAGGGAGGATTCTACCATCTCATTGCAGAGGTAAGCCCATATTCGTCGGAAACACATTATATGAAACGTTAAGTTCCGGCGTATTCCTCACGTTACCTTTTATACTGCTGTTTTGTGTTTCGTGTCGCGTTTTATAGCATCGTACATGTATGTTACCTTCGATCATTAGCTGGTGTCCATATTAGGCAAATATACTCGCGATAGTCGTGACACATGATTAATTACCAATCGAAGATATGGTATGCGCGGTTTGACTGTTGACGCCACGCCTTTACGTGCTTTTATTAGAATTCCCTCTAAGTAACGAGCCACATTACACCTTTGATTTTGCTTTATATTGTCGCAGAAATCAACACTTCTGGCAAATGTGTCAGATCCACGCGTCACACTTGAGACAACATTTTTGGAGATGATGGACATGGTTAAAGGCGATGGTCCAGATCATCTGTAATGTGTCTCCACGCGGACTACTGCAACACATCGCGCTCGTAGTCTTCATCATATTCAATTTCCATATGCGCTTTGGCTGCATGACATTAACACTTAATTTTTAACAGACAACGTGAAGCTGCTTTATTTAAACGTATTGCAAACACAAAGGTATCACTTGTACTGATTTATAGGTATTTGTGTTACGTAATATGCAGACATTAACGCCCATACCACATATATTCGCATATAACACACTTTTGGGAGAGTACAGCAGCAGTACTATGCATTCGAAATTACCTCTCCTTTGCCGCTTGCCTTCGCTCGCAAGTTCTTCCTCCTTTTCACTTTCAACTTCGACATCCTGCTCAAAATGATAGAGTTCACCGTAAGTCCCCTGTGCATTATTATGGTTGTATGGGTATACCGTACCCTGGAAAGGCGGCTTAGCAGCTCTTGTTCGATAGCATTGTCCAACCTTGCTGCGATTTCTGCTTTCTTCTCACGTATTAGTTCACGTCTCTCAGTCTTCTTTTTGATTGGCGCCAGCTTTGTCTTTTTCACAAGTGCCTCCCTTCTCATTCTGTTCAATACCTCTCTCCACCGTTTTAGCCTCAGTCGGCACTTTTGAGTGAGGTGTGCTGCGATACCAACTTTAGTCGCCTCATTGATCTGCGATAACGATTCTGCTAGATTCTTTGATAGTTTTATGCGTTCCCACTGTTCACGGGGCGTGTGACAGCGTTCCGCGGTCTTCATACATAGGAACAAGGTCCCTGTGCACATATATAGCGTTTAGTCGATTCATATGAAGCAACCACATAGAAAATGTAACCATAGGCACCCTTATATCTGACACAACGAACATATGGATTCACTTATAGATAACAACCTAGTATACCGACCTTGATCTTCGATGACAGTGGCGTAGTTGCTGTTGGCTAGCGGGCAACTGCCGCGATTACACAATCCAGTTACATTGTAGGCATTAGTACAAAAGTCCTTCGTGTCGGTGCTGCGTTTTAATATTGAATTTGAGTCAATGCGTCACTTACCCTTTCCTGAAGGCACAAAAATCGTCCTTTATAAGCTGCCATACGACATCATCACTCATTATGTTTTTTAGTGAACATGGGTATTTTATCACGGCTGATTTTTGAACCCTTGCGTCCAAATGTATATCGTTTGATGTCGCAGGGTCGTCAAATCCACGGTTACGAACAGGCGGTCAATATAAACGGTCCATAGCCGTTGGTTAATTAAACTGAATTTTATCAGCTGGTTCATAAAAAGGTGACTGTTTGTTTTGACATTTGCGAAGATGTGTATTTCCCGTGGTGTTAGCTATGTGTACTAGGGCAGGTAGGCGGAATAGCACCCCTTAAACTACGTAAGATAACGTCTTCTATTTTAAATACACAGTGGTTAGCTCTATTCGAAATACTTGTTTACCAATATCCAGCTAGAATTGAACACGGGCACGTCCACTCATCGCACAGGATTATTCTTGACTTCAATCGCAACACTGTGTCGTTAAAGTCATACAAAAGGGAGACAAATGTTATTTTTTATAAGTCTCACGGTCATATGCTGCAATTTTAGACACTTTGCTATCGCCGAAACAGCAGAAGGTTCTTGAGTATTCCACGTTGAACAAATTTTTAAAACCTTCCTGAATTTCAAGATGTTCGGCTTCAGCACACCTCAGGTGCCTTCTAGCGCTCTACCTCCATTGCCTAAAGATGACAAGAATATAACGGGAAAGTGTAAGCTTGTTTCGCTATTGTTTCCTCTCATTGCGCATAGTCGATCCTACAGCACTGGAGCGTGGAGCGAAGGCTTTGAAGATGTTGGACTCTTCTCCCAATGCTAACAAGGCTTTCGAACTAACTAAACTACAGGAATTGACGCGTCAGCAGGAGATTCAGAAGGAGATCCAGCAGATGCATTTACGTCAGACAGAGCTGGGTGCACAGAGAGCGCGGGTAGAGAGCGACGAGAAGCGCAAATTGATGGCCCAACAGCAAGAGCAAGACCGAATAACCGCGCAATACAAGGCCAAACTGGAAGCTGAAGCTTACCAAAAAAAGTTGCAGGATCAACGTAGACAGAATGAGGAATGGTTGCAACAACAGCACCAGCAATTTCTACGTCAGGAGGAGGCTCGTAAGAAAACGGAGATGGAGATTCTTAACATGCGTAAGGCCCAGATCCGTGAAGAGAAGGCCCTTGAACGCGAAAATATGAAAGCACGTGTTCAGGAAGAGGGTCGCGTACGAATAGAGCAGGAGCGAAAAAATTTTGACATCCACGTTAAGATGATGAAGGAGCGCTCAGTGGAAGAGCGTAAAACGAAACTCGAGTCGCTAAACGTAACATTTTCGTCGTTAGGCGCCGCGTTTTCGTCACTATTGGCTGATAAACAACGTCTTACGGCCGGGGTAGGGTTGTGTTTGTCTGGCTGAGCATTTATGCAGGTAACGACTCTAAGTGCTCTTGCGTTGGGAATTTACGGGGCTAAGAATGGAACGCGTTTAGCTGGAACTATATTGGTATTTTATGCTTATGTATATATGAAAAAGTCATTGTAGGAAAGACGTTTGGGTAAACCGCCTTTGGTTCGAGAGACATCAAGATGGACATTAATGGGTGGCATAAGGAATATTTTTAGTACATCAATCTTTTCGAAGAAGCCGAATCCAATAAATAGTATAGTTCTTGACAATACTTTGCATCAGCGCCTTTCTTGGACAACCAATTCACTGGTAAATGCAAAGCAGAATGGAACCCCGTTTCGCAACTTGCTTCTTTACGGCCCCCCTGGAACCGGCAAGACTTTGTTCGCCAAAACGTACGTATGATTTAACGCTATTTGTGTCATTTTTGTCAGTGTAGCTACGAAAAGCGGTATGGATTACGCAATAATGACCGGCGGTGATATTGGTCCCCTTCAAGAGGAGGCAGCCAGCGAGATTAACAAGTTGTTCAAGTGGGCAAAGAAAACCAAAAAGGGGCTTATACTTTTCATCGACGAGGCTGATGCGTTTCTGCGCCAGGGGCGGTCTTCCGCCCTTGGTATGTCCGAAAACATGAGAAATGCGCTTTCAGCGTTTCTTTACCATACCGGTACAGAGAGCAAAGAGCTTTGTCTGATACTCGCTACTAATGAGCGTGATATACTAGACAAAGCGGTGATTGACCGTATGGATGAGCAGTACGAGTTTGGGTTGCCCAAGCTACAGGAACGCAAACGCATGATCGCTTTATTCATGAACCAGCACGTACTTACCCCAACTAGGAATGGTAAGAAGATCGAGGTAGACGAGAGGATCAATGACGAATTTTTCGCCCGGGTTGCTGATCGTACAGAGGGGTTTTCAGGGCGTCAGTTGTCCAAGTTGTGTATTGGGATTCAAAGTGCTGTTTTCGGTTCCGGTGCGCGGAAGCTTACCCTTGAGCTTGCTGAGACAGTAGTTGATTGGCACATCAAGGAGCAGCGCAAAGGACTTACCAAAGCCAACGAAGAATCGATGCAACAGCAATGAGACTGACTTAATTTTGTTCGCATATACTGGTTATATACGGTGTAAACAAACATTACCATTGAGCCCAATGCACTGTCATTTCAAAGATGTAAGCTATCATGTGACAAACACGTTTCTTTAGTAATGCTGCTGTTGGTTGATCAGGAAAAGAACATCTTCCTTCCACCGTGGTATGCGATGCGCCGGTTTGAGATCCAGATCTATCAGAGAAAACCTGAAGAAATTTGGTCCATTTGCAGCGTTATCGGGTTGACCATGGAATAGTACGTTGAGAACGACAGAAATATCCATCGCGGTCCTTCCCCCGAGGTATAATTGAATCCAACGTTTAGCCGCGCCAATAAGCGCGGTGGACTTCTTGATCAGTACCCTTTCCATCTTCTCTCCGGAACATGTAGTGCCAACTATTGGAGATGTTTTACCCCGGACAACACTTCCTTTGGGGTTGGCAGGTCGGTACGTCACACATCTATGTATCTGTGTTAACAAGCATTCGAGTTCGTTAAACACTACCAGTTGAACAGCTTCATCATTAGAACATTGTCTCTTCCACAATCGCCCTTGCGAATATATGGTCAATTTGTGGCACAATGCTTGAGCATCGTTATGGAAAACTGGGAGACTACGATTGCCTTTTGTGGTCCTTAGTCGTTCCATAGAAGTGTTTCGCCGTGACGTATATATCATAATCCGCCTGTTTGCGAGAAGCATCTTCAATACATTGCATAGTGAGCATATTAACCTGCGGCCGATGAAATTGAATGCCCTTTGTATTCTGTATGCATTGGAATGGTTGCACAACATGAGGTCCAGCAGCTCTTTGGATAGGCACAAAAGATTATTCATGATGGTGCTAAACTTCACTTTACGTGCTGTGTCCTCGCCAGCATTTCCCTTTGGCACAGTCACTTGCGTTAGTAATCTGCTGAGTAAGTATACCACGTGCGCCACAACCTGCTGACCTGACGCCAGTGCCTGTAAATTTAATACACGCGTCATGGTCAGCTTATTTTCAAGCAGACACCGCGCAACGTTGTCCATTGCATAAGTGTCGCTCAACAATACCCCTGGGTCTACCTCGATGTTGTCAATGAAAATGCGTATATTGTTTTGAGGAGCCCGTGCAAGGTAATCCAATTCCTTTTTAACGTCGTTTAGTGTCATCCGAAATAATCTAATGGGTGAATATTTCGATAACGTAAGATTTCCAGGGTCTCTTTTCAATATGCTTGCAGCCACTTTTGGGGTATCTGAAGGTATAATGTTCTGGTACCTAATTCGTGCCTTGTACGGTTGCGACATCTGAAACAAGCTGGGTAGTCCGCTGAAGTTGAGTAGACCACACTTTGGCTTCAATTCCACGGAAATATTCCGGTAATGTTGCATTCCTGCTTGCAACAGCGTCCTACCTAGTGACATACATACCGCAAGATTGAATAAATCCTCCTCCAATATGGCCAATTCATGTTTTGAAGGGTCATAAACCACTTTCTTATTTCCCAATATGCATATGGCCCTAGGGTCTACGTCTACTGCAGTTTGCAGGGCCACTTCCTTGACGTGGTAGATGCGCTTCTTGTAGACTATTTCTGTGTGAAACATATTGACCTTTTCGCGGTTTACAGAGGCAGTAACATCTCTTGATACTTTAGTTCTATTACGCCGACACGTCGCGTTTTGCGTACAGGTTTTGTAGTCGTCCAACAACTTTGACAAATGTGAACGTAGCCTATCGGCCACAGTGCGATCGACAAGACAACATACTCGCTTAGGCGCGCATGATTCTGCGTTGTTGCGATATCCCTCTTGCATAAACAAGCACAACTCATCATGGTACAGCATTCGGCGCATGATAGTGGCGGAATCTGCCTTACGGGGCAGCTTAAGGACATAGCACTGATGCCACGGCACTGAGTAATCATGACTTTTCTTAGCGAAAATAATATAAAACACAAAACAGATCACAACTTCAAGGCGTCTCAAAGCATATACTGTGAGTTACAGATAAAAAAGTTTGTCTATGAGTATGCGGTATCAAGTCCGTCACTTCCGCTGTGATGAAACTATCAACCACAGCGACTTCTAGAGTATGTAGAAACAACGAAAGCACTCAATAACGACACATCACCCTATACTTCGCTTTTTATACCTTTTGGTCGGCATATTACGACTAAGGCGAATAGGTAAGTATAACTCACCCGAGCGATCCTCTGGAGACTTCCATGAATCACGATCGATTCTGTAGACGAATTGGCAATTGCCGGCACCCAAAGGTGACAGTCTCATGTTTCCGTTAGCCCGTCGTCGGTCTAGATACAATCAGAGGTGCAGGCCGCCAGGCGCTGCGCCTCTAATCGTAAACGGACGACTCTGGCGGCTCTGTGTCGCTGCCAGCGACTTACGTGTGATTATTTAATTGTATAGTCATTGATTCCAGCGCGTTTTAACACATTTACGTCGCGAAACCAACTGGCGGTGTACGGTGCTGTACCCTCCACGAGATCGCGCACTGGTCGCTCTAAAGCTGCAGCTATTCCCACAAATTTCCAGATTCTGCGTTTACACCCAGTTACATTGCTATCACAGTTCAAAAAATGACTGTGGAATTGTAAATCAGCGTTGTGTAGGATTATTTGCCAAACCAAGACAGTGATTCATCTAAGCCCCGCGATGCTTGGCAAAAAAATCCCTGCAGCCTGTTTTTCCCACCCCCTTCTGTACACATGTGATGTCGAAAAAGGAGTTGCATGAAATATCGCGGAAAATTCGCGGCAGAAGGTATACTGTGTCATTCTTTTTTCCTTATATTGTTCATTTGTAAGCCACTGCCGTTACCCGTAAGATGGGCCGGAGTTACGCGTGCGCGGAAATATCAAGAGACCACACCAGTACGCAGAAGTTTTTCATGGAAGGGTGCCACTGGCCAGGCGAGGAGCGATCTCCTATCCGCTACGGTTTTGACTGGTGTTCTGATGGGCACTGCGAAACTTCTTTCAATGGCTCCAATCACGCACCTCCTGCGTTATTTCGCACATCTTGCTTGTACCCTCACGATGCCGGGGTTGCTTACCCGGAAAATTCGTCCGACACATGTCCTATACAGGATACATCGAAGCGACATTCAGACGGAGTATTAGTTGAGGATCGCCAAGGTAAGCGCGTTCGAGTGGTTTCCAAAGGTAAACTACAAGTTTCGGAAAAAGCGCTACGACGTTTTGTTTACCCACATCACAACTGGCCTATCTCCTCTGTAACATGTCCCTGCGGCGTGGTCGGCGGGTACCCAAAGGTGCCAATATACTGTGGCACAGGGAACCATGGACATTATCCCCTGATGAGTCGTGTTGCCGAGAAAGCTTTTCCCTATCCTCAGCTGAAAGGTGCGAACACCTGCCGAGTGCCAACAGCCTTCTCCGATGCTTCGGGTTGTGCTCGTTTCTCCAACATCCATGGCAGTGGCAAGGAGAGCGTGGTTGTGTACCTCAACACCGATCAAGAGATTGTGGATGTTCATGGTTGGCGTTATGTGGACACCTTGGGTGAAGGGTCTTATGGGAAGGTGTACTTTGTTCGTAACGAGTTTACCGGTGAGGAGTCGGCTTTCAAGCGTATGCTGCTGCAGAAGACCGGTGGCATACCCCCAGCTATACTGAGGGAGATTCATTCACTGAAGATTCTAGACCATGAGAATGTGATAAAGCTTAATAAGGTGTACATCGGCGACTGCCGGGTCTATCTAAGCTTTCCCCGCATCGTTGGTGGCAACTTGCGTCAGTTCTTGGAGAAACACTATCCGAACGGCATGCCCCCTGAGGAGGTTAAAGCGATTACTAAACAATTAATAGAGGGGATCGCACACATTCATTCGAAGCGTATAATCCACCGAGACATCAAACCAGAGAACATCCTAGTTCAAACTGATACGCCACCTTTGAATGCTGATTCGCAAGACACGCCTAAAAATGACGTCACCCCTGCGGATCCCAGTAATGGGTCTCAAGGTGATGCAGGATCATCGCAGTGCGGCGGTTCAGGCGGTCACCCAACCATCAAAAGTGTGATGATCACGGATTTTGGCCTCTCCAGAACCCACAAGTCAGTTGATCAGCCGTTGTTCCACAACGACGATACAAAACTTATGAACAGCCCTATGTCCCCGGAAGTGGTTACGCTTTGCTACCGCCCACCTGAGCTTTTGCTTGGTGACTTCCACTATTCGTTTGCGGTTGACATCTGGTCTTTGGGTTGCGTCTTATTTGAATTGATAACTGGCAAGCCTATCTTCGAGGAGCGAACGGAGTTTGCTTTGCTCATCGCGATGTTTAAGAGGTTTGGCACCCCTACGGAGGAGGACTGGCCTGATCTGACATCTTTGCCTTTTATGAATCCGGTACTACCGAACATGAGGTCAAATATGTCGCTTTCTGAGTGTGTTGGCAAGGTCGATGGAGAATGCATGGATTTGCTTGAGCGTATGCTCTCTTTGAGTCCGCAAAAGCGCATTGCAGCTCGTGATGCTCTGCAACATCCGTGGATAGCAAAATGCTGAATTTTTGAAACATTTAAAATCATTCTCCATTTCCTTTTGCGTGTTTTGCATTTGTTGGTATAGTTCTTGATACTCCTGGGAGTATCAACTTTGCGTTGCACAAATTGCACTGGTAGGTCTGCATGGTCTTATGTGGTTATCCATAATTTGCTTACCATAACAGTTTTATGTGATATGACGTGGGCATCTTGCAATACCAGCCCCCTTTTCTTCATTTTTTGCTGCTCACACTTTTTCCTGCCTGTATCCCATTGTTGTCGGTATGTTTTTACCTTACATTTTTTACGCTGGCGTGCGTTACTCCTCTGGCATCTTACTGTAGTGTTTACTCCGTAAGTGCGTACCACCCCGCAGTTGAAACAAAGATATAATCGCTGATTTTCTGGTACACCTATACGTATTTTCTGGTCGTTTCTACGCGTTGCTTACTCCCACCGATATCCTTGAGGTGGCACAGCGCCTGTCGCCTAAAGCATAATATTCGGGGAAATATAATGTAAGCAGACATATATTAGGTTTGCACAGATGTACCGATGTCAGATATACGCTTTTTCTTATTCATCTATGGTCATTTGCCTAGAAGGACTGTGCCACTCTGTGTATGCTAGGGAGATAGGAATCTCACTACAGCCCATTTGCCGTAGATTCAAGTCTTTTGGAGCACTAGTGTGTTGCAACGGAAGCTGAGGTAAATGCGATAACGTTGCGCATCGTTAACATGCTATCCGACATTCTGTGTTTCAAACAGATGAATGTGGAAACATGTACACTCCGTATATACGTCACCTTAAACTTTATTTGCCTTCGACTTACATCAGAGCATGGGATACTGAGGGTATCGTATTTGAGAGTTGAACTGCTGCCTCTGCGATATACTGTACCCGTTTTTCCAGATTCTCCAGGGATTCGGTACCTGCCCCGTCCTTGTTAGACTGCATTTATAATTTTATGTGCTGCTGTGCTAGTTTGTTCTATGTTATTACTAGACTCGTTGTACCTGTAGTGTCGTACGGTGGTATGTTGTGTTCCGGTATATAATATCGTGCTGAAGCTCTATTTTACGTCCGTGTTGTCAAAAATTGATATTAAATATCTTTACACACTATTTAATAGCAACTATATGTGCAGCAGTGTAGAAGCATGTGATCTTAATAAAGTCCTTCCTTTGAATCTGCTTGGCTTGTTTCTGTTGTTTACAGCTTCAGAACATAATCGCAATAATGGCGCACGATGGCGTTCTACACATAGTTGTAAAGATTCTCGCTGACTTGGGCCAGCAGAAGACTTTGAAAAGGTTACGGAAGGAGACCGGAGATGACACGGTAGGTAGCTGATCTATTATTCATATTCCTTTTTGGTTTCGAGAATACAATTCAAATGCAGTTACGTCCTGAGAATGTACCGGAAAGTGTCCAAAATTTCAATTTTAACGCATTGGTTGCTGGTTTGACTTTCAAGGATGAGCCCACAAAACCTGATAGTGAGGACAACGCAACAACTGAAACTCCCCCGTTTACACCAGGAACCAGCAGCTGTGACACATCAACTGTCGGTTTTAACGATGCAGAATGCAAAAGTCCGGTAAAATCCAAGACCAAAAAAGAGGCTACAGGAGGCAGAGCTGCGGAAAGCAAGGGTTCGTTGTAAGTATTGCGTGTCCTCAACATCATCATAGGACGCTTCAAACGTATTCAAGACGATGTGTGGATGAGCCGTATCGGGAAAGATGAGCTGAAAGAGAATTCGTACATGATGAAGAACGACGAATTTTCTTTAAAAGCTGCACAAGAGCTCGTCCAGGTAAATTGCGACGTTTACACTTTTGGGTGAGCGATGTTGTGGCTTGAATGAACGCTACATTGGTCTATGATATCTTACATTGTGCATACTGGGATTGTGATAATGACAGTGAAGAAATGTTTGATTGATTTGCCTATTGGTCGTTATCATATAATCCGTATGGTAACCGAGACCTTTTAATGGTCCTACATCGTGTCCATTTATATTCTAATGCTAGACACAATATGTACTTGTGCAATAATATTGTTGACATTACCTTATAGGTTAAGGGCAAAAACTTCCGTACCGAAAAGATGAAGAAGAAGCGTGCCTCGTGGAAGGGTTCAGGTATGTTAGTCGTTTTGCGATAATATGATAACATTGTTGCACTTGTTTCTTGTTACACATATTTGACGTCCAATCGCAGGCGAAATTACGACACATGTGAACTCAATCAAGTTTGATGACTCTGATAGCGAATGACTGTCTCCTATCCTTTGCCATCCGGCTAGCCGATAAACACATGTTAATATGTTCAAATTCACACATGGTGCGTAATCTCGCTTTATACACTTGCTTACTGGTATTTGTTCTACGATTATTGTACCTTGGTAGGCACGCTACGGGGGCATCACATAGCGCTTGACCATCTACTGTATATCAAACATTATGTTCAAGATTATATGCGATATTCACATGGTGTCACTTTAAGCTTAACTTTACATAGTAAGTGTCAGTACGTGGGTCGCCTGCCCTATGTACCAAGGCGCCGCCATCTGTTCCACAGCACTAGAATACGTTTTCTTTGTAATGGCATTGGTTTCCACTTGGACCTTCTGACGCTTCACATTCCTTCCTCCTTGATACATTTTGTGATACCGTTCTGCGTTTTCTATCTCGGGGAGAGATTTTCTATTCTCCGTTTCCGCTTCGATACCCTTCTTTGGCTTTAGGATTTCGAAACACCTGGATAGTATTGCAGTATATAGCGGCAGGAAATGTTCGGGGTTGATTGTTTTGTCCACATATCCATCTAGAGTTTCTTTAATCATAATTTGCGCCTCATATGATATGCTAAATAATCCCGTTTCCCGGACACACTCCAATATGTCCTCGAAGCAGGCCTCATATAGCATGACCATCGACAACTGTACAATTTCTTGACACGTGAAGCACTTGAATTCTTCCATCTTCGAACCACTTTTAACGTACCTGTCGTGTGCTTGTACATGTTTTTTGTACAATACCGACAGTATCAGTGGAACAATAGGGAAGAATAGCATTCGTTTGGCTGCCAACGGTAGATGCGACATTCCACACATTGCACCATAGAGTACTGTGAGTGAACAATTTTCATCTAACACAGCTCTTTTGTATAGCGTCATGAGGTATTGATCAATACCCTCGAGTCCCGATTTCGCGTCCCTTAGGCTTTTAGCAATGTTACCCAGCGTCTTGGCTGCCAATCTTCTGAGACAGAGATTCCTGTGAACTGATTGCAGGTCTTGTTCTTCATCATGCTTCAATATTAAGGTAAGTAGTGGCGCAACAAGCTGATGTACATGATAATGGATTTGTATCTTATTGTTGGCTGTAATGGCCTCCGCAAACTTCAGTATGGCTTCCACATCACCGGTTGACCTTTCTATCTCTGAAACAAAAAATGCAGTAAGTTCCGGTAGTAGTTGGTCAAGTGCCGGAGAGTTCTTCAATATTGACAGTACTTTCCCGAGCTGCACGTGAACCTGATGATCCATTGAATTGGATGCTCTTTTGACCGTGTTTTTGATTTCCTTGAGGAAGAACCTTTGTTCTTTCGTGAGTATGTGTTCCACCTTGGGAATGGTGATAGTGGGAAACTTTGATGATTTGTCATCAGCGCTTTTGTCCGTGGGCCTGTATATCCTGTTAGTTTCAGTTAGAAAGAGAAAGTGAATAACACACAACAATTGCATTTGACACCGCTGCCTACTTACCCTTCCGTGGCGTTACCCAGGTGACGTTGAAGAGAATCCACAATTGCCATTTCCACTGCGTTGCCACTCCCAGCGATACTTAAGTTCATTGGAAGTTTAGTTTTTGCTACAAGATTTTCCACTTCAGAGAGTTGTTTGTTTGCATCTTCGGAATTCAGAAAATTCACATGGTCGAGTGCAAGTCGTACCATTTGACGTTTGGCTTCCTGTTTGAACTCTTCGGTGACACATTGTGTCATATTACTTGCCAAAGCTGGGACATTGCCATTGACAAGCATCCAGTGTACAGTTAATCCTGGTTGTGCAGGTATGGCCTTTTGCATGTCTCGCGTGACAATATCTGTAAGTTTTTGTCGTCCCCAGCATCTTTCATCCATAGCATTTTTCAGTGTTGACTCGCGTTTTACGACTCGGTTACCCTTGTATAACTTGGATGATATGACATAGCGGTAATCGTAACAATTATTGTAACCGTCAAGACTTTCCATTCTGAGTGTTCTGAGAGCATCCCTGATATCGTTTGGCAGCAGCATCGGTTGTGTATCAACATATCTGCAACTTTTGATCATGAACCTATGTGCCATTTGTATGATTTGTTTCATCTTGAACTCGACCGTATTGGCAATGAGTGCAGCTGCTTCATCGCTGAGCGTTACTCTGTCGCTCTGGAAAAGTGGGTGTGTTTTTGAGAGCGAGAGTATCGCTTCTGTTGGTATTATTGTGGTCCTTTGGCTCTCCATTTTAATCCACGCGCTTCAAAATTGATGAGTTTAAAGGATCATAGTCCCACCTTTCAAACTTGTATTCAAGCTGAGTTTGTCCCTCAGGGACGAATAGAGTGTACTTGATCTGTTTTTTATTAACTTTTTGAGACATTGCAGAAATACCTGTTGTCGAATGTTTCCAAGAGTTGTAGAATGTATTCCGTATCCGATTCTTCGAGATTATCTTGTTTTGGCTCCAGGGCGTGTATTATGTGCTGAATCGTATCATCATCAATTGCTCCAAATTCTTCTAAGGCCCTTACAACCTTATTCAATTTTTTGTGATCCCATTTATTGTTTGCTAATTCTATTTTTGCTGCAAACCAATGAACCGATCTAACATAAAATATCACAATGGATAACATTACATCAAAATGTGGCCTAATAAATGCCACGTTACTCTTAATCATACAATATCTCATGGACATTTGCGTAAAGCGGAAAACAAGTTTCCAGGATTGCAAGCTGCATGGTCACGCCAACGTACCTTTGTTAACAACAGCCTTTGATACTATGCCCGTGTACTGTGTCGTTGGCAGTTTTGGCAGGGCGGTAGTCAGCTTGTATATCAGTGTCCTGTCCTTGAGCTCTGTAACCTTTGACGTTAGCTCACGTTGTAGCTGCCTCACACATTCACAATATATGCGAATATGTTCTTCCGAAGCTTCCTCTATATGGTGTTCCGCTTCTGCCTTCCGTCCCTCTTGTGTTTGTATTCCTTTTGGTATGTGATGGGCGGCGTAGTAGAGCAGTTCAACAATTTGGTTCGTGTTTTGTATATCAGCGGCTTTTGACCCAACGAATACACGTGTTATACTTTTAATAGCATGTGTATCATGTAGTTCGTAGAACTTTGTGAGAAAGAAGAAGAGCAGTTCCCTCCTGTATCGTTCGACGCTTGCGATGATTTTTGAAGTGACTGGCCGGTAGAAAGGGTTTCTCCTTATTTCTGCTATTCCTTTACGATCTGTGTTTTCAAGTATTTTTTTTAGTATCGCTGCTGAGTCGAATGGCGACAAATACTGTATCCTAGAATCCGCCACTTGCTTCAGGACGTTTGGCGTCGATTGTTGAAGCAAGCTTTTGTAGATTGACTTTTCAGCACATTTAGATGTTATTCTATCTATGTATGGAAATATACATCGTGAACTGTATTTCATGTCCCATTTACTCTTAGATTCATTGGCACTAACGTATCTGCTGTACACGTGCCCTTTGAATCCGATTGTGCGGTCTAAAGGACGCTATTTTTATTGCCCGTGCAGTGTGGACAAGCGTCCTTAAAGCTGTAGCTCCTTCACGGCCAGGTTTTGATCGCGTCCGACGGCCGGCCCCGACAAACCTCTAATGTGTATGGTTGTTAATTTACATAGGCAGGCACGACCAGATATTGTATATCAAAATATTATAGTACAGGCATTGGTAATTTCAAGCTACTTTTGCTATCTTCCTTTGCCTGATATACTTCGAGGCTAGCTCCTCTCCTGCAATTGCTGCTACTGCTTTTTCGAAATAGGCATATCTCTTCTTCAACCTATTTTGTTCCCTGTAGTCTTCAAGATGCTTGTCTAGTTTTTTAAGTTCCATTTCCATTCTTTGTTTCCTGAAGGCGTGTCTGTACCAGACTTTGGGATGTAGTATGTCCCTGTCGTGGTAGTGTACCTTTCCAAGGTAATAATCGACATTCCATACCCATGGGAGGCCTTAGCATTTGTGACTTGCAGATTTCACCACCTACCGTTCATGTAGTATTGTTTTTCTATATCAGCTCTATATCTGGCTGATATTTTGGGTGGATGGGCCTCTCCAAGTTCATCCTTAATCGGCAAGAATGCCTTTGGGACAGCATGCCTACGCCTTCCTCCTCGTACGTAGCATTGTGACGGGTTCCAGTCGTCCCAATTCCTGTACAGACGTTATGCTTATTTATGGTACGTTAAATGTATTGTAGAGGGGGAACCTGGAGACCAGTTCCCGTTAAAACTGCGAAAAATCTTACCTTGAAGGCCAGTTATCTAGCCTATATCGTTTTTCCTTGTTTAGTTGTAGATATGGATTGAAGGTTGGTGCGATCCTTATTCCGTTAATAACATTTTCTTGATATTCTCGTCTGGGTGTGCCTATACATTCTGCCATATACCTCGGTTTCACTCTTTCCTTAAGTATATCAAACCTAGATCTCCATGGCACTTCTCTTACGGCACGGTCCTATATAACTGTGTGTATCTATATGACGTTGCTTACAACCAATGCCGCTGCCGCGGTTTTAACGGCTTTGTCCGTCATTGCATTTCGTTTTTAGGAGCATCATCATAATGTTAGCAGTTTGCATTAAATTTTCATTGTTTGTTAAAAATTAAAACAGAGTTAGGTGTATTATATAGACTAGTAACAGGCCACACATTTCTCATCACGCCTTTGGCACATCTCCATCATTATACGGTTTGCTTCCTGTGTTTTTCCAGTAGAAATTCCTACAATTATTCTTCAATGTTAATGTGGCATCGCTTACTTTGAGTTGTATTGCTGCGCGAAACCTGTGTGATATTTTATTTTTTTCTTCACTGGCCATTTCCCCAAATGTTTTTCCAACTTGTTCTACCTCGAAAAGGTCGTCCCTGAGCATCCGTTAAGGTATGTATTTGTGGTTGCATTGGTTTCGGCCTGGCTTATGCCGGTATTTTGCAAGCTAGTCTTACCATCCAAACGTTCTGGTTCCCCTTGGTTCTACAAATTTCCCCTGTAACATTTACCCGTGGGCGTCACCATCTTTATCACCTACTTTAACTCTTCCTTCGAATATTTTTGTAGTATTTTCGTCCATGTAGCCTATGCAACACAACGCTGTGGCTGTCTTGTCCTGCAGATGTATACTTCTTTTATGGATGTTCTTTCACTTACATCAAAGCCATTTAACATTTGGTATAACTTCTCTGGTCCTAGCCGTGTTAAGAAGTCCTTTCTGCGTACTTTGTTGGTTACATTTGTCGCACTTACATATAGGGCCCTGGTAGCCCGTTTAATGCGTTACAGCAGAGGGATATATCTTCGACAAATAGCGGTTCCTTTAGTACGGCGTATGAATCTTCTACCTTCTTCAAAGTGATTTCACGTGGGTCGCCTTGTATTTCAGTTACTGCGTGCGTGATATGTGTTTTGGTCTACGTCAATCTCACATTCTACTGGGTGGTGGACTACATCGAACTCTTCGCCCAGTATGGCTGCCAATTCCCGGTATTTGTGTATGTTTGTGGTACAAGCATTGATTCTGATTTTTTCCATCTTATTTGTATGTATATTCTTATGAGGAGGTTTGATATGTTCAAGATTCCTTAACTACCGAGTTATCTCAGTCTTCGTTTTAAATGACTGTTGATGTAAATACAAGTTGTATGTACGGGTTTATAACTAGAAACTTTGGTTGGTTTTTATGTATTATGTTACTTAAGCTAGGTATACATTCATTCCCTGTTTAGAATGCGATTATAATATGTGTTTCACCAGAAACAATACGTTTCGCACAGTTTACCTTATTATTTGCTAAATTTTCAAGTCGCGCAAGATGTTTCACTGCACCAGGGCAGCCATGTGTGCCTTCCAACCATAAGCAAGAGCAGCGACATTTTTGCCGTCAATATTGCTCTTGCATCTATATATTTGTCGAATACAAAGATGTGCAATGTTCACTATCTACTGCGTACGTATACGTACAGTCATTAGCTGTGCCTCTGTTCAGTTAGGGTGTGAAGGCGATACTGGTTTATTGTTTTTCTGGCACCCTGCGTTAGACAAACACTTCCTTTCTATATAAGGACATAGTAACCAACTATATTTGTTATATTTATCTGAGCTTGCTGGATTAATCATAGGTGACGACGATATAAGACCTTCCGTATTGCTCACAACACTTTATACCGGCTTACGCGCTCATTCTAATATATACACCTTTTTCCTAGGTGAACAGATCGGTAGCTTGGTCGATGTAATATTCATCTTACTTTCGTCGATTGAGCATGAAGAAATGGTAGGAGGAAATGCTCTACATTCGCATCACTAATGGCAACACACACCGTACACACCGCTGAAGATGACAGCGATCAAACACCTGTGGCGTCAACTTGTTCGCCAAGTGATGTTGGTGGCGCTTCGAGATATGTAGACACCGGTGAGGTACAATCGCAGAGTCCGGATTCATTTATTAGCGATAATATCGCGACAAATCCCGATGGTACTAACGATGGCAACCGACATTCGTCAGGATCACGTAATTTATCGGTCGTGAGATCTCAGGAGCCGCCGGATGCCACCCATAGGACGAGTGATATGTTTCGTTTTTCGAATGCTCTGCATTATCCTGGAGGCTTCGGGTTGGGTTTGAACTTTCGACCTGCTTTAATGATGACGCCATCTCCAATTGGCAAGGTCGTTGATGATTTGGCGGTCGCTGTTGATAAAATGACCGTGAGTGACGATATTTCATCTAAGCAGACTGATACTTCCGCCCAGGAATGCTCGGACGGCAACTTAGAGTCGTGTGCTAAAACTGATGATTCGTCAGTTCGTAGCCGAGACATGCCTAGGTCTTTGGAGCCATGCGGGGGTGTTTCCGATCCTGGAAATTTGGACACCCCAAACATTTTTGCGGCACAAAGTGAATTTGTCTCTCACTTCGATCTACGAATCACGGATTACTTCACTCACGCGCGTTGCTTCTGCAGTTATGTGCTCTACTCAGTGCATTTCAATGACTTTGGAATCGCCAAGGTGGCAACACGCCGTTATTCCCATTTCACTCACTATGATACCGTCATTCGTGACTTAGGGTACCATCCTCCAGTTTCACTACCAGAGGAGAGTTTTTGGGATAGCAATTCACCGTCATTTTTGTCGCAACGGTTCCAAGACTTGAAAGGTTACCTTAGACATCAGCTTCGTCAGCCGACAACATCGCAATTATCTTTGTTGCATATGTTCCTTGGGTGCAGCCCGGAAACCATTTTGTATTTGCGTCTGGTTACTGCTAATACAAATGCCACAAAGCTGAGCGCCGTAAGCACGTTGTTCAGGTACCTGATGCGATCTGGCGCTGATAGGGTCTCGTTCATATCACGTGAGGCCAAGATCCCACTGGCACCTTTCCAGGACCTACCCGCTGCATCTCATGTTGGTGTTGATGCTGTTCCAGATGACTACCGTCTGTGCAGCCCGTTGGTAGTGGGTTCGCTCTTGGACTGCCTTTTGTTTGGCGACGCCAAATCTGTGTATGAGGTTTGCGCTATAATGTTGTGGATGCTGCATCGTAATGAAGCCCTTCGCGCCAGCATTTTGAGTTTGAAGGTAATCTGTCATGTGACCAAGGCATTGTCACGTTTGATTGTTGGCCAGGGTCTACCTGACCTCGAGGTTAGTATCAATAATCTTCGTGACCGAACGTTTTTGCGGATTTTGGCGTCGTTACCTTTAGAACGCAACATTGCGTGGAATATGGTATCGTACTATTTGTTGATGTCAATAAACCTATTACCTGAATCTGCACGCAGCTTTCTGGACAATAGTTCGATACAGAAGTTCATCACTCTCCTAGACCATAACGAGTGTGGTGTTTTCCGGAGACTTTCACTTTGGGCACTATGGATAGGCATGTTTGAGGAGGATTTGAGGTCCTCTGTTGACCGTGATACTTTGGGCTTGTTGCTGAAGAAACTCTATGGTTCTGAAGAGAGTACTCTAAAGGTGTTGTGCGGCCTGGTACTGACGTCATTGATCGTACGTGGTTGGTTCTCCGGTGATGAGGAGCCACGTGCCTCAGTTTTGGTTGTTAATCTGCTCCCACACGTGCATAATGTGGATTGCTTCGTTCGCCAGGAGATATTTTGTCATACATCTCTTAGGAGGTTTGGTAACTTGCTAAGTGACACTTCGTTATCTAGTGGCGCTAGATTGTTTCTGGTTTCCGTTTTACGCCACCATCTGTTGTCTGGATTTGAGGACCGACGTGACTTGCCTCCTATTTTTGATCTATGTGATATGGATGTTTACAGCAACGTTTCAGAGTTGTCTCATGTGTTATTCGGTGCTATTGACCCAGATTATCGCGACGACATTACTACAGAGGATATGTCTTTTGGTGAGAAGTTCTCATCTTTGTATTCGCATCATTTTAGTAACATTGCTGATACTGTTGCTGTTTCATTAGATGATATAGTTGAGCTTTTCTCTTTGAATTGCGATGGAGGAATTTCAGACAGCAATGCCGAAGTGAGTAAAGATTCCTGGCAACTCTGTAAAGCTGCAGCTGTGTGTCTGTTGTATCTACCATACAGATCAGCTGAAGTTGGTGATAGTGATTACTTTAACGTTGCTTTTCATCCTCAGTCGGTGACGTCACAGTATAATAACGTTGTCCACCTGAAGGGTGGTTCTGCTAAGCTTGAACTCGAGAGCACCAAACATACAAACCTCGCTGACACGGTTGTATTGCGTCTCGACAAGCAGTTCTTCGTACGTCGCGTTGCGGTACTTCGTGCATTGTTATCTGGCTTACGTGAGAGCATCTCCGAATTTGACAGCATCCATTTATCTGGCAATGAAGTGGCTAATGGGTGTATGGGAATGTTACGTAAGTTTTGGTGTTGCAAAGATGTGATCGAGCATGATTCTGATCGTGGTGTCACGTTGAGTTTCGATGCCCATCGTAACGAGCACTTTGACCCTTTTAACAACTTTGCGTTTGAAGGTTATGGGTGTCCTATGTTGGATGTTTATGACTTCCGTAGTGTGGACGCTGTCGAGCTATGTTCTTATGCAAGTGAGATGGCACAGTATAGTTTGGTACAGCAAGGGCTTCTTCGTGTTGTGAAGTTTGCTATTTCATATCATCAGGCATGTTCTTCCCGTTTGGCTACATACCGTTCTATGGTTGGATGCTTAGAACGTCGCATCGATGATATATGTGTGGATACTCTGGATGACTTATCCGAGTTGGAATCTCGCTTTTTAGACATTTCTCGGTCCTATGCCATGGGTTTGCAGGAGGAGGGCGACCTTATCTCTGCGTTGCAAGAAAATAATACGATGCTATCTCGAGTTCAAAACATGCTCCGCAGCAGCCGGATGAAACTGGATGCATGTCATCGTGACGTTGTGGCAACACAAAAGCGTCTAGACGACCTTCCGAATATTCGCAGTGAGAACCTTGCTACTCAACAAAAGCTTACTCTAGCTGGGGAGAAATTGTTAGATTCGATTCGTACTGCCAACGAGCAGATTTTGGAACTGCAAGACGAGGTCGCACGAGATGAGCGTGATAAACGGGAGGTTAGCCAATCTATTCAGCGCCTGACTTATCTATTATCTGTGTTAGAGGAGGGTAAATACCATGCGGTTATGAGTGCGTTTCAGTCTGTATCTATCGATGACATCACACCTGAGCTTCGAGATTCGTTTGACTCAATGTTATCGGCTTATACCGCATGTGAGCTGCTTGACGAGGACACAGTGCATCGGCTAAAGGGTGTTATAGTGCAGCAACTGAATGTTCTACAAGACCATCTAAACGCCATATACGGCCGTGATGCCAACCTGAAGATAGCGGCACTTAATCGCCAGGTTGCAAAGGACGAGGAGAGTCTGTATCAGACCCAGCTGGAGCTCAACAACACCCGCAAATCGTGTGTTATCGACAGTAGCGTACTCGAGGAGACTTTGGGGACCCAGAAAATGTTAATGGAAACTCTAAAGGGGACTATAAGCAACCTGACTCGTGAGTTGCGCAAGATTAATGCAGGGAACCTTCAGGTGGGCAAGCAGCTGGCTGAGGTGAAGAGCCGTAATGATACATCACGTACTCTGTTGGATTGCACTCGTTTGGAATTCAAGTCTGATATAATGAGACAGCGTGATCTTCGTCTGCGTCTGTTTCATCACCTGTTGGCTGCCGAGCTTCTGTGTAAGAAGATGTGGCAAGAGCATCAGAAGTTATCAGTCGCTCTATCATGTAAGACGAGCCTGATAAATCTTCTGTGCTCGCGCCGCTCCACTGAACGTTCAGCTCGCCTATCTGTTATTGAGGTATTGAACAGGGCGTCAAAGAGGATGTCACAGACTGCTGCTTTTCTATGCGACTGTGAAACTGAGGAGTGTTTTTCCACATAATTTGTATTAATAGTTTTCTGGGTAACAACATCGGTATAACTTTAGTCCCAGTGCTTTTTAGACCCATGTATCTGTATCGTTTCTATCGCATATCGAGACCTCGTTGTTCTGTTGAGGTAGACTTACCGTTCAAACGGACATTTTAAGGAAGAACAGTTGTTCCAGTCTAATCTTGACTGCTGTACCGTTGAACGCGAATTGCATAACTCGCCCGGCGGCATATTTTACTGCCAGCTGATCCAGCGCCTCGTGTAGATGATCTAGGTCATTTTCGAACGGCGCGAACAACTGCGGGTACCGCACCAGCCAGTGTGCCAGTACTGCTATGAGCATTTCCCAAATGAACTGCATTGGTAGGCTGTATACATCTCGGTTCTTTGGCGATACGATAGCAGCGCTTTTTGCGATATCGCTGACCACACTTTGGGTGGGAACCGAGTGAACTAGTATTGGGAATGCCGAGAAGAGCGCAATTTGCATGATAGGTATTTCTCCAGTCTTGAAAACTTCCATTATGGCACTTGATATTGTTTTCATATGTTCGTTGCTGAACAAGTCATTGGTAAATGTATAACCCTTCTGGAACGTCATAAAGTTTGATCTCTTGCTATATGACGCTCCTAGAAAGCATATCACACCTTTTTTGTCCGTTGGAGAGTTGCATATGTCACCTTCTGTTACGTATGGTAATCGTGCTATATTCGTTGGTGCGGCCTGTCTTGATATCATTTTAAGAAAATTTCGCTTCTGCTTCAAAGCATGTCGCATTTTATGCGTCCCGAATGCTAGTTCGTACATACGACATATCATCTGCCAAAGGATAAAGTGCTGCCGTATCCGCAAGGGGTCATCTCCACCTCCGGATAACAAAGATCTTACGTAGGTATAACTTTCCCGTTGCTTGAGCCAGTGTTCCTTGAACACGTTAAATTGTGTTTCCGTGTCTAGCGATACGAGTTCGTTGATAGCTGTTACAGGTGTGAGTTTCACCATGACGCCCACAATCGACGGCAGCTTCCCGAGACGGTCAAGATCACTTTTGAATATGGCATCTAGTGTAACTCGTATGGGTGTGAGTTGATCTACAATCACACCCATTGTCGTGCCTGTTCGCCCTATGGCTCGTTTCAGTACATGTGCCAAGGTCCTTTGTATCACTGCATCTTGGTTAACTGGTCGTATGTGCGTTACCGCATCGATAGTGTTACTCAACAGTGTCGTTGCTATAAGGACCTTTTTGCGTAGAGGTCCTGTTACATCACTGTTTTCGATAGCTTCCGTGTTAATATCGGTACCTTCTGCTTCGCTGGATTCGGTACTTTGCCGTGTGACGTTTGGCACAGCTGCGACGTAATACATGAGTTCCCACACAATGGCCACATTACCCACCAGGTATAGGGAAACGAATAATCGCACAAATACGTTGAATATGTGCACTACCCATTCCTTGAAGAGGATGCTATCGACGCTTGTCCCTCCAGTGGCATCGTCCTGAAGGAACTGCAACGCGGTTTCGTGTAGATATGACACGATTATATTAATCACATTAGCGACTCTATATGGAGAGGAACTGGACTCCAGTACAAAATTGGGATTTTCAAATTTCAGTGCCGCAAATGAATCTCCATTAAGGTCCACAACGAGTTTATAATCTGGTGGACCTTCTGCTTCAATGCTCTCTTTCATATACTTGTATAAAGGATCATCTGCATAATTCATTGCTGGATTATCCATCGATCCGTGCACGAAATCCTGAACTAGTTGCCTTAGTGTATCATTTGGTATATTCGGCCTGTCATCTTGGTCCGTCACAGCATCTGTTTCAGAAATATCAGTGGTGTCATGTGTTTCTACGACGCCTTGCTCTTCTTCAACTTCAACTACTTCCGCATCTGTTTTTGGGGACACATCACCAGCGCTTTCTTCACGGGCCTCGTCTTCACTGCTGATATCGCTAAGTGAGTCACTGTGTACCATATCACTGATTTCACTCACAGTTTCGCTTGCATCACCAACATGGCCAATTGCCTCATTGGATTGGCTCAAATCTCCCATGTTCCCATCTGTATTGATTATTGTAACATTTGTATATAGACTTGGGCATTGCATGAGCTCTAGAAGCTCAACTTCATGATTCGCACGCAGAGTATCAACAGTGAGATGGTTTCCATGATACAATGCATTTAGACAGTCCAGGTTAATAAAATATTCCAGGATCATACCATAGCATTGTATCAATAAGGTCTTAAGGCTTTCGTCGGAACATACATTCCTCCGTTTTTCTACAATTGCTACTACCATGGTATACTTTTCCTGTAGTGGCTCTAGTGCTGTCGATGGTTGCAGGACATGCCTTTCTTCCACGTCATCTACATGGGCTATATACACTGCCGTATTCTCCAGAGTAAAATCCAGTACAGAGCACATCCTCCCCAACATGGTATTCTTAAGAGTCCGTTGAAATGTTAGTAACGTGTACTGCATCCTTGTCATTTCCAGTACTGAAACCACAAAAATCGCTGACATGACATCCACGGCGATAACTCCAACTTCGGAATGGTAATGCAATATCGCGTTAAGCAGGTAGTCCAACAGCCTTCTATATGTGTCTACTGCATTATTATATGCGAAATTGAGCACAGCACTCGTCCCTAATAACACATTGATTTTGCTAACGTGTTTACTATCATCCTCCATATCCTGTCGTCGCAAAGTGTATACGCATTTTGCTAGCTCCTTTACAAATAGTCTACGACATTGTTGCATATTTTGCAATATATAATCGTATTGAGCCGTTGCTGATGGACCCAGGCACAGCCTGATGATCCTTGCGTTATACTGGTAGTTGAAGAATAGCCAGTCCACGAACAGTGCCATTTTGACATTCGCAAGCTCTAGGCACCCACTACCTACGCTACAGCTGGTGGCTATATTAAGCATCCAGCAGCAGAATGTACCTAAATTATTGCTCGTATGTGGTGGCGCATCTTTAGCCATTTTGGGGTAACCAACTAGGGCAAACCTTATGACCGTTGCGATTTTTTCCAACGCTAGAACCGTTTTAGTGATTTTGCAATATCTCAAAAGATACCAGTTCATGAGATGGCCGACTATCTGAGGTTCAGCCGTCAACATAGAGGAGATAAAATCTGCCTCTTCGTGTTGCAAAGCTTGGACCAGTGCATCGTCTTGTCCTACCCTGGACAATATACGTTCAAGTTGCGGCGTATTTGTCGCACTAGGTTCTGGTTCCGTTGTTTCTGGTGACAGCAAGTCCGACCATATGTTGAACTTGATCGCCTGTACACCAGATATGCATCCTAGCGCCCTAATAGTCTCATACCCTATCCTTTTTAGTACAGCCTCCCTTCCATTTGAATTTAGCCATATCTGCACTGCAAGATCGGTAGCCGCGCCCCTGACTACAATCCTCGAGTCATCTCCGGCGTGTAGCACTAGCTGTATGCACTTATTGAACACTTCAATGCATGTTTCCTCGCATTTAACGAATACCTTGCACCAACTTTTCAAAGTCCTCAGTAGTGTTACTGCGGTGTTGGAATTTTTCACACCCAGTCTGAGGGAATCTAGCGATTTCATCAGCATAGTGATTATCGGCGCCCAGGCGGCAGCGTCAGGAACGGCGAGACACATGGGAAGTACACGTTCGAAATATCTTTCCATATATGCACCTCCAACAGTGTACTTCGACGTATCAAGGAGTTGTGCTATTTGACGGTAGAACTGAATTTGTATATCGATGTCCATTGCAGGCAATATAGATGTTGCTAATGTGATGAACGGATCGTCCTCACAACACAGCGCATAGTATCCCATAACACGCAGTATCCCCTCTTTTGACGCCGTTCCCATGTTACAGAGCAGTTTGACCGTGTCCATATGCTCTTCGAACATATGAACGCTGATTGACCTGAGGAACACTGCGTATCTGTTCCCGTCAGTTGTAGAAGTATTTTTGTCGAACGCCCTTACGTAATATGTCCTGTTATTATTGGATTCAGCAAATGTACCCGAATCCGGGTTGTCATCCCACGTAACAGTGAACCATTCCGCGTTATAATATAGCGGTTGGTTGTTGATTACATTTTGCAGCTCCATTACATCTAAAACGGCCATATTAGTCTTTCCGCCTACATACTTTAGCAGCGGTTCCTTTCCTTTTACGACATTTTCTGTGTTTTTTTGAAAGTCAAAAGGGGGACACAGCTGATGTGCAGTCGCTAGGTGTACAATTAAGATGTATCGAAATACCTCTTCCACCGAGGCGATCATACGTTCCTCTTCAGGCCGCAGTTTGAAGTTGTTTCTCACCCTGAATATACTGGGTATCGCAATTTTAATCCTGTTCATAGCATCCTGTATACGTTCCAGTTTTTGTACCATGACCTCAACCTTGGCATGTACCTTGTTAGCATCGACCAGCGTATCTAGTTTCTCTGGTTTCGGCATTTGTGTTTCTTCGGCATTGTCACTTTTCATTGCACGACGTTGATTCGGTGACATACTACGTTTCCATGTTTTGGACATGTTAGCGGAACCTGGTCTACGAGGCGCTCCCGAGGTTGTATCCTGTGCCCCTGGCAGACCTCCCATTTGGAACATTGGCATGAATTGACCCATCATCATTTGTGGTACCATCCCTCTCTTCATAAGTTCATGAAAGTTTTGCATGTTTGTGTGTTCCTTCGGTACCGTGTGGTCATAAGTTGTCATTTTCATGTTCCTTCCCTTTGTTTGCATATTTCCTCCAAAGGGCATTGCTTTTGGGAAAGTTACATGATGTGTTAACGACCCTGACATTTGCATCATGACATCTGATTTGTACATAGGATGAATAGGTACTGTGGAATGTTTGGGGAATCCGGCCGGCGGTCTCCTTGGCGCAATTCTCGGTGATAGTCTAAACGGCGGCACTAACCCAGCCGGTGTGTCTTGTCTCATCTGTACAGGTGAGTTTTTATATCTAGTTGGTGGTTGTAAAGCTTGTGTCTTTGCGAAAGGAGGTTGCATCATATGATTAGCCGCTGCAAAGTTTGGGTATGCAGCTGGCTGACTTTGGAATCGTCTGCCTGCCTGATGGGATCCTCTGCCCCTGGAGTTACCCCGGCCGCCCGAATTACCCTTTCCTCTCATCGTGCCAGCGTCCGAATGTACCCAGTGGGTACCTACGCGTCGCGGTTGAGGATCTACGTCACCGCCCTAGCGGTCTTCTCTAAGAATACCACATTCACTCAACATTTCACAAGTTATTATAGTCACTAGTGCAATACATACGCGGTACCGCGCCACTTATCCCCATGGGTACTTGCAAGTGTGTGCCCAGTAAGGATCCACGACCGCCACCGTGATTCCTTCCATCCCCCCAGTACAACTATATAATACAGTCCTCTAGAATACAAGTATCACTATAAAATAATCACCTCAGCGAGATTAAGTCGAAAGGTTTTTCAGTTGCCCTTGGTGCGTTATGCCTCTTGGCTCTGTAATCCTTCCATCATACAGAAGCGATACGCTTAAGCAGCGGCAGCGTTCAATTCCTTGGTTAGAAGGTTCTCAGCTTCTTCCGACTCATTAAGTTTCATGGCATGTCCGGTATCCTCTGAGATATCGTTATGTACTTCCATGAGTTTGGTGAGGTCGAATTTTGGTTTTTTGAGGACCTTAATTTTTCTGATAAGGACATTTTGCAAAGGGAAAACACTTTTGCATGCCTTTTCAATTTCCTTTCCGATAGACTCGGGGATAATCTTTTTGACTACCTCCCTCAAGGAGGTGGTCGAAGCTTCCCTCTGCATAACTTGTACCATTTTACGTCTAACAATTCTCATCCTCGAAGTCCTAATGTAACAAGTGCTCTTAAGTTGTCCGGGTCTCCTCTTGGTGTATCCGATGCAGAACATACGAAGGGTGTAACCATCTGTGGTTTTGACATCGGTGTAGGCCTCGATAAGGGAGTAGTTTTTCCTGATAAGTGAGCACAGTTTGTCACGTGTTACACTTGATCCGTGGAAGTTGGTTAGGCAGTTTCTTCCCTGTACATCTTCGCAGCAAAGTTTGATTTTGCGGTAAGCCTGGTCCTCATCAGCGTTGAGATCGGCAAGGGATATTTCATAAATACGTCCCTTGAGTCCATCACTAGCGAGCTCTGCATGTAACGTTAACCCTCGTTATAAACCAGATGTATGCTATCGGTGTTTAGTTGGTCATCAGGCACCATGGAGACTCCATGGTTTTCACACTACACATTTCTATGGTAAACTTACTTGTACCCTGTGTCTTGGTAACAAGTGTCTGACCGAAGTTCCTAACGTGGAACATGACCGGTGCCTTGAGAGTGTACCACTCCTTTTTCAAGAAAGGGTCAACAATTTTCTTTTTGCCTCCCTTTTTACCCTTGCTAACTCTCTTATTCTTTCCAACCGCCATTTTGTTTGTTATCTCTGTATCGGTGTGAGATGTTTTGGGTGTATGTGCCTACCTTTACTGTGAACCCCAATATGGCCGCGCGCTTACTTATATATACGATTGCTACCAAGCCTCCTGACGTAGCAATACAAGCGCTACGGAATTTATAATAACGACCTTAACGCTGGTTATGGCTCTGGAATCCGCTTTACATCGGCACCCCATCCACGCCTCCCCACCCTTCACCGACGTTACTTCCATAAGGACATTTCGGATACGCCTCAGCCAATAATTGGCTCGCACATATTATATTAGAGACATATAATGACAATATAGGCAGTTATTATACTATGTTCCTTACACCGCCTCCTCCTGTCTTACACGTCATGTCCACCTTTTTACCCATGTTGTTTTACACATGGTATCGCTAGTCACGAAAGATGAATCCACTCTCATGCTTTAATGCCTAAGTGAGTGTTGATTGCGTTCCCGTCGGGCCATCTTGTGGCCAGGGCCACAGGTACCCTTACTCTGTCGTTTTTTTTACGACGGTTACTTGCGCTACTCCACTATAAGCATTAAAAATTAGTTTAAGGAAGAAGTTATAGTTCGCCGTACAGTTATAACAACGGACGATGGCTCAGCGCTTCATGCCAACGGCCTCCAGCGGTGACGGCGGTATCACTTCTTCTTAGCACCTTGTTTCTGTAATAGCTCCTTACGAGCGGCTTCTAGCTGTCTATATGGACTGATTAGTTATAATATACGACTAACTTTCTTTCTTCAGCTTGCTTCTTTTTAAACTCGACATCCTCGTCAGTCGTTACCACGACCTTTTTAGGGGCCTTCAATGGCTTCTTCTTGCCACCCTAAAATTAATATAAGAGGGTATACCAAGTGGTCACGCTGGACTATGAAAACAATAACAACAACAGCGTCACCTAACTAACTATATAGCGATATTACCTGTGTACCGGCCGGCATTGTGTACCCCTTTGCAGTATAATCGGTCTAAAATAATGATAGTGATACTTGAAATATAACTTTAAGTGTGTCTAGGTATTTTAGCAACCTCATATGGCAACCCTTGTAAGAGGCCACACATCAGGCTAGTAGCTAGAGGTTCAAAAAATTAAACAAACGATAGTGTTAATACACCTTGGTAATAAGCCCAGACGCCACTGTCTTACCACCCTCCCGAAGAGCAAATCGAAGCCCCTCATGTACAGGCATAGGATATAAAAGCTTTATGCCACACTTCACGTTATCACCGGGCGCCGCCATCTCTACATCGTCTTTCAAATGCACAGAACAACAAATGTCACCGGTACGGATGAACGCCTGTGGTCGGTAATTGGATACAAAAGGGTGCTTACGACCCCCTTCCTCGGTTGTAAGCACGTACAAGTCAGCATCAAACTCTGAATGACATTTGTATGTACCAGGTTGAATAAGGACAAAACCACGCTCAACCTCGTCACGCTTAACACCCTTCAATAATACACCGATCTGGTCTCCAGCAATACCTTCACTAAGGCTCTTCCTAAACATCTCAAGACCAACACATACAGTTTTCTTCCCAGACTTGGGACCACCGCAAACCTCAATAGCATCACCGCACTTTATTTTACCCTGCTCAACACGACCAGTCACAACGGTACCCTTGCCAGGAATAGCAAGCACATCATCGATAGCAACCAAAAGTGGTAAATCGCCCTTGCGCTCCGGTGTAAGTAAAAACGTATCACACGCATCAAGCAGATCCTGGATAGGTTTAATATCAGCTTCTGCAGTACTGTTCAAAGCCTTCATAGCACTGCCCCTAATAATAGGTGTCGCGTCTCCATCGTAACCGAACTCGCTAAGCAATTCTCGGATCTCAAGTTCCACAAGCTCCAATAGCTCAGGGTCCTCCATCATGTCTAACTTATTCAAAAATACAACTAAACGTGGCACGCCAATCTGTTTAGCTAATAATACGTGCTCCTTAGTTTGAGGCATAGGGCCATCAACACATGAAACCACCAAAATTGCACCGTCCATCTGAGCAGCACCTGATATCATGTTCTTCACATAATCAGAATGACCTGGGCAATCTACATGTCCATAGTGTCTATTTTTAGTCTCATACTCTACATGCGTAGAGTTAATAGTAATACCACGCTTCCTCTCTTCGGGTGCACGGTCGATTGCCTCGTATGGCGTATACTCTCCATGGCCTCCCATAGAACAGACCTTCGTAAGGGCGGCGGTCAGTGTCGTTTTACCGTGGTCGACATGGCCAATAGTACCAATATTGAGATGTTCTTTGTTCCTTACAAATGTACCTACAGCAAAGCATCTCCTGCTAGAAGGGGTGGGCATGGACCCTGTCAAGGCAATGCGACATACAGAACCTAGGGTGCTGAAACTACGCAGATGCATAGAAAACATCCCTCCTGCAATACTACGGCTACTGCATGGCGAGTCGCCGCCTAGTAGACTACCACGCCCCGCAGATACATTGATATTACGATACTTTGGTGCTGCGGCGATCAAGTTCAAATTGTACGCTAGGCTTGCACGGCATACAGGGGACGCAATACCTGCCTCTGCTGCAGCCGGTAGAACCCCAAATAATCCTTTAGTAGATCGTAGCAGCATTGTCGATGTAACAAATGATTTACGCCTCAATACGCCACGGTCGTAACCTTCCTATGATGTCTCTGGCGACTTCCACGCGGTACAACGAACAGTAGCATTCCTCTACATACGAACCGCCCTAGAAGTTTGAAAAATACGCACTTTTCGCGCCAGCGCCGAAGAAACCTACAGTTACGCCAGATGTGTATGGTTGGGCTCGACGCCACGTCAACTCGACGATACACTCCAAGGACAATATACCGCAATATCTTAACTCGTCGTCAATATGCCGTTACAACACCCAAAGACAGGCTGTGACAATGGTTAACCTGCGTAACTCTGTGATAGAATCTAGCCTTTAGTTCCGCATGGATACAACTATATATCACTATTAGTACAGATTGTTATTCTGAATTCATTAACAGCGACGTATCAAATCGGTAATACGCGGTACTAAGGGTACGAAATCAAAACATTAACAATCATGTACATACAAGGTTCCAAGTATTTTAACTTTTTTTTTTACATAAATGACATCACAGATGTAGAATTGGGCGGTGACGCATCGTCCGGGGCTCTATCTTGTAACTCGTTCATTGCCGCTTCAAAATCATCGATATTGTTCTCGATATAAAGGAAAATCTCTTTCATTTGCTGAGTATAACTCGTCACAACATCCTCCTTACGCTTCTCGCCAACAGCTATCGCGCACATATCACGCTCCATATTGGCACGAAGGTTAGGCTTTGTAAGGTCGATCTGAGAACGACCGTAACTTTTGAATGCACGGTATAACGCCTTCCCAAGGTTAGTTGGGATCATAGTGAAATTAGATTCCTTCTTAACATAATGCCTATCCTGTACCTTCTGGATATGCTCATGCATAGTTGCATCTGTTCCAATACCATGCCTATTCATAAGATCGATTAGGTTCGTTTCTGTGAGCAGCCCTGGTGGCCTCGTGCGCCCTTGGGCCAATAGTATCTTCGACGGCATGAATTCCTCCCCTTCATCCATGGCAGGTATCGAATTACCAGTCCTAAAATACTATAACCAACACTTATAAATCAACTAACCAGGAACTGTATGGATATATGTCCAGCCAGTTACGTTTTCGGACCAGCAGACCTTTCGAATGGAACCCCTCGCCGGCAACATCCAGGAACACGATAGACTCGTGTCCAAGTGCCGCAGGGCTACAACAAGCCAGAAACCTTCTGGTGATGTATTCGTACAGCTGCCAACTTTGTAGCGAATCTGCTTCATCACGACGCAACGGTTTCACGGGGTGGATAGGAGGGTGAGCCTCGTCGTTTTTATTACCTTTCCTCGGCACTATATCGTCACCCTGAAGCAACCTGGTAGCGTAACTGCCAAATAGTGGATGCCCTGCAAACATTTCTATAAGATCCCGGAGATGCATCGACGCTGGAAAAACGTTAGTCTCAGTTCTAGGGTAACTTATGTATCCTTTGTTGTATAAAGCTTCAGCGAGACGCATACTCCTGGGTGAACATGATACAATTTCAAGACGGTACCCACTCGTGAGATGATATTTTCAAATGCTGCGCAGCGTCCTTGTGCATCTCGACAGTATCCAGTGGGAGCGGAGGATATCGCTTCGTTGGCCTATTGATGACCTATTGACGATTGTTGATGTCACTAGGGACGACTAACATGCGTAACCCGTGCTTTGGGGTTCTCCAGACATGCCTCATAGAGCGTGAGGACAGCGAGACGGTCAAATAGCTGTACACGATCCCACCTAAATAAATGCTCATCCCCTTCGTTATCAACATAAAGTTGGATCGACCAAAAATCCTCAGGACGGAAAGTCTCGATTTTACGATAACGTTCCACGACAAAACCAAGAGTAGGCAATTGACATGGTCCATAACTACAATAAATATTTTAAAATTAGTCCAGCAACTTACCTGAGTACTTTTGCCTCAGTATTTATTCTATGTTTGTAATTTATGGTCATGAACCTTGTCATCGACGACCCTGTACAGTATTACAATTTATTCCACAGGGAGATACCAATTCGCAAGTCGATTTCCTGCCGAGCCTCAACAGCCTTGTATTCACATTGTTAACTCTCAATCTAGCAATACCAACCTCTGCCAAATTGCGATTTGGATCCCTCAGTTGACCACAGGCCCTCTCAATCTCCGATCCTGACATATCATATAAATATATAGTGCATAACCCACTGGTGACAGCGGAGAATATCGCACGTCTTATATTAATATTCTTGTTCACTCGCTTACATACGGTAATCACCTGAGTCTATCGTAACGTATGGATGTTAATGTACCTCAAAGGCAATGGCCTCCCCTTCTCGATCGCAATCTAGCCAGAGTACAAGTTTTCCGCACCTTTATCCAGATAGTATTAGGAATATTCAAATGGCTTACATCTTGGCATAGCACAGAAGGTTTTTTTCAACATCTTTACAATCTGGAGACACAGATGCATGGATTGGGGCTGTTTTGAAATATCAATTCCTAGTATCACATCTAACCGTCAAACAGCTGTTTCACTTGCGTACGCCTCCAATTACGATATTGAGGGTCAAAATCTATTTCCATGAGATGTCTATGTTACATATTAGCCATGGCTGTCTAGATCTTACCCCCTGACAGAGGTAAAGTACAGTTTGCACTGCCGACCCTCAAGAAAACATGTAAACGAGTACACAGGATTAGTTTTGACATTTGTGTGTTCCTATTATTGTACATTTAACTGTACAGGGTAGAATCCTCCTACCGTGCGCATACGCCCATTGGAGAGAATCTCAGAGATGCTACGAGCCACCGAAGGCTTCTCGGCGACACACAGAACCGAATCCATTTATTTTACTCCATTTAGGGTAATTATAAATACCGTGATCCTTATCCCGCCGCAAAGCGGGGTGATGTGTATCTACCTGACCATCCTCTGCCAGTGGTCATCTGTGACATATTCTACCTTGATTGTGTTTCCCGCAAAAACACGACCATTAAGGTTCCGAAATGCTACTGTAGAATCTAATAAGTTGTCGAACTTCACCCAGACCTTCCCGTCAATAGCAGCACGGTCGATGTATACTTTCACTACCTTACCGTATTTATTACACTCCTCGTTTACATCTTCCTCCACTTCATCGAAAAAGTTAGGCTCAGAAACCGTAGGATCCGAAGCACTGAACATGTTGTTCAGCGTTATGTTGCAAGTAGGCGTCGACGATATCCCAGTATTCACTGGAGTCACCTGGAACATTATAAACAGATCATTGGTTGCAATTCGACATACCGGTGCCTGTGTAGTCTGCTGTGGAGCAGGGGCATCTGTTGAGGTCCTCTGTAACTTGTGCATCAATGCGATTTTGGTATTGGCTCCAGATATAAGACCGCCGCCGTCCTCATCCAAACGCTCGATATCCACTTCACCATGGGTCGCTAATCGACCTGTAGCATTAGCACCTGTTGCATATGCAACCTTAATAGTTTGACCCCCGATATCGAACCCGTTCATGGCAGTCACAGCCTCCTTCGCTTCCGACGCACGTTTGAACTTGATATAAGCTTGGCCTAGTGGCAAATTAGAATGTGGATCACGCATAATCTCCACATCGATAATGGTACCGAAAGGTGAAAACATTTGCTTAATCTCAACCTCACTAATTGATGACAGTGAACCTGTCAGTCCAGTGACCTGAATAGTGAAGGGTGAGTCAGCAACTTCTACCGTTTGTTGCTGGATAAGTTTTGCAGCTCGAGCCGCTCGGTTCTTCTCCGCCTGCGATGATTGCACACGAATACGTTGACCATTTAGCTCGAAACCGTTCATCGCCAGTGCCTTGATGACAGATTCTTGAGTGTAGAATTCTACATAGGCCACCCCTTTGGACCGCCCTGATCTGGCATCACGGACACATTGGACATCCCGAACTTTCCCTGCGTGCTCACTAAAGACTTCATATATTTTGCGTTCATCTGCCCCAAGGTATAAGTTAATGACCAAAACGGTCAAATCCTCACGCTGAGCCTCCTCAATCTCACGTTGACGCCGCTTCTCATGCTCTATACGTGCACGCTCCTCGGGATCTACATACTTCTTCTCAGAACGTGGTCTACTTGACTTGTCTCTGCTACGGTATGAACGGGTACGTGATCGTGATTCGCTACGCTCTCTTCTCCTTGATCTGCTCGAGTGTCTACGCGAACTCTCATAATCCCGACTCCTGGATCTATGCCTAGATCGTCTGTAAAATGTGTAATGATACAAGCACTATTCAAAATACCGTCTGTGTGACCGCTCATGGCGACTGCGGGAACGACTAGGACTGCTAGAGTACCTCCTAGATCTTCGCCTCTTAACGGAACTGGGTGATCGAGAATTATATCGTCTATGCGATCTGCTTAGGCTCCTATCTCGTCGGTCGCGACTACGGCGGTCCCTGCCGGAAGTCGCGCGCCCCTCATCTGCAACGTCAGCTGTTACCATTGCAGTTAAGCTTATTCTTACAATCGCCTGGCCCTGAAACCGCTAGAGCCTGCTTAAAATTATGATACGAACGAATACATAAACGCTTAATTATTATCTTTTACCTAAGATACAGGTGGGGGTGCCAAGAAGCATAGTATCACTAACTAAGGGTCGTGCTATCGAAAAATGCATTTACATTAAACTTCCATTATCTGCGGTGTTTTTTGCGCAACATAGTCACATATCTCGCCCTTGTGTTTTGTCAAGGGATCAATTGCTTGCTTATTTAAACAAACTGGGGACTACCCTGCTCGTCAAATCTAATAATATACATTGGCCGGCTCAAGTATTACAAAAACCTACTTTAGTGCGTTCAGCTTAATATCCCATGTCGAGCTAACGTTGCTGTAGCTGTGCCGTTGTACCCTGAAAACATCGATTATATACCAACTTTATGACACTTACCAGTACAATACGTAAAACACTGTCCAGTTCGGTATAAGGATGAGTATGGTGTTCGACAGCACATATAATACTTCCTTCAGTATAGGCATGTCAAGCTCCATCACCTTATCACTCATGCTCTGTTTAATTGAATAATAGAGCACTATGTCCCAAACTAAAGTACCCTGCTCACAAGTCAGACAAATTAGACACTTTACAACTCACAAGTGCTGTTACAGCCTCGACAATCACAAGTAACAACAGCTGCTGGTACTTGGTCTCGCTATCACACTCAACAAGGTCACCTATATCGGCGCCCAACTGGTCCACATCTGTTACATTACTCGGTGTTGCATCGTCGCTCCTATTCTCATCAATCTGTCTCAGTTTCGTGACATCAAGATTCTTTCGGATTTTATGCGCAACGTATATAACAGTCATAGACATGACACACCACATGCCTGACATTAATATACCTATTTTGGAGTTGAGGTATATGGTGTCATAGTCTACATTGATATAACTATAGAGCAAAACTGTTACTATCCAGAAAGAAACTAGGTGAAACATAACCCTTGCCCTTTTCATACGTTGTCTTTTCCTGTCCAGCATTTTATGAATACAGCTCCATGATATGATCTCCGCCTGTACCACCTTAACTGCTTTTTTCAGTACTTGCAAGAATGGATTCTGCGTGCCGAAGTAAAAAATTATACCAAAAATCAACTGAGCACATGATAGAAGAATAACACTAAGCTCGCTACGTGGCATCCTCCTTGGAGCAATAGCCAATCTGCAAAGAACATAGCAAAATAGCAGTAGGGTCGCTACACAGCATAGACCAAACACTCCACATTTCAATTCTGAGTGTAAGTCAAGTAACTCCACACGTATATCCGCCATTTTTGCACATATTTCAAAATCTATTCGGCTGAACGGGCTCTACGCATAGAGGTTATAACAAATTCGTGGTGTCTGTTATGCGCGCGCGATAGCCGCGCGCAAGTCGCTAACATACCGTGTTGTTAGTTACGTTGCTGCATCATGCTCTGAGCAAGTGCCACCATTGCGCTATTGAGGATCAACGTTCCGCGCCCCAGGCGCATCGCGCGTATTGCTCTAATGCGTCACAACTAATTTAGCTGAGCGCGCACCTCTTACTGGTACACACAGCATATAGTTGCTGTAGCGTGCGCTCACATTTTCGATCACTCCATTTGTCCAGGTAGGTTACCGTATGTGTACGATGCACGCGGGATATGAGGAATGCCTTTGGCCTCAGGGATCTAACGCCCATATGCCATGGTCAATAGCAACCTCGTAAACCGTGCTGAATGATAAATATGCCCTTGGTTTGAAATTCGTTAACTTGTGTACACACTATGCAGTGATTTGCCTTTCATGTAACGATGGTCTTTTTACCAGCATGACCCATCAACCATTGATTCGAACAGTGATATTTCATTACATGTTATATAGTGCTTTAAAATTATTATTTCAGTGTCTCTTATTATCCATTTGTCTACATGTATTTTGATGCTCAATATTGCATATACCGTAACAGTTTTATATATAGCACACTAAAAATACATGCCATTCATATTCTCTCACAGGTTCGGATCACATCATTGTTAATACCATGTACTTCACGTACGTTGTGCGCCCCGGCGAGGCACCGGAAAGTCGCGGACCTCAATTCGAGCCAGTATGGGAGTTTTTGATGAACTACAACCTTCGTGCGGGGTTCGCACTGCAACTACTCTCATTTGTAGTACTCGCTATAGGGATCTACAATGGAGGCAAAGACCCACTCGCACTTCTTACCTTCTTCCGTGCTCTTCCTGAAAACTTTGGTGTCACCCCTTTCAGTCTCACACTACTCTGCCACGGTGGATTCATAGTAGGAACGTTACTCATCATGTCCTTCATACAGATGAGTGAAGATGATGCATCCATCAAGCAATGCAGAGGATACCGCGCAGGAACCAAATTCTTGCTACAGGCTACTTCATTCGGTAAGTTGCACAATAGTAGCTATAGAATCAATATGTAAACTGTATGGGAGTAGTAGTTACATAAAACCATTGCGAATAACAAGTTGTAATGCATATGCACTATTCGTATTCAAATGCAATCAATCATCGCATATTTAGGTGCCGTATCATGGTGTCTGAGCATGATCACCTTCCTTGGTGCGACGTACCATTTCGGAGCACAATGGATGGAAGAACAAATTGGTGATGGTTCCAACTGGTTGATATACTTCAGCTCTCGGTTGTTCGATGCTTTCGGATTGATGCTCTACGCTGGTGGATGCTTCTTCTTGGAGACTTACCACTCGGAGGGTACCAATGAAAGTTGGGGATGGCTCTGTGGAGCTGCATTCTTGGCAGCCGGTGTTTTCGAGGTACTAGCTTTGAACTTCATCAACAGCGGACTTTTCGCCATTGTTGAACGCCTCTACACCTTCTCGTTGGGTATTGCGCTTGTCATATCTACCTTCTGGGCATTCATATTCGAACCCGTATGCCACCGCTACGACGTTAAACTCACACAAAGTGCACTACGCAACGAGTACTACAAGTCACGCAATGCCATGGCGTTCTACGGCCCGGCGGTAGTGGATGACAACGGCGAGGTTGATATCGCCGCTGCCACTGAACAAGTCCAAAATTCGCTCACAAACCAAATGATGATGCAATAATTATCACATAAACAGTTGGTAATTGTAGACCAATATGAGGGTATAGACATACTGTTAACTACATCTAGTCATGTTTGGCTGTTCAACAACCACGGACGCAGCTTGGTTCTATCAGGTAACTTGTCAAACCATTCCAGTCGCTGATGTTTGGCTCTACGTTCCGCGTTTTGGTGAAAAGCAGCGTATATATACTCGATAGTCTGTAATACCGCATCTGTAACCAATTGGTATGCATGATCTTGTACGAAATGCAGTTGCACCTTAGATTGTATAGCATGGAATTTGTCACGCGCACTGTTTACAAACTCATCAGCAGCCGTGCGCCATCTAGAAAGACTGCCGTCGTGCATTTCAGCCGACTGTTGGCTAGACGATGATGCCTTTTCTTGACCCTCTCCACTTAGTTGAGTAAGCGCAGTGTCCTCGTCAGTGATCACATTGGCAAGTTCTATGATACCTTTGAAATGGATACGCACATAAGCATTTGCATAGGCCTTTACATGCTTGTCTCTAGTGTACTCAAAGTCCGCAACGCTATTACTGAATTGGTCTAGAGTCTTCAGAAACGCCGAACAGTTGGCAATGACAAAGACGTTCATCTTTATAGGATTATTCAGCTCCCTACCCCTCAGGGTCAAGGCAGCTAGAGCAACCTGAATGAGATGGTCCAAAGGATCGAATGAGATTGGCGTGATTCCCAATGATTCTTGAGTCGCCTTTAGCCGTAGTATAGAGTGCACAAGATTTGACAGGTTAATTGCGTGTACCCCTGGAAGCCACGATTCCAATGTACTAGACGATGCCTGGAGTGTATATGACATGACATATTTAGCCATATTCTGAATATGATGCATAGCACGTGAATATATATCCGTTTGAATTCTACCCAAAGCAACGTCGAGAGCGGTAATACCACGATCTAACATAACCTGCCTATTGGCAGCAAAAAGAAGTGTGAGTGTTGTGAGCATTACCACATCAAATGACGTCTTCAAGAGCACCTCAATACGAGAACGAACAAACATTATAGTGTCCTCAAAAATATGCGTAAACATAGCTGTAGGACCTTGCTCAAAGAATTGACTGATAAAGATATATTCACTTGAAGCAGTGTCAACCAATAGTTTGAGGAACGACTTGAATATTACTTCAACACTGAGGCTATCAGGCTGTATTCCAGTAGGTACCATAGGGTCATCCCTGAAAGTTAACACCAATCTATCCCTGTCATCTAAAAGGAAATATCCACCAGGTGTTTTCCCAGAACGTTTAGTTAGCACGCCGATATCCTTGTATCGATTTTTTGTACAACACTGCTCTAGAGCTGTATAGTAGCTCGAAAATAGGTGATAATATATCTTTCTAAGCGTCTTTGCATATTGATTTTGGATTTCGGCAGCATAGTTTGCGTTAGTCTCTTTAACAAATGCGATAAGTGGCCTTAATTTCATGAAATGGGTATTCTGTATCATTTGTATATTGGCCTTTGGCGTTGCTAATTTAGCAATTTCTACTCTCATGTAATCATATATGCGGCCAACTATGACAAGTTCCAATTTCTTCAGCTGTATTTTTGTTGGCTGCAGCGCAGGGTAAGGGGCATTATCATATTGTGTCTTCATTTTGTGTACCTTTTGCTGGAACTGTTCCACAGATTTAACATAACCCTCTCCTATAGGGCCATTACATATAGCCTTGATGAGTGGTGGAGGTATTGCGATATCATCAAGGAATGACTTTAGTGCCTTCACAAATGTCTGCCTGTTATCTAGACATGCAGACAATTCAGCAGACTCCGTGTGGAGATTTTTAATATCTGTAGAGGCCGCTTCCAAACTTTTATAATGTTTCATAAGCGCTTCCTCGATTAATTTGAGGGTAGAGTCACAGTAGTTCATGTCTGTTGAGAATTCACATATCTCCTGCTCATGGCGCATGAATGTTTCCATCATGTTATCCTGCCAACGTTGTTTCGCATCTTCAACACGCTTGACAATCTCCTTGAGTCGCAGTATAACACCCATGTCCATCTCAGCATCCGACTCTGAAGCAACTTAAAACATTATATATACCAAATTACCTTTCTGACCATCATCCACTGCTGTATCTGTAACCGATTCTTGCCTTTGCTCCTCCTCTGGATTCTCGAAGTATTGCTTCACAAGCTTGTTGCGCCATGGTTCTATATCTGTCAAAGAAGAAGCCGCGTCAAAGCCTTCCAAGTACCATATCAGATCGTCAGCTAGAGTTTCTGGCGAAATTGCCAAGAGCTTGGCGATATTTTGATCACGCTCCATAATGGATGCCGTAACTTCTATCGCACACGTGACACATCTAAGTTGAATCCGACGTTGGTCGGTTACATAAATCGTTATCTACATTGAATATACCGATAAATAGTTGTTATCTCGCTATATATAGTGGACAGTGTGTGGCATTTTGGAAGCGAAACGAGTGCAACGCGCCCACTCGGAGGGGTACAGTTGTTGGTTTCCTGATATCAACAGCAACTTTCACATCTTCACATTTGTACAATGAAGACTATGAGTGTTTATAATCACTAACGCGGTCACGATAGCGATCACTCAACAGCTTTAGGGTGCTCTTCAACTAGTCCATGTACCATGTAAATAGGTACCAGTATTTCAACCATTGTACCATCCACATGGGACTTTAACGTCTATCTACAACTATCACCGACATATTTGTTGGTTACGACATTCATGTAATGAGCTTACATCTCTGTTATGACAACCTACAAAGCACCCATGATACGAAAGATGCATTGTGAAAGATACAGGTTATAATATCAACTTACTATGTACTCATCTAGCCTTAACAACTAACTTTAGCAGTAACTGGGCCGCTCTATCCATGTACACGTTGTTTTACCAGATGTCTACCATCGATCATGATATACAGTAAATACCATTACAAATAGGTCAAATATCGCATCAACGCGAGTTCTGCTTAACGTAGTATCGGAATGAGTCGGGTACTGTGACGTCGATGTCAATAGTTGCCGCTACCAATTTGTTTACAAGTTTATCCTTGCATAACCTGAACCTCTCATCGTATTGCTTGATAAGTTCCTTAGCCTTTTTATCAAGGTCATCAACATGAGGCTCATCGTTTTCACATTCCTACGACAGATTTGTCGTTGTAAAGCTTGAAAATAGATCGACAGAAATGACACAGAAGGTCAGGAAACCGGTGACACGCATTTTAGCGGTTGTATATTTCAAATAACCACGCAAATCATTATGATCCATTATAAATAACGAAATATATAACATACCTTTTGGTATTCTTCTAGTAACCGTTTTTCCTCAGTCTCGCTAAAGAGCTTGAGGTCATTCTCGGCAGCCGAGATAGCTTCGTTGAGAAGCTTCACACGGTCTGCAAATATTATCTAATAATTTAATGTAGACATACTTTCTCTCGCACGTTTCACGATAGCTTCAGCCTCTTCCTCCGCTTTCAGCAATTGCTGGATAAGCGCGTTTGAACCCTTGGCGTTACTCATACTGATTAATTATTTTAGCGATATTGGTCATCGAAATGACACAAATAATTATTACAAATAAAGGTGCGTTCCACCAAACTGACGCGACGTTTAAAGTGACCATATACAGCAGGTAAGCATGATACTGGGCAAACTACCCTCCTCCAACAAACTAAATACACGAGGCAGTATTAGTGTGTCTTGATAAAGTTATGTCACATTGGTATGTTTTGATATGGCCAGTACTACCTCTGACTCTAGCTCTGATCTACTAGTCACATACTCCTCCGTGAAAAATAATCGCAAACTTCATAAATATGGCACGAAAAAGGGATCGCAACTCGAGTCGTAAACTGTGGTATCCAGATTCTACAGCAACTCAATCTGCGGAATCATTATGTGCCACGTTCAATAGTCCCGAAAGTCCACCGACCTCTAATGATATCGCTAGAAATTTGAAAAACACTTTATCTCATAAATACTGCATTAACTACTATACTGGCCATACAGCAACAAAAGAGTTGCTGGAATCCCTTTTTAATATGACCAAACGTAATATGTATGACATGTACAATGAGTCTGGATTTCTTGGTGGGTGGAAGGATCGCATGAAATATCGGGAACTCAGTGCCGCCAAAACACATATCATCACGGTTTCAGGTATATAGTTCATATGTACATGATACTATCTATAGATGAGGAAGATAAATTGGTTGGATTTGTCAGTTTTCGCTTTCTTAGAATATCTGACTGGCAGCCTGAGACTGAAGTATGCTACATATACGAACTACAGGTAGATGTGCGTTACAATTCATTATTACCATAGTAAGCGGTACACAGGCTGATCGGCAATCATCTGGACTGGGGACTTTCCTGATCAATGCTACCAAGATCGTTGGTCGTCATGCTGATGCGAAAAAACTCATGTGCACAGTATTGAAAATAAATCGCCGTGCAGTATCATTTTATCGCAACAAATGTGGATTTGTAGATGATGAAAGCGACCCTAGCTCCGTTGATTTCGAGAATAGAGAGAAACATATCTATCACATCCTAAAACTCGAACTGGACCCACCGTCGACATCGAACCATGACGCAAACGAAACCGACCCAGAGACATCAGAGAGCTGATGCATGGTCAAGATGAAAATATACGTCTCATAAAAACACTATAAACACAGCTGACACATTCACACTATGGATACAAATATTACCCAAATGGTTGCCTCAGATAATACCGATCTTGTTTGCGACGTCAAGGGCGTCTTGATCAGGTGAAAGCCTGACGTAAGCCTTCTTGCGTCCGTCTGGCCTGTTAAGGGTGTTCACACGGACACATTTGACATCGTAAAGGTCAGATACGGCCTGGGCGATCTTCCTCTTGTTAGCACGTGAGTCAACAATGAAGACAAGGGTGTTGATTTCCTCGATCATCTTCATGGACTTCTCCGTTGTTAGTGGGTACTTGATGATAGAGAATTTGTCAAGCTTTTTAGAGAGTGCAGTGCGCAAATGACGCCTGTATTTAGGGTTCCTCGGCAATGATAAGGTACGCCCCCTGAAGAAATGGGTGTTGTGCCTTATCTTGTAACCCTTGGCGGTGGTTGCCTTCTTGACACTGTTGGCTGCGATCTTGGCCTTCTTGACCTTATCGGCGTCAGCGCCCTTCTTGCCAGCTGCAATTATATTGATCCGGGATGCAAAAACATCATACACTCATGGCCAAGCGCCATAAAAAACTAGATGCAAAAACTTACACTCAGGCAGTCCCATTGTTGTATATTTCCAATTACAAAATCGGTCTGAATATGTGTTAATATATTGTTTAGATGTCTTGTTTAAGGCAGGGTCAGGCGTGACCTAATGGGAGGAGGGTGTTTGTAGCGGTTCGCCGGTGAACAACCTGAGTAACATACCTGTATTACGAACGTTGAGGCGACGTTCCTTAGAGGGTATAATTCCAGTAACAAACAGTTACGCGATGGCCCAAATAACGACCTCCATGGGTGGTGGGGTTTGGTACCGCTGTGGTCTGGTCTGATGGTTTCTCGAGTTCGGGTGTAACACCGCAGTACTCTTAAACTTTATCTCTCAGGTACACGATTTCAAAAACCTGTTGTGCCTTATAAAGTGGTACCAAGTCGCACAGTCGATCGAGTTGGTACACATATCTCTTCACAAAGGTTTCAGTATCATTAAGGGACTTTGCGTGTTCCTGGACATACAATTGTTACGGTCTAACTCCGTTAAACCCGGTTTGATATAATAAAGTGAAGTTATTAGACAGGTGTGCTAAAGGAATCCACACTAGTAGCCGCAGCCTCCTTTTCCGTCTGTACTGCTTCATGAAACACCAGTGGGAAGTTACGTCGCCACAACAGCGTGTATAGACGGCATATAGTTCGTTGCAATAGGCGTTCAAAAATTAATACGCCTCCCTTGACGCTGGGGGCACGGTCATGTAGGTGATGCTGAGATTAGTATGTTACAGATGTTTATTATCTCAATACTGTACTACCGACGATTTCACATCTGTTGGTGTATACATATTATTATTTAGGGCTATTGTTACAGTCACCTATTTTTGGTGGATACCCAACAGTATACATATCGACAGCGCTAAGAATGTCCGGGCGATTCTTCTTCCGTGTAAGTGAGCACAATATCTGTACGTCTGGCCTTCCCAGCCTTTGTGAGTACCATCTTGTGCCCCTTCACTGAAAGGATGTGGACAGCCGATTCGTCCACATCGTTATCACTGGGATCAACATCCATAGCATCATTCTGACTTGGACCACTATTCGAATTAGATACCCTCGATCTGACCTTGTTGTGCAACCTTGGAGGTAAAGATAGCAGGTAATAGTTGTCATTGCCTTCAACCTTGGTAGATTGCTGAATGGTTGTGTAATATATAGGCATCATGGTTACCTGGCAGGAGTACATTCTAACAAATTTGAAACGTTCTTGCGAATTGATCTCTTTGTATAAATCACGGTCCTCACTATCCTCAGTACTCTTGTAGTATTCATATATACGCTGGGTTGCTCCATCCTTGGCAACATTGAGGATACCTCCTATAGCCAGTTTCCCAGCATGCTCAGTAGCCGTGGAGGATGTGATCCCATCTACACCAGCCTGTATATAACGATTCTTCCAGAGACCGACGTTAGGCATGACCTTGTAGTGCTACATAATTACTGTATATGTTAAAGCGTAAGTGTCCTACCTTTGCGATTTTAGCATGCGGATTAGTTGGATGCCGCAACTCATTAACACGCACAAATGTATCATTAATCTGAGAAATATGGTATTCCACACGCTCAGATGTCGTCATAGAGCTCCATTTCTGTCTTAGTTTATCACCATGATCTGAAGTTGCAGATTGTTTATGTGGTATAGGCAGCCTGTCTACTTCTTTAGATTCAAACCTGGACCCATCACCAGCAAACAAAACCTGCATCACATCTTCTGGGAGCCCTTCACTTGCCCTGGCTATAAGCGGGTTTAGGACCTGCATTGCGGGATCACCCATCGTCTCATCTCGTAACTCTGTCAATTTATCATGCCCAGCGGCATCCAGAGTTTGAAGCTCTGCAGTCAGCTCAGCCATTAACTGCTCATTTGCTACGGCATATGTGTTGCGGTTCATATTATCGTTGGTATCGCACACCACTCCATTTTGAAACTCGCGGAACGTAGTACAACCATCGAATAGTTCAAGCGCTGAAGGCTCATAAGCGATTGCTTCATGATTAATCTCATAAGAAAGCAGATGACCATCCACGGGTGGCTCTGGAATGCTTGCATCGAACTCCAGATTTCCCAGTAATGGAGACTTCATATGAAGATACGCTGATAGCGTATCTGTGGACTCGGTCTTCCCTGTAGCGGTGGGAGCATCTTCCTTATGTTTTGGCATTTTAGCTATATTTTGAGCTCTTCAAACGCCTGCAACTGGATCACAGAGCCCAGTTCTGAGTGGCTTGTGAGGCCTTCTTTATAACGCGCATCACAAACCCATTATAATCAACGGGATACCAATATACAGCATTTAAACTAGAATATAGTATATTGTTTGTTACCCAGCAAAACAAAAAGTAAATGTCTACAACATACAATGTTGAGTGTGCTAGGGTTTAAGCTAAGCGCTTGAAAACGCAAAGATTAATGCTCTTTGATCACCTGTTCGGTAGTATCTGCACGTGATATTAGTCAAATCTAACCTTGTACCTACCTGAAGGTAACTTCTCACTCTGCGCTTCTGAAGTACCATTCTGATTTTCTTCATTCTTAGCTGCTCCTTCCGTTTCGGCGGGCTTCTCCGTTGATGATCCTCCGCTAAGAGCGCTCACTTCTTTGAGTTCGTGACGGGCCTCTTTCGCGAGATACTTTCGGAGGTCCTCTGCAGTGATACTATCGTTCTTGAGTAGCGAGACACAAATGACATTGTGAAAGTTCTCCATTATAAGTGCCGATGTACTATCGGGATCTAGTGTACCTATAGCCTCTCTAAGCACCTCTAGTAACACCTTGCAATATTGTGTCTTGTTGGCGCAAGTCTCGGTGATAGTTGTTAGTATACGTGCAGACATGCACGGCATCCATCCCTCATTCTGATATTTTTTCATCTCCATGGCTATACCATCCGTGTAAGAGGCCTTTGTGACAAGGTTATCATACTTGTCAGCTTCACTGGTGAGCGTGCGTTTCTGCAAACTTTTATCTTGACATATGATAAACATACCGCATCGTCTATGCACTGCGATAGTTCTTTGTTTTGTTTAGCCTCTTCAACCGCCGCCTACAAATTTTAACATCGACTTTCTAACAACTTACATTATGCTCATGTTCCACAAATGAAACTAGAGCCTTAGCAAGAGAAGCACCCTTGTCTGGTGCTGCAGCCGCAATGATGCGGTTCAACTCGATAAGCGCCGATCTGACCTTGAGATTGAGTTGTACATGCGATTTAGCAAATGCGGCGATAAGCTTCTTCTCAGCAGTATCGGCGTCTTTCTTCGAAAGACCGCATCCCCAGGTTGCTGGTTGCATAAGGAAGTCATCAGCCTTCAGGATGTCACGTTCAACATCGGAGAATACCATGTTTACAGCATTAGTAAATGTCTCCCATGACATTTCCTTGTCTAGTACCTGGTGTATGCTCTTGAGATGGGTCTCCTTTTCTTCTAACAATGACGGGATGATATGGCGCTGTTTTATACAACTCTCAATCAGTGTACTATGCAACTCCGAATCCAACATGACGAATGTTTGGAGATCAGCCTCATTATCACGTTTTTGTGCCATTGACTTACAATTCTTAAGCAAAACACGATAATGGTCATTGTTGAAATCAGATTTCAATTCACCATTTTCTTCTAGCATGCCAACACATCGCTGTGCTGTAATTGTGATATATGGCAGGTATAGGATGAAATGGTTCTGCGCAAGGTTGATCCATCTGTCGATATATTTAAGCTTCGTATCGACAGGTGCTGAACTTTTTAGCAGTTTGCCTATTAGAGTGTAGGCCAGTTTGGAGACAATGAATGTTTCAAGGCAGGTTAGTAGGATTGGTGTTTTACCATTTTTTTGCGGCAGTGCTGCAAGTTGTTAGATTACTGACCATATTACCTACTCTTTGCGATGTTACCGACAGAGAGTATCATACTCCGCGGTATGTGCCTACCCCCTACGTCAGAGGAGTCACTGACGAAGACCATATGATGTTCTAGTCCATCTTCCAGGGCCTCACTCTTAGGCTCTACAAGCTTCCATCGTTGAGCACGGGAGTTCATATAGTGCATGACAATGTTGAAGAGTGAGTATGCATCCGATTCCATCTCATCGACTTCAGTTGACTCCAATGGTCTGTGTCGGGTGAGATAGTCGGCCTCTAGCTCAGCCTTCAGGAGATTATGCTTATGTGTTTCCTCCTTTTCCGCCTCATCTGGTTCAGATTCCGAACTGGTCTGTCTACCTAGTGAGACATAGTCGAAGTTAAGTGCTATACCGTGGACAAAGCCCTCGTAAAGCGCCTCATCCAGTACCTCAACCTAAAGTAAATGTGTGCGTATATTTCATGTAATAGACATCTACACATCACAATAATCCTAACAATGGTTTCATTTTATCACCTTTAAATAGACACATGTCAATATGTGCTTACCTGTTCACCTTCAAGTTCGGAGGCTACGGCATTAGCGAGGTCTGCAACTTCATCTGAACCACAGAAAGGTATTAGCGGAATCGCCAGGAAGAATAATAACAGCCTTATTGATCTCATTTCAAAGTCTCTGGGCACTTATTTGGCTGGCTTACGGGTCTACGCCCGTTAGACAGAGCTGAGTGTGCTCTTATATTCTATATAGTTGCCGCTGCTGCACTTTTGGGGGCAACCAGCTTTCTATTTATTGAGTTATATCATAAATACTTGCGTATTTACTGTGCTGGGCTACTAACGAGGCTGCAATTGATGCACCCCTGTGCCGGTGGGCGCTAAACTTGCGAAAAGATTCGTATAAGAGAACACATTTACAAACACATCATACACCCTGTGTATATGTCCTATTTTGTACACAAAATGCTCATAAATAAGTGCTATGACGATGTCTTTAATGACCTAAAGTACATAACTGCCGTATACTGGCTCTAGTCAATTTGTGGCCTATACCGGCGCCTAAAGATTGCACATATCTGTGAAAGGTACACACCTAGTTCTGTAATTGTTTATAAACTATCACACACTTGATCCCGTAGCTGGGAGCGGCTGGTACTGATCCTCGGGGGTATCTGTGTATGATTGTATACACATGTTATCGTTGCTATGTTATTGAGTCTGATACTATTTTGATAAATGTGTATTGAAATATGTTTAGATCCCCATAGAAATATGTAAGTGATGACGCCACGTGATGCAAATTAGTCATTATATGTCCGCTCTATCGCGCACGGCTTTGTCAGTTTAATCCCCGATTCATTATTTGATACCGTCAACATGGCGGGGAGCAGTTTCCCTGATACTAAGGGTACTACGCGTGCAAGTGACTTCCTCAATTTCGAGGCGCCTACATATGGCCAATTTGGGTCTAACAGTAGCGGCATCGGCAGATCGCAGGGTTTGTCCCAATTCTCGGTGTCTAATGCAGGCCACAGTGGTGTGTAATATTCTTTATTATTAAATCATAGCTTCAGATCAAAGTCATTCTGTGATGCCTCCGTCTGTTACAGCACCCGGAGGATTTGGACGACCCAAGGTAAGAGTGCTCAGTTTATTGGCTAATTGTGATAATCAGGAAGACAATTATCTACTCAAGGGAATTGAATTTGTTAAAAACAGTGCGGCTAACATACAACGTGGTTTCGGCGAATCTACACGCAGTAATAGCGTACTTGGTATGTCCTATCACCTTCGATGCCAATCATTCATAGGTGCTGATTCCGTTTTATTCGGCGGAGACGCCGCCAGTACTGCACGTTCATCTTTTTCAGCCATAATGAACGTTGGTCGTTCGGCAATAGGGCTTTCAAGCCGCGATGAATCATCTCAGTCATGGATGACATACACGAATTACAAGATATTCGTTGTATTGTTACTGACTAGTTTGATATTCTTCGCACTCGCGTTTATGACGTTGCCATTTATCATCTTCGCTCCGCATAAGTTTGGGTTACTTTTCACCTGCGCGTCATTGACGTTCCTCTCGTCACTCTCATTCCTAAAAGGTTTAAGGGCGTTGATGGACCATCTGTTGGATGCCAAGCGTATGGTATTCTCTATTGCGCTATCAGTGTCGATGGTATCTACTTTGGTTTTCACAACATTCTATCCAATCTATCTGCTAGCCATCGCATCGTCTCTGGTGCAGACGCTGACTCTCGCATCAGTCATTTTGTCATATCTACCGGGTATGTGTCTTATATCGCCGTCAACCATATATTGACCTACAGGAGGCGCTGGAGCTCTTAAGCTAATGTACTCCTCCATTTGGGAGTTAGTGAAGAACCGTGGTGGTTCATCATCAACATTACCGTTATGATACAGATCAACTCAAAAGTATGAAATTTCTTTTCTAATGTATCGTGGATACCATTACTAGTGCATTTGCGAGGAAATGAATTTTCGCTAGCACTAGCTAGATTTTTTTAAATAGCCATTGACCTGGCCTCTTGGCCTGAAAATATTCGCAGGCGCTAAACACACAGTAGCGCACATTTTTTATTGGTCTATTTCTTTCCAAATGATCGGACTGAACTTAAAGAAATGGATGGGGTGACAGCAGCAGCAGCAAGAATACCGCTAGGAAAAATCCTCGCTTCCCCTCCATGCTGCAGTACCCGATAACCGAGACAGCATACATCAGTATATATATAATTATAGCATCGTAACATTTGTTGTCGTGCGAAAAAGTTTGTTTCACATATATATTGAGGAGTTTAAAACGAAAAAATTAAGAATCATGGATGCGGCTCACGTACATAGACGCCAGAAAAAATTCTGGATCATCATCGCCTGTGGGCTACTCGCGGTGTTCTCGGTGATATGCCTTATTGTCGTTCTTGCTCTTGGTACGGGAGAAGATGTAAAAGGTCCTACATATCCATTGGAAGTGTTCGACGCCAAGGGTGGCAGGAAGATTACAGAGGTTCCGCCACAAGAATTCTACAAAACCGTTACCGCAAACATAGGATTCATGACAACTGATGCCTGTATTGCGGATGAACAGTACGCAAAAGCCCTAGAAGAAATAAAGGATAGTGTCGCAATAATGGTGGATCGTGTACAGGTACCAAGTGAAGAAGACGAAGAGGCCGGACAAGACGAACAGAGCAAGCAAGTAGCACCCGGAAAATTGGACACTGCTCAACAGGGGACAAGCGGTCAGGCTAAAGCTTCCGTACCAGTACAACCCGCGAAAGACAGTAAAGAAACTCCCCCCAAAGAAGCAGGGGGAAAAGTCGTGAACCCCCTTCCGTCCATTCCAATGGAACCCCAAACTGCCGCTAAATCGCCTGTTGTAAACGTGGATGATAAAAAGAAAAACGGGGTTCTTGAGGGAAGTGACATTGCCTCACCGACAGAGGATGTAACCACCGGAGGAAAAACCTCAGAATCTTCCAAAAAAACGGAAGGTCCTAAACAACTTGATGGTATTGTAGAGGATAAAAATAAAACTCAAAAACCTGTTGGAGAAGCAGAACCTGCGGCACAGGGAACCCTCGTGACCCCCGAAAGTAAAACAAGCCCCGAATCGTTAACGGAACCGGAATCTCCTACTGAACCATCAAGCTTAGTAAAGGAGGACAAGAAACTTCAGGCACCTGGTGAACAAATTAAGCCCGCCACATCAACACAAGAAACCAAACAGGAAGTATCACCGTCTGTGGGTGTGACACCAGAGACCCAGGCTGGTAAAGGTGAAGTCCCACCAGTCATTGAGTCAGATTTAGGCAAATCAGAAGCTGTAGTTGTGCACGGTTCTCCGTCAGACGAGACACTGGAGGAGGCCTTTGATAAACTTGACAAGGAAAAGGAACAGGCTTCTTTAAGGGGTGCCGTAGGTCCAGAAGGCTCAACCACAGGTTCAAGAAATCAAGGTGACTTACCTGAAGTTGCTACGCAAAGTCTGGACGCTTCTGTGGAACTTGCTTTGACTGAAGCGGGTCAAAACGGAAAGCAATGAGTAAATCACAGGAGAGGTTCTTTATAACTCATAAAAGATATGCTGGTGGTCGCAGACAATGAGCTTATGACAAAGTTTGCAGCTGCATCAACGCTATTTTCTAATCGTGGTGACGTCATTGTTCAATCCCCTGAACTTTAAGTTGACAGAAAAAGAGTTTTACTAAGGGGTTGATCAAGTATGAACAAACGTCGAGCTACACCGATGTAACTATTCCGGTGTTATTAATGGCATTCAACATCACAAGACCTAATGATATATTCGCAATTCTGCACATTAGCACAATAGATAACCTGTGAACATGGTAGTATGTCATGCTGGTAGTCCGGTTGTGCGCCGTCGCCCAGTTAGCCGGTATTCCTGCGTGATCCCACTATAACGATAGTCATTTTGTCGCCGTAGGCATGGTTGAGATAGTATATAACCATTATGCTTGACGTGCCGTGGGTAAAGGGCGCGTCGGGGGGAGCTGTCATTCGTGGACTCTGTGCAGCATTTCTTACACTTATTAGAGTAATATCGCCACATAACGGCTTATAGTTGGGAATGCTGCTAAAGGTGTCAATTAGGATGCTAAAAAATGACAGGCTGGGTGTGCGAAGTATGCCTAGTCCCAAACGATGACGTCCCGGCGTGTGTCTGTTGTACAACGCCTAGACCAGATACCAAGGCTCAAGCATCTGATACAGGTATTACATGTTTGTGTACGCTCTATTTATGTCAGTGGAGTGCGTATAAGTGACTTTTTGATTTATGTGTATCGGTGCCTGTATTATCTCTATTACAACGCCTAAAGCTTAATATAAATTCTGCTTCAGATGCACAAAAAGAGAGCCATGATAGCCCTGAGGCTGTCAGAGAGCAGGAATCTGCCTTTGAAGGCACTGAGATTCCCGGAGCGCGCGTTCGAATGACCTTCGAGTTGGGGGATTTACAGCCAAGCTGCCTTTTCGTTGTCGGATCTTCTGAAGTAGACCAGCTCCCTAGAAGCATATGCGATAGGCTTGCTGTAGAAGGAAGTGGAAAATTGGAGCCTTTATTCGAATGCTCTGTACCGACACCTATTGTTGATGGAATACGCGGTTCACTCAGTGCCGTAGCGTGCGGTTCATTGCATACCGCTGTGTTAACTCGAGCAGGCAAGGTTTTCACCTTTGGATGCAATGATATGGGTGCCCTTGGTAGGCACGAGACACAAAAGGTACCGGAATGTGAACCTTGTATTGTACGCCTTCGGCAAATCGTAACACGAGTGTCTTGTGGTGACAACCACACGTTGTTCCTTACCAATTCTGGTTCAGCATTCTTTACGGGCGCGTTTCGCGACACGATGGGTAATATAGGAATACCTGACTTCTCCGATATGGAATCACTGTCCAACGCGGGACATATAAAAACACCAGTGGCGTTGCCGTGCGATGCCGCTGGAGCAGGGGCTATACAGGATATAGCATCAGGAGAGAATCACTGCCTGCTGCTACCGGTAAGCGGTAATGGAATATATGTGATGGGCAGCAACGAATTCGGGCAGCTGATGTTACCAACAGGATATCAGCCAACCATTCCCACGGACGAGACACCAGATCTATCGGAAGAAAACATGGCCAAACTTGCATTAGCATGGCCTCAATTCCTTGATGCAACACAATTGGGAATTAGAAAACCAGAACCTGTAAATGGTGTTAAGCGACGCAAACACGGGGGGAAACTGATTAGTCGAATCTTTAGTGGATATTGTACGAGCTTCTTTGAAACAGGCAACTCAAAACGTATCTATGGAGCCGGACGCAACGCACAAGGTGAACTTGGTTGTGGAGGAGACGAACTTTGTGTTATGCACCCAACCGAACTCCAGGGACTCCGAGGTCTACGCATATCTAAGATACTCGGAGGACAGTACTTTGCTGTCGCACTAACGGAGGGTGGAAACGTATTCACTTGGGGTAACTGCTGCTACACGGGACACGGAGTTGAAGACGATTTTGGAAAACAATCTACACCTAAGAAGCTTGATTTCTTCAAAGATAATGTAGACGACGTATTTGTTGGAGCTGACGCAGCATTTGCTATTACTGATCGTGGACGATTATATGCCTGGGGATCAGCACAGAATTACGTACTAGGAAACGGACGTGATTACCTCTTCCAAAAGGTACCTGAAGAGGTACCACGTAACTACTTTACCGGATATCATGTAGTTGGTGGTATGGGTGGCTCGCAGCACACTGTATTTTTGTGCCGCAGGTACAAGTAACATACAAAAACCTAGCTCATGGCCTATTGCTACTGAAAATATAGCATATAATGAAGTTTACACTTTTCTTATTCTCGAATTACAGTTATACTTGTGATACCCTGCAGTTTTTATTGCTTCGTGATGGGTGCTGCGACGTACCAAGTCGGCGTTTGTTCAGGTCAAAAATGACAGAATTGCTCTTGAAAAATGTAGCTCCAAGAACGTTAGCGTCTGAACCTTCTTCTAGACCCAGACACCACCAAGTTCCGCTGCCATGAGTTCTATATATAATGGACATCATGTGTAGTAAACTTACTTCCCAGGTCTTCGAATGAAGTATGACTCGGGGTACCACCTTATCCTCTTCCCGTGGACTACCAAGTATACACTCGGCATTTGTGAGATATCAGAAAAGCAGATGAATTTCTCATGCTTCTGTATGGTACACCTAACCTTGTCATCTAATTTCTTTTGCAAATCAATTGCTGCGTGTAGGATGTACTCTAAGTGCGCTTCAGCACCAGAATCCGTAGAACTATGATTGCTAACTCCTTCACTTTGTCCTGTTTCATTCTCCGAAAATGCTGCCGTATCTTCATGTTTTGGTTTATTGCTGCTCGTTGTATGCATAGTCTCAATAAAGTCTTTGGAGTCACTGGTACGCCTTTTAGTCCTTCTTGCGGTGGTTTTCAACTGGATTGTATTGCAAAGGTGCCTATAAAATGAATGAATGATCTTATACATAGCCGGTTCCAAATCGCTATATGTAGACCCAGAGTCCAGTATGAATTTGGTACTATTGGGCTTCATAACATATCCCGCAAATTCCAGAAATTCAACTGAAATCGAATACACCCCTGTAAGATCCATTGGAACCCATATAGGCCCATTTGATGAATGCTGAACATCTCCATCTCTGTATTTTCCACCAATTAGATTGGGTGAAGCGTCAAAACCACCAATGGTCATCCATCCACCCTTATCAGAAAGACAAAGAGAAAACTGATGCTGCTTTGGTAAGAAGTGTTTATGAAGGAAATCGTTCACAAAGTTGCCATAGGTAAGGCTTGGACCATTGGTGGAGTTTGTTATTTGGACAGTATCGGGTTGCTGAGATGTGGACATCTCATTTCCCTTTCTAGCATTCGATTTAGTAGCCGATGTAGTATTGTCCTCTGAATCATCCATGCAATCTTGTTCCTCACCATGAACCTCGGATGGACCAAGACCCAGTACCCCGTTGGCACGTTGGTGATATATTAGCTTTGTTTCCGAGGTGACACATCCGAGCTGTGGGACCATGTAATTTACATTAGGTTCTATATCGCTTTCGAACATAAAGTAGTCTGAGACATATAATCCTCTTATATTACTATTTTCAGCGTAATCTTGCTCAAAGGTACAGGGATTCTGGTTCTTTCCATTACGGCGTGATTTACCCCCTAAAACAGCGCACTGAGAGCTTTTACCACTTATCAGTAGTGTAGTTTCCGAACAGGCGGGATCGAAGGCTGCCAAATCATGGTGCCCGCAATGATGAGACTCTGCGTCACTTAGCATTAAATTGGATGATCCCGTGTCCACTACCACAGTTTGGCGCTGAGTAGGTGTCCCAACCTCTATGTAAGTGTAATAATATGCTAGATTGTGAAGGTCGCCATAAAGCTTGATGTGAAGAGGTTGACTAAGCGTACACGATTCACTATCTGTATAATGCTTGGTTTCGTGCTTCCGTTTATCCTGGACACATTGATCGAATTTGGTTCCTCGGCTGCATATTGCACATCCAGCCGATACGTAAGAGAGTAGGTGGCCACATAGAATTAGCGTCACAAAAATCCATAGGGATATTTCAACATTGATTTTGTGTTTCTTATGTGACATATTCACCTGTTACATCGTAGACAGGTACAAAATAATACATTTTAACTTGGCTACATAGGTGATTATACTCTGAGGGCTACTGAGGGTCATCTTCTCTGCCATAGATCTATCGTCGAAAAAAATGTGATCAAAGGTTAGCCTTAGATCCTTAGGTAATGAAGTCAACATGGCGCTACCTAAGAGATAAAGCACAATCTTTTAGTTGTATAAGGCTATGTTGCAAGTTATCATCAACTAATAAAGTCTATTTGGTGCTATGTATTGACGAGGATACATGTACCTCCAACAATGGTCGTCATGAGGGGCAGGTATCTGCCTCGACGAAATTTGAAGGATATGTGTCATCTAAATGGCGCTTATAAGCAATTGTGGTTTGTATAGATAAAAAGATTATCGCCTCATATGAATGTGTGATCAGTATACCCGTACGAAATGGCCATTATGCAGTATGAGGGGATACTTCATTCACACATCACGGCGAAATGGTGTTAATATGCTGTGAACTTGAGAATTAAGTGATCTTCCGCGAGGTCCGTCGGTCTCAATAACTTTGCGGTCCGACGACGCCAATACAATGACGTTGTTGAAAACCGCGACGATATATTAGATATAAGACGACACAAAACGGGTTTAAGTCTAGAGTTGCATAATTATGTCACACGAATTTCGTTGTTGGAACGAGAATGGCGATTGAGTACACCTTGCGTAACAGCCAGTTAAACAAGTCGCGTGTTTCACCGTAGTAAACAGAAGCTATGAGCCTTCCGGTAATAACGCTATTGAAATACGTATAGACATTAATATGAAATTCATTGATGTGCTATATATATATCCTCGTAAAGTCTAGAAGACGAACACAACCCCGTTGAACGCTGGGCGTACTGGCATTGCCACTCGCGCCGGTCGACGGTGCAGATTACTGGGTAAATTATATTCGCAGGCCTACCTGAATCAGGTGGCTCGCGTGAAGTTGTATTGTGAGTCTATTTTTGCGACGATTATCGTGCGTACTTCCCTATTAGCCTGTGTACAATCGTGATCGGCTTACAGCTCTGTTATATCGAGCGTAAGACACAATGACGGATAGGTGGAGAGAACCAAGGAACACATGGGCACCGGGAGAACGGAAGTCACTTTTTGCGAGCACACGTACCCTGAATCGCCATCGTACTGGAACAACACACCCTGTATTTAGACCACAAGAGAATCAAGAAGCTCAACCACGTCTATGGAGTCGAATTCCATCTGGAGGTACTGAACAGGGTTACCCGGATCTATTTAGAAAAGAAAGCAAATCATATATACCGTATGCCAAGAGGGTGGAACCTATCCCAACGGTGGGTGTTGGGGGAGATATCAGCTCAAAGGTGTATAAGAATCGGAAACCTCTATATGAACCGACAACAGAGTCAGTGGAGAATATAACCATCGTGCCCGCTGTATTACAGACATTTGAGGCCAGAAAAGGCCACATCACTGATGAAAACCACAGGGCTGCAATTTCAGATAGCCTTACAGTGCAACTTGTAGATGAGCCCACACCAACACAGTTCTTCGAGAAAACAGAAATTATAGACTCTGCTACAAGGGACACTACTGCAGATGGAGACTCGTCAGCCGACCGGTTGGCATCCCTTAAGGACCTTGAAGGGCCCCTGGAGGAGACTTTGGCAGGAGTGCAGACGGAGACAGCGAAGGAGCCAGCTGGTATTGCTGCCGACTTCATAGCAAAATTAGGATATAATCCATTTGCGATCTTTAGGATTAAACATGCGCGAAGCCCTATCAATGTCACAGAGAAGGAACTACAATACGTTAAGTCGGTAGTGCTCTCTAATCGTCATACTGCCGAAGAGCTCCACTCTTACTTCAAAGCCTCCATTTCGGTCACTAATGTGCACATGATGCGCACGATATTGGAATTTCTATGCAATGTTATTATAAGCGACGTATCATACCGCTCTCTATGCGTTCGTATGATGGAGACAGCACTGGTATACCACCCAGACGAATTGGTACAATGTTTCTCATGTGCATATATTCCAGTGTTATTCGAACCTGAAGTTGATGATGATGTTGGAGGTAGATTCATCCGTTTGTTGCTATCTTATAAGGCTACATTCGGGGCACCAGGGATACCGGACGACGGTGTCCCTGTTGGAGTTGACAGTAATGGCGCATTCTGCTACAAAATCGAAGAATGCAATCTAAATGACTTGTCATACGTGCCAACAAATTCTGATGCATCCTATCCCGATCCAGAATTTAAAACTGCTGGCCAGAATGACGCTACTAAACGACGGCCAATTCATCATATATTCACAAGCTCTGGGAAGATTGAAACAATGGTATTGTTGAAATTGTGCGCCAACAGAGCTCGTTCGAAATCAGCATTTACGATACCTGCATCGCGATTGAGAGATTGGATTTGCACAATCTGGTATGAGCTGCCAGCAACACGCCCATGCCTCCCATTGATGCGGCTGTGTATAAACTGGATCAACTCTAGGGATGACCCTAAGTTTCTGAAAGATGCTGCATTCGCACTACTGAGAAAGGAGTTGACGTTGATGGGTGAGTTTGAGGGAGGTCGACTGCTCATGTTGGAGCTGCTTAGTTTCATGTTAAAGTGTAATGGCGATGCAAGCACTGAATTGAGCAAGATCGTCGATATGTTGGTTGAAAATGAGAATAACGTTTTATACGCGGTGATGGATTCAATAATATCGACTAATCTAGAGGAGGTTGATATGCTAGACCTATGGTGCCTACTCTGTATCCTGCCGTGGCCAGTGTCGTCACCTGATAGCGCCATTTGCCGTCTAATGTCATCTACCTTCCTGGTATTTTACCAACTTGCTTATGACGCTCTAAAGGGAGAGGATGTTTCTCGCAGGTTTTCGTCGAATCCTATGGGTCTTTTGGAGAATGCACTTCGTATTTGTGTATGTCGTTGTTCATCGCCAGTAACGTCTAAGGGGGCGCTACTGCAAACGATACTACTAGTAGAGCTTTCACCTCTACCTGCTTTAGGCATGTCAAATGCTCCACTAATTCTATCGAGTCTATGCCCGTTCCTTTGGAAGTGTCATTTTGTGTGGTCCAACTGCGGGCGTGATGTCGATGAAGATAGTTTGTTGGCACTCCGTCACCTGTACGATTCGCTCCGTACGCGTGTGTTTTGTGAACCGTTATCCAACGCTCGTGACGAAGTAGGAGAGCGTAAAGTGCCCATATTCCCCCGCGTCCGATTTGAATCTGAAGACCAAAAATCTGATGATATAAGCCGGTTCATAGGGCAGACACAACAGTTTGGTTCACCTGCTCAGGATGTTGACGATGAATCACTTCGTGGTGGAGTGTCGACGGCACCTGCACCGGCTCCACCAGTAGAATACGATTCAACAGCAGTACTGGCTCAACCTCGTGGCTTGCGCAATTTGGGTAATACTTGTTATTATAACAGTGTGTTGCAAGCTTTGTTTCATACTAGGAGTTTAGTGTACGGGCTGTTTGAGCTATACGACAGTAACGAGCATGTAACTGTTTACCAGCGTATATTTCGCAAGTTGATGAAGCGGGGTAAGCGTACGTTCGATCCACGTGCCGGTTATAAACTGTTACCACCGTCATTCACACGTGGATCGGAGCAGCAGGATGTAACAGAGACCCTTGGTCATATTATGGAGTCGCTTGACCCATCTCTGGGTCTATGGCGCCGTGTATTTGCAGGTATGGTGGTTCGTCGAGTCAAATGTTCGACCTGCGGTAATTTAAGCGATAATCGTGAGGTAGTCATGGACTTCACATTCCCTCTTAATGGCTTGCTGAGCATTCAGGGAATGTTTGACGATTACTGCCAAATGGAGACACTGTGCGGAGGTAACCGTTACTTTTGTAACCGGTGTGATGGTTACAGCCGAGCAGAGATGTGGAATGTTATAGCATCTCCACCAGCCCATCTTATGGTGGTATTGAGCCGTCATTTATGGCGATCTGATTCAGATTCTCAGGGTTATACATCTGGCGCAAGCAAGCTTCTGGATCACGTGTTTGTAGACGACCGATTACGTATTTGTGAATTCGATTACACTCTCTATGGAAGTATCTTTCACTCTGGTCGTGATACATCTTCTGGTCATTATTACTTCGTTGGTCGTGACAGCGAGGCCCCTAGCAGGTGGCACATCTGTGATGACTCAAGAGTAACCGAGGTCACCGAGACCGCTGTGAATGACATAAGTCAGAATCCAAAAAACTCAGACGTACCGTATGTGGTTTTCTATCGCTGCACGCAGGCACCTTTAACCCCCGCCTTAAGATAGGTGGCTGTACCTAGACACTTCAAAATTTTATTATATATACAATTTTCAGTCAATTTTTGCCTGATACCCTTAACATGCATGTTTTATTCATAATAGCGCTGCTGGAGTCAGTTGCCAAATGTCTATCTTTCCGTAATTTTAGCATCCCGGGGCCTTGTAGCAATGCTGCTTTTATTGTCCACGAAAAAAGAGGATGTTATACCATTAATACCCCTTTAAAGAGCCATAATGGAACGTTAAAAACCGATGTGTGTACAGAAGATGACGTCAAAGTCGCGTCTTCTAATGAATTCCCAAATAGTAACAAGACTGTCTACCTGTTGGAACCTAGAGGGTTCTGTGCCGGCGTACGTCGAGCTATAGACACTGTAGAGGAAGCAGTTAGGATATTCGGTCCACCTATTTATGTGAAGCACGAAATTGTTCATAACGAGTTTGTCTGCAACACTCTGCGCGTAGGTCAGAATTCTATGTGCTTATATCCACCTTAGAAAAAAGGAGTTGTATTTGTGGAGGATGTGGAGGCGGTACCAGAGGGTAGCGTGTTGATCCTTTCGGCGCATGGAGTGCCGCCTACGGTCCATGAGGCGGTGAAGAGGCGCAATCTCATTGAAATCGACGCATCATGCCCTCTTGTGACCAAGGTACATGTCTATGTGAAAAAGAAGGCAGAAGAGGGGTACCGTATAGTCCTTATAGGTCACAAAAAACATGGTGGGTGCTAATTGTTATATTATCATATAATATAGTGGAAACAATCGGGACATTGGGCGAAGCCCCGGAGGCGACCACGGTCGTTGAGTCCGTCGACGATGTAGACCGTCTAGATTATCCTCCAAACACGAAACTCTTCTATACGACACAAACAACACTCAGCCTTGATGACTGCAAGCAAATAAAGGACCGCCTTATCGAGCGTTTCCCATGGATTGAGACAATACCTAGCGGATCCATCTGCTATGCCACTACCAATCGACAGGTTGCCGTACAGAAGGCTTGTGGTTTTTGTGATTTAGTGTTGATCGTAGGTAGCACCATGTCATCTAATGCTAACCGTTTGGTCGACACCGCCACAGTGAGGAAGGTTAGAGGGAAGCTCATACCTGATGCCGAAGCTGTGACACCCGAGCTTTTAGGGGATGCACAAAACATCGCATTGTCAGCGTCAGCATCGACTCCTGACGAGCTTACATCGGCGGTTGTCGAAAAGTTGGCAAATCCACCATTCAACTTTGATATCAAAATCTTTAACGGCGGTGAAGAGCGTGTGCCAAAATGGCGATTACCTAGGTTAGTGCTATATAATGTGATACACATATGGCTACAGGAATCTCGAAAATTTCATTAAGGAACATGACACCAGAATGGAAAATAATTCATCCCCTCTGTATCCCGAGGTTCCTTCAGTTACCGTGGGTTCCGGTGATAAATCTTAGTCTCTGTGTAAACATAACATTCTCCGATAATATTGGTGATATGTTTGTTTTACTCTAGTGTCATTTGTTTCGTGTGCTACAGATCTCTGACAACGGCATGTTTCTGCCAGAATTCTACAGATTTTAGATAAGCCTCGTGATCCAAAGGCACGCCGCTCCCACCTTCAGTTATCATGGTGTTTCTAAACATAGTGATTGGTAGCATGGGTATTTCATGTTCCACATCTTGCGCCTTGATTGATATGACATAGTAGTCGTAGTCATAGGTAGCTCCAGGACTATGCTCATCACGAGCATCATTTTCCTTGATCACCTGTTCCCGAGAGTAGAGAATTACATCCAGGAATCGAGCACGGCTGAGCTCCTGTGCTACTGCTGCCTTGGGGAACCAGCGCGAAAGTACTGGAAGCTCACGCTTGGTACGTGCGACGTAACCCGATCTGTATAGTTAATGCTGTATTATGTTTTTATCTTACCTAAGCAAGTGCATGTTGTTAGGTGTTATTGGTAAGTATCCAGATGTCACATCTGTGTAGTTTTCAACGAACAGGTGCTTGCAAAATGGCGCATATCCATCCGATAGCTTTGCCTGGCCTTTGTTAAAGCGTGCTCTCAACTGTGACGGAAATGATAAAAGGTAAAAGAATGATATACCTCTTGCATAAATAGCTCCTTAGGATATGGAATGTAATTTTCTTGCTTCTCGTCAAACTGCTTATAGCAATAGGCATCTGTTTCATTTAATACAAGTGATGGATAAACATACCCATCCCTATGGAGAAAGGAGCGCCGGAAGCCTCCATGGTTTGTTCTACGCCGTTTGTGATTCTACGTGCCAAGGTTTGAAAGTTAGATCGCTCGCTATTCCGGTAAAATGGCACTATAAATGAAAACGGGGATCGACATCTAATTGCGGATCTGATGCCCATGGAAGATAGGTAAATGTTTATTATTATGGTGACGACTACGAGTCGTATACGACCTTTACTTTGCATGATAGGTCACACCAGTGTATGCCATGGCTTTGAGACATATCATGCGTCCTATAAGACGCTATTCTACCATACCAGTGCCACACACCCCGCAGCGGTCGTCCTTCCATGCTACGTGCAGCATGTAATAACGTTCACTTTGCGCTTATTTTACACAATTATAATATCGCTAAACTTCGCAAAAAGCGATGAGTGGCATATACCGCTTCTTTACGCGCGGCTTAGCTACAGGAAGGACCGTTAAATTTACTAATTCAACAAATCAATATGACATAAAACGGATATGTCTGTATTCCTTAGCTGCCACAGGGGCATTCTCAGGTTTGGCTATGCTTAATGGTAGGTACCATTGATCTTTGTAATAAGTCATGACAGGTAACGCCAACTGCGCCAAATTTGAGCGTGTTCGTCTCGGTACGGTGAAAGAGTTCGATGATGGCGAGATGCATGAGGCACAAGTTCACGGAGGTAGGAGCATATGTCATATATACTAACGATAGCAGGCACCGACCTAGTGCTGGTAACCAAGGTCAAGGGGAAGTTCCACTGTACTGGCGCCAAATGTCCTCATCTAGCGGCATCGTTCGTTGATGGTGGGTATATCGTTGTTTTCGACCATATTTGAAGGTGCTTGTACGGACGAATACCTAATTTGCCCACGGCATAATGCCAAATTCGACATTGCTACCGGGGAATGTAAAAATGGTAAAAGGACTTTTTAGTAGTTATAATAGCAACTATACAGGGCCCTGCTACTCTGCTATACCTACTTACAAGGTTGAAGTTGATGGTGACTCATTATACGCTTACCTGCCGCCGGCACCGATGTCGGTAAGTCATATTATCAGCACCTACATGCATCTGCGTTTCAGGATGAAGTGGAGATGCCCCGTAAAAAAATTAGTGGAAAAGACAACCGTGTGTTTGTAATATGTGGTGGTGGAGCTGCCGCTCACGCAGCTGCGGAGACGTTACGTCTTGAAGGTTTCGGTGGACGGATCCTTATCTTTGGAGATGAGGTCCATTTGCCTTACTACCGTCCTCACCTTACTAAACGTATAGAAACGAAGAGCTATGATCAGGTGGCAGCTGAGCAGGCTCTTCGTCCACCGTTGTGGTACCGTGCCAACCAGGTAGAGTACTATGGCGGTAAGAAGGTGACCGAGGTCAATCACGACGTCAACACTATAACACTGGAAGATGGTTCAACCGTCAAATATGACAAGGTGAGTTATAGCAATCTACTTTCAAGTTGTTATAGGTACTGGTCGCAACTGGCTCCGAGGCTGTGAAGTTACCGATGGGCAGGGGATTGGGTCCGCTTTCTAACCTCTTTACTCTTCGTACAGCCGATGATTTAGGCGAAGTAGTTAAGCATATTAAGCCGAATACAAGGGTTGTCCTTGTGGGTGCGAACTTCATCGGTTGTGAAATGGCGTCTTCACTAACAAACAAGAAGGCCAAGGTTACCGTCGTGACGGACATGGAGGTGCCAATGAACAACATCGTCGGTACCCGTGGAGGCGCAGCCCTTAAAAGTCTCTTGGAGAAAAACGGTGTGACTGTCATTACCGGTAGTCCTGTGAAGAGCTACAATGCTAAGGGCGGTCGCGTAACTCAGGTTGTCACAGCCAAAGGTGTTGTGGATGCTGATGTTGTTATTGAGGGTGTTGGAGCACGTGTGACCGTGAATTTGTTGAAGTGCGCTCAGAAAAACCGTGACGGTACCGTAACGGTTGACGCATCTATGCGTTGTAAGGGATGTCCCGATAATGTCTTTGCAGCTGGTGACATTGTGACATATCCCTATCACCTTGACGGTACGTGAGGGCGTGTAATTAGTACATGACAATTGCAGAATCACCTGTTTCCGTGAAACACTGGAATGTCGCTGTGCAACACGGTCGTGTCGCAGCTAAGAATATGCTCGGAGCGAACGTCCGTATGGACATAGTTCCCTACTTCTGGTCTAACTTTTTCTCGAAAGGATTCAGGTTGGCATCGTAACACAATTTCATTTTAATATTTATTTAGGTTTGCTGGTGTCGCTAGCAACATTGACGACATTGTCTATGAGGGAGATGTAAACAATTTTAAGTTCATCGCCTACTACATCAAGGCCTCAAAGGTAGGGCTTACCATTAGTTGTGCATTGATTTCAGGTTGTTGCAATGTTGGGTATGGGAATGGATAAGGTCAGCGCACATATGGCTGAAGCGCTTACAAAAGGCTGTGCGCCATCCTATGCAGCTCTTAAGCTCGGTGCTGCTAATTCGGAGAGTATGCTCCAGTGCCTCAAAAAATTAAAGCAATAGAGAAAGGATCTAGACAGAACATCGTGATCGTTCGATGTCGCAAACAACTGCATCACAGAAATATAAATGTAACACTGGCATGGACTTTGCAAATATCAAAATATAAATTGTCAGTAAGCTGTACTTTATAGTGTTTCAATCGATAAATATATCTGCTCTATCTATGCTCATTTTCAGCATCATTCTCCGTGGTGTTAGAAGTTGCGCATTGTTTCGCAAGCGTCGGTTTCATATCCTGGTGCCTTTTGCAACGATTCTTGACGGCGCTTAAGATCGTTTTCATGAAAGTCTACTCGGCATGATAGCTTCATATTTGAACATACCTTGTGGATCTTTATAGTGGAAAGCTCTACCGCCAGCGATTTCAACAAACGGTAGTCGTGATATACCTTCAGCGGCGGTGTCTAGAATCACAGTACCCCTGCTATAGGTGAAATTCAATACAGATCCCAGCATACCCATGTTCCCCTTCTCCCAAACTTCCAGGTACGACGTATGGCGTTAACGCTGCCGGAACGTGTTGTGTCAGTGCACAGCTGCCCTGCTGTACGTAACCGCCAAGCGCTACTGCCACCAGGATGCCACTAAAGAGCATAGTGGCGCTACTCTTTTATACACACAGTGTATACACACCGATCATGAATATATAAAAGTTTGGATTAACCTGTTAATTGACTGTGTAATGGTGTGTAACGTTCTGTGGTGACGTCGCGATCACGTTATGCGTAGATGTGTGGATACGTTTTGCACCTTCCGTGAATTGTCGTAACCATATGTTTCCAAATACTTTAATATAAGCGCAGCTAGGCTAATGGCGGGGCCTCCCGCCAACGGGAAATCAAAAATACTAGTGCGAGGTAGGCACAATGAATGATAAATAATGTGCTCAGCGTTAAGACGCCTTGAGCAAGCGTTCAGCGAAAAGTTGAAAGTTGAACAAAGTACACAACGTCGTACTAGGGGTTAGTAAATGTTTCAATACTAATCAATGATCACAGCTGTCGCACTAGGGGTGGTTGTTGCAAATGTCGCCTCGCTGGTCCATGTCGTCCGGAGTTTAATGCAAGGAGTTGAATCCCATAGAGAGGTATGGTATCTCTATAGTATTTTGGTCATAATGCTCAGTTGGCGAAAGAATCGTGGTCAATTAGGTACGCCCCGACCATCTGCTTTGCAACCCTGATTTACTTCTTCACAAATCCCACATTCCGCAAAAATCTATTCTGCTCGACGATGTAAGTTGTGTATATATCTATCACTGTATATTATAAAACTCAGATACCTTGATCGTTTGAACTTCTCACTACTGGATTTTAACCTTCGCTTCTGCGGAAAGTAAGCCTATAGCATAACGAATGCATACACGCTGTAGGTCGAACAAACTGGAGTTCATCTCGTAAATCAACGATATTAAGCAACAGCGTACATTACCAAATGTTGTTACAATTACTGTGATCATAAATGTTTAAAGCATCTCATAATTATTCATATTGGGAGTTATATTCGGACTATAAAGGCTGGTGGATACCGCGGCCGTTTATTCACAGACCGTATGCACCAAAGTTCACTTATACGATGCAAACAACTCTGGGCCAATCACTATCGATGATTTAGATTGCCGCTTGGCCTGCTGCAGCGCCGTGAAAATAGAATAGATGAGCCCTGCATTTGTGCAGGGGACTTGTAAAGTGCCCTCCGAAGCTCTTATAATAACGCCATAGCATGATGCACGACACTCCTGAATGTCGGCTATGGCCACCTTCCATAATATTGTAGGTTTCGGCTTCAAATCTACGTAATATACCTTGGAGGGATAAAATAACAATGCCAAATGACTTTGTGGGTGGTTACGTTTAGCCACCGTTTCGCAATGTACAATGTTCTTAGCAAACTTGTGACCAAGTTGTTGTCTGATCTCGGCGTCGCTAAGACTATACGGTTTCAGCTGGGAATATTCTCCCCAAAGCATACGAGGACGACGACACGGCTCGGTACACCAACGATGACCTTCCAATTGACGAGACATGTTCACCTTGATTGTTCGAGACACATGTGATACTGCCTGTCCCACTTTGTCTATGGGTTTCACTATAGAACCGGCGAGACCTTTACCAAGACCACGAATAAAACCGCCCATACCACCCTTCTGAGCACCTTCAATAGGCTTTGTCACAATATTCGTAAGAGATATAAAACCTTCACCGATACTCCTACTGGCCGATAAAATACCGTCACGCATGTTACCACTGGGCACTGCCATACGGTCGCGCTGACGTTTGTTGATATACTCGTTATCAAAGGTAAACTTAGACAACAAACTGCCGATACCGGAACTGACACTGTCTACTGCGTCCGCTGCAAATTCGATAGTGTTCCGTCCAACATTTATAGGGATCTTGGGGATGTTCAACAATGAACTGTAGCCCAGCAACGATCCGATACAACCAAGTGCTGCGTGGACATATTTGTCCTTTATCTGTTCGTAGAAAGAACGAATTGACCCTCGGCAGTTGCAGAAATACTCCTGTTGGAACTGAAGTGGTGCGCCCATAAGTTCAAAATGACGTGATACACAGATGATACGAAGTCCCATACGCATAAGGTCACCTAACATGTGCAGTTTCTCCAAATCGAAACTACACCATAAAACAAGGTTGAAACGTTCGATAAATAGAAAATCTAATACCAACATTCGAGGCGGTATTGGGTTCTTATCCAATGAAGACAACTTCTCTTGTGATTCTTTCTGGACCCAAGAGTCTACCAAACGCAAATCGACCTTCTGTTGTGATCCCCAAGTACCCATACATTTCATGCATTCCTTATAGAAATTATAAACGCGACTTAATAAAGCGTCGGAAATATCCACTTCAAGATCATCTAATGCTACAAAAATCTTTTTAAGACATAAATCTTTACAACTTGCAAAGGGACGGTCAACATATATTTGCAAAACATGACGCTGGTGTTCCTGCCCAGTTGCTTTGCGACGATTAACCAAGATAGTTGAAGATTGGTCCTCATCCATTTGCTTCTCCTCGGTCTGATTGTCGATCTGAATGTCACTTATACGTAGTTCCAGACGTTGGTGATCTCCATTCCACAAACATACAAACGACACTGTAGACATTTCAAGGAATATCAATTCCTCATGTAAATGGTGTGACACCAAACTCAATCCTATTTGTGAGAGTTGGATTTGCATTTGTAAACTCCGTGAAACGGGCTCTGTCACAATATCGTCATCACCATCATTGCCGTCAACATTTTCTTCAGAGCTCTTTAAAACATCAGGGTTCAGTTCAAGGAGACCTCGAGTATCGCTATGACGTCTTTCAGGGGTGTGATCTCCTGGATCAGAGCCGTGATACTGTGATAACGAGGGTGCACGAATTGAGCTGATACTTGTACGACTTGAACTTGTAGATTCTGCGAAATTGCGAGCTAACTCGAGGTATGGGCGTGAAGGATTGACCTCTATAGAGATATAATCGCCGCGGTTCTCAGCTGATACTAACACAGTGTAGTTGCTAGCGTATTCCGGTGTTGTCACCTCGACCTGACGGTAACGGAACGCTGGTGAACCGATATTGATCACGAGTGGTTTCACTGGAGCCACGGTGTTCTTATCAAGCCATAGCATAACCTGGCATAGACGAGTTTTGTTCAAAAACGGCTGCTGCCAACCAAAGTGCACTGATTGTCCATATTTTGCTGTGAAGTATACACCGTTACCTTTGGAACTAGAATCACCACCTTGATGGAATGTACGAACCATAGCCGCCTTGATATAAGGACATTGGTTAAGTAGAACATAACCTTCATTAGCACGCTGTGGATAGGAAATGGAACAGTATTTCGTCCCACCCTTGGGTACCACAGATACACAAAACACCAAAGGCTTGTTACTCTTCTCTTGCCTCATACACATATATGTCTGACCTGAATGGCTCTCTGACAGTAATATAGGGCTGCTCCAATGTGAATCCTCTGTGGGTTTGAACTCGATAGATGCCACTGTGGAACCGATGTTTGAAGGGTCAGAGAGGGCCTTGGAAGATACCCACGGAACAGCAATGCTCTTGCCACTTTCGACTTTCAAAGGTTGCATCCGAGGATCCTTACGGATATATATAGTGCCATTCAGGTTGTTAGTGAATAGGAAACTTGGTATGGCAGAGGTGATACGGCATGCTACATGATTCGAAAGGCCACTAATAGATAGCTTTTCTGTCATTAGACAAACCGAATGGTGTTTCCCACCACTTTCTACCAAAGCATAGGAGTATCCTCCAACCGCAGGCATCCTGACACTATTGTCTATCCTATCCGATGCTTTACCGTTAACGCAAAGGTTCAACGCGTCATCCTCATCTTCGGAAGAGAAGAATGATAAACCACACATTACAGCACGGGGAAGACGTCTCTGGAATGATATACCTAATCCAGTACGATCCATAAACCACCATGGAGCATTTATGATGAGGCTCAGGTGGCCCTGGAATGACGTTGAGGAAACGGGTAGGCCACCCGGGTAACGTATAAGCTCCAGTTCTACCGATGCCATACCCCTTATCGGTATCTGTAACATCGTATGTGTTTCTGAAGTACCATAAATCTTGGCCACACGTTCAGACCAAATGTTGGACCCGTTATAACATATCTTGGCCATAAAACTTAGAGATTCGTTAGGCGGTAACGAATATATGTGGGTGATAGATTGTCTCAGTAATGTCAAAGTTTCTTGGATACAACGCTCCGTCTTCTTTGAACTAGTACTGCTATCATCTGTTGGCACACGATCGTTAGCAGCGAGGCATACATCAAGTTCCATTGGGAGTGTATTCATGACGCTAAGCGCAGGGTAGATAATAATATCGCGCATATCAACATTTGCTGGGAAGGCGCTGCGTCTCTTTATTACTGTGACCACGAAATATAAAAAGTTAGACTTGGTGAACCCGGGGCAATAGCATTGACGTACACGGGTACCTTGATGACGAGAACTATCGATAACCTTTGACCATCCAGACATATTAGACAATTTCATCCACATTTCCGTACGTGTGCTATCACGCTGTTTAGCCTTGGCATGGAACGCCTCCATAAATGAACGGTTCATTGCTAAAGGAGCTGGTAAGAAACTCATTACCGCATGAGATGGGCCTTGGAATGCACATTCTGGTACAGATGCAAAGTGGTTGTGTTCTAATAACATTGTGTATCCATATTCTTCCTGTTGTAAACGGAGATATTCCACACTGGACTCCGGAAAGTGCACTGTGGTAGTTTCGCCAAACTCCTCACCCAAGGCGCCACCCTTATCCAATATCGATATTGGTGCTCCACGGGTCTTCAAACTCGATACCGGTATTACATTAAACTTCTGGTCGAGGAATGTGAATACCACCGGCATACCACTACGATTGTAGAGCCGTACTGTAGATGTGAACATCAATAGCTTGTGTGAGGGGTGTGGTGTCTTCACTTCACATATCATCGTATCTTTGTTGTAACGGCCCGGTAGATCCTCTATTGGCGATTTCAAAAGGACAGAACAGTTACGGGCAAGGGGTACCATAGCAGCACAGGTACCGTTTTCAAAAGGTGTGGCATAACTTGATGGCATAAAAGACTTGCTATGGCTAAGGTTCGCTTTGGTCTTTGCAATGCTCCGTGTAACCATCAAGTCACGTTCTACGGGCTCTTTGTTAGATATGCCCATCTCGTCGCATAGCAGCTCGACCCTTTCTGCTGGAGGACGTGGGACCACGTATATACACGAACTACTACTCTCGTCAGCACCCACGAGGCTAACCACGGAATCTAGCTCCTTGGGCACGTTAGACTTCTCGATGGTACGAAGACCACTTATCCCAGCGGGGGAATTACCAACTACTCCGATAGTAAATACACGATACTCGTGGCCAGTAAGGTTCACGTAACGATATGCGCTATTCTCAATTTCAATACTGGGTTCTTCCTCGGCAGAATCCAGATAAACCAAACCACGTTGGATATTGTTAGTCAGCATAGGTACGAACCATAGTAAAAGTTGGCATAAACTCGGGGTTATGTTGATAAGAATGTTATGGGTACTGGTTATCTTCAAAACTTTGTTCGGGATAAAGTCTTTCCATTCATCGTCACTACCAGTACGCACAGTTTTACCCTGACGGTTAAGAGACTTTTGGGTATGGATGTTGTTGGTATATTCGAGGCTGCAGTTACAGCGCTCCAAGAAAGGCTCCCAATCACCAATTACAGCGTTGAAATACTCCAAACGGGTGGAACATCTCACCACTGTATAACGTTTCTCGATCGGTAGGCTCATGTACTCGATATTATCGCTGGCCATGGATAGGCGCATCATCGGGACTATACATTTACGCATATCATCAAAGAAGGTTATCTTAATACCCTTTATATTAAAGCTCACCGATAGGAACCTGCTGGAAGAACCTCCATTCTTAGCGCTAGCGTTGTCCTCAGCTTTAGGTGGAGCTGCTGAAGGACCGTCCGTTAATACCGCAGAGAAGGCAGCCAAAATCACACTAAGATCCTTAGTATAAAGGGTAAGGTTAGATGGTGGGACTGTAAAGTTAAAGAACATCTTGAAACCCTGCTGATGACTTACGTATTGGCCACTGCCATAGACCTCGAGACAGCCACAGAGCACTTGTGACATGCCACTAACGGGGTAAACACGCTCCAACTTACATCCAAGGACATCCACTTTCAAAAAATTAAAGGAACCATTATGCATCGTCATTTCAAGGATGAAGTCTGTACTCAACTCAAGTTGCGGAGAAGTTGTAGAGTCCATTCGGGTGAACGCAATGAATTTACCGTTTGTTGCTTTGAAATTAAATGTATAGGTCTTCTCACTTGATGTAGGCTGTGTCGATTGAGAATGCTTGGGCGACATTGCCATGGAGCTTGTGGCGTAGGATAATGTGAAATAACGCAACAGATCCATAGCATGGATACACAATAACGAGATATCAGCGTTCGCCACCATACAGTCCACGTTGGTCTGATTATTCTCATTCACAACAACAAGCTTTATACCATAGAAATCGGCAGATGAAGCGTTACTGAATAGATCATGGCCAGTCCTCAATTTATATTGTCGCAACCAGTTTTGTAGCAACCGGCTGACACTAGGTTCCATACAATGTGCCTCTTCATCGTCACCAGATAATACATCCGATTCCCTACTACGCTCATGGACAAAACAGTTGATCAAGCGACGGTGAACGTTAATAGAGTCCCGACGTGTATCGTCAACGGTCAAAGTCTTACCACATAGAGCGAATTGGTAACAAGATGTCATACGGACGCTATCTGATGCATAGTTTAGACATACCGTGATGCCGTTGAACCTTAAATTCGCTAGCGGCTTGTTTGATGCAAATAAAGTGTCAAATTCAAACCTCTTGAGAGATAGACGGATACTGCATCTAGACTGTGTTTTATGCGGGGCAACAGTGCCTTGGGCACGATTCTTATGCGAAGAACCACAAACATTCTCATTCAAAACATCCACTATAAACGTTAACTGCATACGTGTAAGCTTCAAAATCCAAGCTTCAGAATCTATACCAAGGTCCAACATGGTACCACCCATGTAGCATACTGCAAGATCCGTGGACTGTAGTATACTACCCATTACATCAGTAGAACCGTTTGTTTGCTCGATTATAGATGCACGGGTACCCAACAGTTTCAGGTATATAGTAGATTGCTCTAATTTCCCCTCTCTCTCGGTATAACCATTTCGGATATAGAGATGCCCCAATTCAAAAAGCAGATAGGATCCGAAGTACCATGTATCCACAATACCACTTAACTTTTGACCCATTGCACTACAGAAATGATCTTCAGATAACTTGGGGATACACATTTGTGTAGTATTGGCTCGGGATACGTGGTTGGGTAGTGTCGACCCAGGTGCTGTTTGCTGATGCCACTTAGTTGATAAGATTGCCTTGTTTTCAGGTATCAAGAAACATGGAGATGCCACGGAGAAACTATAGAACATATGAGTGGAAGCTGCAGCCTCTACCACCTTGTGGTAGGAACGCGAGATAAACACACTCAGGATACCGTCATCAAGGTAATCCATCAGTCTGGAGATATCCTGATGGAAATAGACAAAAACTATGCGTTCCAAAACACCACGAACACACATAGAATAGGGTACTCCAAGGTTATGACTGTCATATAACTTCCAACTAATGCTCATCAGAGGCTTGTCAGTACCGCTGGTCTCTATGGCATTGACCCCCTCTTCTAACGATTTCGTATCTGTATAGGATAACAAACACCTGTTACCATAGGTCAATTTTGCTGTACCAACTTCAAGGTCCGATTTGGATTCACAGTTTACATATTTAACGAAATTGTAAGCGATACGGCTTACACTAAGACGAGCTTCTACTTGGCTCTGCGCATTCCAAAATGCTATAGCCGCACCTTTCACGTTTACCGTCACCAAAGTCTTATGGCCCTTCTGCTCCTTCTCAGACAAGAGAATAGGCAAAGTCTGCCAATCAACGTTACAGTCGTCATTTTCACCAGAGTATGGGCCATCGCTCGTCACAGGGGCTCCGTTAGGCATCGTTGAACTATCACCCCTTATAATTTTGTAACGACCTGAAGTATCGATACCATCCTCGGTGTTCAACGATAGTGTCGATAAACTGCGAAGGATTGGGTCAGCAGTTTCAACCTCGCTAGGTGGTTCCAAAACTGAAGATCCAGCAGATAAAATACCCTCTGATCTAGGTGTTGTCAATTCTTGGACCAAAGTATTAACTAGACGGTGCTCCTCTTTAACCGAGGAATGGGAAGATTCAGAATCTAGTTCCTGTTTAGGCAGTATATCGGTAGGTTGCACAGATGCAGGATCGTCACCGCTAGTTTTTAATGGCGCTTCGCCGCTATCGCCAGGTTCACAAAACTGTTTGTACTCCTCCATAGTATCGATAATCAATTTGACACTTGAATGTTGCCAGTTACCCTCCATCTCAGTTATGTCTGCGGTCACACAGAGCTGGGATGAGTCGTTACTGCTGATCTCAACCTCTAACGATTTCACAGTCTCCTCAAGTGCATCCTCAAACTCGTTATCATCGTCGTCGTCGGTATGGATAGATGAGCGGCCCATAGGTGCGGTGTCAAGATGGGTGAAGAACAGTGGCATGTCCATAGCTGGGTTAGACATCATGATACGTTCGAGCCCCAATATAGCACGTAAATTACGCTTTGTAACCTCAACTTCTAGAGATACGTTGTGCATGTCCAGCTTGAAGACCTGGCAACCCTCAGCGTTCCATACAGCAAAACCAGAATGACAAAAAATGACCATAGCCTTCACGTTAAACGGGAGCTTTTCAAATGCTGTCTTAGGCGGGGCAGTTTCAACTACCGGCTTAACAGCACAACCACGGCGTAAAGATGCCCGGGCACCCAAAAGACAAGCTACAATCTCCGAAGGGATACGGTATAACATCGCTGTATCCATAGGAGTGGCCTGCATGAACAACTCTTCAAATAGGATGTCGACGTTAATGGATTTGGATATAAAATCACAATCATAGTGTATCTTCACGGGTAGAGGACGTAGGAAACTGTACCATGAACCCTCAGTGTTACCATGACGAAGACAACTCAATTGCGTTTCCTTAAGCTCGATAGTGCCAGACATACTAGATAGATGACACGCACCGTTTGATTTCAGGTTCAGTGTACCGAAACGTAAGTTTATACAGTCACCTTCGTCGTTGTAGATCATCAGGATAGGTGCAGCAAACTTTATATCAAACGCAAATAGTGCCGGCAGATGATCAGCGGACATACGTGTAGCAGTACGGTCTGACGGCCACAGCTCATCGTCAACAGCAGCACCGAAACCTATCTTATTCAGTACAGGACCGTGCAACCTGTATGACTCAACCGTACTAGTCGGGATTGTGGATGGTTGGTTGCGTGTATTGCTAGTCTGAATATACAACAAAATCTCAATTAGCTCCGACATCACAGCAGGGATTAAATGGGTCTCCATAGGTTTCAACTCCCCGTTAACCATTATCAAATTACCCTGGCCGGTAACTTTATGTACCAGACGCAGGTCTATGGCAAAATTATCACCGCTTAATGAAGGCGATGGCCGAATATCTGAAACCGAATCACTAACCGCACTATCACCTGTTTTCAAAAATGCCATGATCACAGTGTTCTTGTACCGAACCTCAAAGGAATCCAAGTTCATCCAGAAATAGGCGTTGTAGGTGTCGCGGTCGTTAGTGTCCACAGCAGCGTTGAAGTAAACTTGTAAATTCAAGTTACCAGTAGACATGCAGAGGGAGTCACAGCCGCCACCGACATGACCACCAACATGGCCACCAACATCAATTACAAATTCAAAGTGAGGTAATACACATTCGAAGTAGTAATTACTAGTAGCCATAGAGTCATCAAACATGTCACCAATAGCCATAGCGTCTTTTATTAACTCAACCTCCTCACCAGTCAATACCAGACCACCTGGAAGACACTCGACCTGGCCAGCATCTACCATTGTTGAATAACGGGCATAATCGGTGTAATCAGTATCACCAGTGGGTTCCACAGTAGAGGAGTCAACAAAGGGAGATACAGCTTCAACAAGTTCCGTTGAACCCTTGGGTGACTCTTCGTGAGAAGAGTCAGATTGACTGTAATCACGTATTTCCGTCGATTTATCAGGCAATGATTTCATGGGCTCCTCTAAGCCGCTTTCAACGGCATCAAGGGGCTCCTTGGAACTGGCATCCACATCAACAGCCGAACCATTATCTCGTTCTATAATTACAGACAGCTCTGTTCCTGTCGACTTAGCACCTGGTGCGGGATTACTAGACTTGAATATGTTCTTTTTATTCACCGAACTAGCGACACCCTTAAGCCAACCGAACCAAGTAGTGGTAGTAGGAGCAGGAGAGCCTGCAGCAGCAGCGGCTATTCTCTTAGATTGCTCAGAAGCAGCTGCTGCATCGGTAAGTTTACGCGATGCAAAACGCCATCGTGCCAAATGACGTGCGGGTACCACATCAGTCAAAACGATGAGACGCTCATGCTCAGTGAATGACAGTGGATCACCCCCTACCTGTTGCGAGTTTATCAACTTTGTGTAAAGTGTGATGTACTCTTCACGAGTTGTACCCTTGATACCCTCTGCACTGAGGTCTACGGTGTAAGCCTTCTCCATCAAAAGACGCTCACTCCTCTCGGACTCCAACATGACGTTGGTCCATATATCGACAAATGCACGCACACTCTCCAAAGAGAGTACTATACGCAAAGTTTCACGCTCATTAGGACTCATGCCCGATGCAATCTCCACAGCACCAACCCGTAGTGATGCAAATATGGACTTGTGCTTTACATTAATTGCCAGAAATAGACGAAATGAAAGCTTGTCAAGCAACGTATTTGTTACCAGATGGCCCGTACTAAATCGCTCCAATGTACTCTCTGCACGCTTGATTCGACGCATAGCGTCGGCTGCTTTCTGGAGCTCCTCAGGATCTGCAACAGAATCACCGCCTGTATCCTCCAGAAGAGCAAGAGCAGACCCGCTACCCTCTTTAGCCGTATCTCCATTTTCATCCGCAGGATCTTTCCCTACTTCCAATTTGCTGTCATCCGCATCGGACGACGTATGTTCAACATCATCATCTGGGTCTCCCGGCCTTTCATATATAGAAAATCCGAGAAGAGAACAAACATGGGTCACCGCCTCTTCCTTAACAGTATCATTAGTCTCTACCCTTAGAACACCGTTGCCATCATCTGGTCGGAATTTCCGAATAGAAATTGAGTCAATGATGAACCCAAATGCATGTCGTGAATCCGAACAGTGCACATGGATATTCGTGAAATCGATTTGGATATTGTTGAGCACTTTCTGCGATAGACGTATTAGATATGATGAGTTAACGTCAGTCTTGATGTTGAGACTACTTACAAAAGCACTGTATTCATTCTCGAGAACACTTGTAAGCTTCTCCTTGCTGACACGGACGTATCTCAGCAACTCTTCATCACTTTTATCCGCAGCTACCCCGCTTATACAGAGGTAGAGTGAGTCTACAAGAACTTTCACAGGGGTAGTACCTAAGCTGGCCCATGGGATCGTTACCTTCAGTCTGCCTATCCTTCCAAAGTGTATGTCGAAGGGTAGCGCAAGTTTATCCGTGATGTCGGTCTTTAAGGTAAGATTCTCTAAAACGATGTTACCAGACCATACGGCAAGTTGAAGGTTTTGCGTGATACCATCCACATATGGAGCCAGGTAGGTGTCCAAGAGCCGTTTCACCAATCCCTCGAACATCGTAGCTGTACACACTTACAGACGATACACAGGGTACAGGAGCTCACAAGTAGCCACATTCGACATAAAATAGGAAACTAGTTACCGGTTAATTGACTCCCATTGAACCACGGACTTGTATCGACGCAATATCCAGCGTAAATAACTTTGCCAACCGAGGATAATAAGAAGTTATAACCACACAGTTTGCTTTACACACTTTTAACATTAATATACGATCAATTTTTTATCGTCAACAACAACACCTAATTACCATCATGCAGACTATCGCCGACACCCGCTGGAACGAACTCCAGGGAACAACGTACCATATACACTGTCTGGGTTCATTAGTTCAATTTATTTATAGCTATTCGTACTATTCGGTGTCGCCATTTATGCCGTGAATAGAAGGCATTATGACAGTTCAACAGAGTGAATAATAATATGTGTATACAACCTTGCACAAAGGTTTTATGTTACTTTGCAGTAGTACCCAGTGATGCGTAATTACACACCAAACTAACGCTTCAATGTGTAGCGTATCCGCGCCACCAACGTCAGAAAGTGACGGCGTATACCGGTATAGCGTACAATAGTTTGAAAGAGGCAAAATGAAAGAGGTACGACAGGCACTATATTTACGCCACTTATAGCCTAAATACCATTCGATGGCCAATAGTAACAGACGATTCGACAGTTTGACCATAGCAGTCACTACACGAGGCAGTGGAGATGGAAATAGAGCTAGTAACGGGTTCAGCGCTCTACAACACACTTACTAAGCGATATATAGCGCTTAAAAATAAAATATTAAAATTATAACGCTAGTAAGATACCCCCAGTAGTACCATCGATCGTGATTCCGACGATGGGGGGGAGGCAACTTACTTGGACTACAAGCGACTATCAATAAACCTTAACACATCCGGCAGCTGGAGTTGTGGAGCGACGCATAATAGCGGATATAAGCTACACAACACAAGATATATAGTAGCGAAACATCCGAAGCTCGCCCTAGCACTCCCAGCAGACATTGCCGTACTTAAGGATTAAGTAAAAAAACTTAGCGATATGCTACACCAATAGATAATATTTTAATAATAAACAACTGTTAACGGAAAATGGAGGATAAATATGATATTGATCGACCGGCGACTGAAGCCGAAATGAAATATGATACAGTAGTAGCTGTAACAGATAACAAAGTCGCCTCTGGACGATCAAAAGCTGACGATGTTCAGACACCATTCCAAGAAGGAATCGACACTCTGACGACCATAGACTATGGTTCTCTAGGTATACTTAATGTGGAAAGTGCAAAAAAAATCAGAAGTGACACAAAAATACCAATAAAAGATAGATTGAGATTATGGCATGCTATGTGCCCAACAGACTTCTCAAACCTTCTAGGAAGTGCGGGAGCAAAAGAAAGCTGTTGTCTCATCCATGCGGAGTCACTAATCGTACATGTAGTATGTAGTGCGGAAAAAGAAGGAAATGTACTACTAGATTTTGCAAAAGGACCACAGACCCTACAACTTATATACAGGGTAGAAAGAATACTTAGCGGTATCACAAGATGTGGAGGAACATTTCAGCTAGTGTTCTTCGACGTATTCAAAAAAATATTCGACCCAGGGTATCACAGTGGTGATATAACGGAAGAAGAAGCGGAAGACAGACAATTCTTCGATGGATATATGCTGCTGCGTGAAGTGCTACTTACCCATGCGGCACTTAATGAAATACCACACCTAGTATTCAAGGATTGGTACGACACGAACTGGATAAACTATGTCAACAATAGTGACCCGGCATGTATCCTAGTCGAAGAAGGATCGTCGTTCTTATACAAATATAAAACCGTGTACGAAATTGTAGATACTAATGCAATAGCAGATTTGAACGAACAAAATGCTGAAATTGTGGCCGAATTCCAGACACAACAAAAATATATCGATAGGTTCACATTTGCTACACATGCTATGGCGATATATAGTTTGTCAATCAACCTATCAGTTGCATATTTTTTCGAATTGGGACCTTTTGCGCACAACTTCAAAGCTTTCATATCGTTCCCAAGCAACTGCACACCACCCACAACATTGCTGAAAGAGGTAGAGACACAGTTCCTGGCAGAGTACCCAAGGGAAACGGAAACTCAGCCCGGCACTGAAGTTCAAGAAAATGGTGGAACAGATGATAATGAAGAAGAGGTAGTAGCAACGCTCATAGAAGAGCTAGGGGCAATGGGAGTACAACCTAGGTTGAGACAATTAGTGGCATGTAACTACATCAAAAATCTAAATGATATGAAACCAGGAGAAGATGAAGAAGTGGATGAAGATACTGCGCTATACATTGACAGCTGCGTACTCACATTCAAGGTACTACTCATACACAACCATCTAATCGATACTCTGCCACTAGAGGATAGGTGCACACGTCGGCTAGATGCGGAAAACTGGGAATTCTTCAGCACTTATATCGCAGCCACTTTGGATTTCATGGCATCAACCACCGTACCCATACTCATGGGGATGCAAAAAATCCTATATAACATGAGACATTCCAAACGTGATGTAGCAGACCTATTTGATGGAAACCTATTCACTTCCATACTGCATTGCATGGCAATTTATGCCAAGGAACATGATAATAAGGTTGACGGGAATTTCCTAGCTCTGCCAGAAGAGGTAGCTTCGGGAATGGATCGTCTATACGCCCACTTCTCAGGGGATTCCAAGGCAAAATTATTCCCTATTGACATGACACCGTTCGCAGAATGTGGTATATATGACAATGTGGATGCCATGGAACTTGACGGCAATAACGTAGGTACCAAGCTACTTAATATCGATAACCAATTTGTCAACATGTATTTCGGACTCAATGGAGCTCGGGATAACGTTGAATTTTACGAAGGGAACAACTCACATTGCATGACTAGATTTGCAGAATTACAATGGAGAAATCCTGCTCTCATGTCGGAAAAAACAGAATGTATCGACTATTTCCTCAAAGTAGAAAAACATGACAAATATGCAGATATGCCCAAAAGGACACATAGACAGGAACAACGTAGTATGCAGAGACAAAATGCATTTTCACACCTCCTGTCGAGGTACCTGGGATCGAACAATTTACATCACCCTATTGTGCCAAAACTAGAGCATACATGGTTGGATGTTAAGCAAAAGGCGCTGGAAGATGATACAAATGCCAAGGCAAGCCCAGAGGAAACAGTGGCATCTAAACCAGGCAAGCCAGAAAAACATACAAAAGATAAACATTCTAAAGAGTCGAAGAAGGAAAAGGCTGGCAAGGTTAAAACTTCGGGGAAAGCTGAAATTTTAAGACAGAAACATGCAGCTGCACAAGAGTCGAAAAGTAGAGAGGGTGATATGAAAGCACTTGAAAGGTTATCGGGACGTATGGCATCAATGTTTTCACGTGAACATGATTTTGACGTTATATATACCAATATATTGGATTATACAGCAGGCCCTAATCGTGCAGTTGACCTTACAGGTGATTTCAAGTGGCTTAAAAATGCAATCACCACGAAACCTATACAACTACAATTCGTCAAGGGGATGTTGGAAAACCTTTTGAAAACATTTGAGGGATATAGAATGCGCTCACTGAACAAAAGGGGTGCGCGAACATCACTCAGACGTACTATCTGTATAACAATACGTTTGATACACGATTGTTTCAGAGAATTTAAAAGTATCATAGATGGCGAGACTATAGTGTTGCTGCAGAGATTCTTAATCAAGCTTGGTATGCCGAAAAGTGCTGCTAACCTTTTCGATTCATGGATGAAGTTAACTGATGACAAAAAGAACAAAAAGTTCCAACTAGAAAAGGAAGAACCGTTTGATTATGCCATACGTAAGGAGATGGAATTTGAATTCCAACTGGCTTACATGGGTGATTTAATGGAACGTACTCTAGGTTCCACTGAGGACCCAAGGGTTCTATTCAAGCCTGACGCATGGCAAAAAATGCTACTGGATATTGTAGACCTTAGAGAATCGGCCCTAGTGGTAGCGCCAACATCTACAGGTAAAACATACATCTGTTACTATGCCATGGAACAGGGGCTTCGTCTCGACGATGAGGGTGTTGTTATATACGTGTCTCCTAACGATGCGCTGGCGCTGCAGGTCACCTACGAAATCACAGCTAGGTTCTCCTCGAAGAACTATGCAACGCCATCATGTGCAGCGGTACTCAGCGCGTCGTTCTTGGAAAAGTTCCATGATCCCAAGTGGAATTGTGCACAGATATTGGTCACAGTACCCTCCATTGTGGAACAACTGCTTATAGCCATGCGCTCTAGTGAACTTGGGTTTGCCAAAAGGATAGAATATCTTATCCTTGATGAAATCCATTGTATATCTGATGAAGACATAGGTCCGTTCTTGGAACGTGTGGTCCATCTAAGTGCTTCACCGTTCCTAGCGTTATCTGCCACTGTTGGAAACCCAACCCATTTCCACTCGTGGCTATCGAAGGTCGAACTCACCCGCAGGAATTCGAAGACGGCTAAGGTACACTATATTTACTTTGACGAACGTTTTTCAGACCTCAAATTGGAGTGCTACTCCAGCCGCCATTTGGTGCCACTAAACCCTGCAACCTGCCTTTCGTACCATAACGTAAAAGCTAACGGGTTCCCCAAAGATTTCTATCTCAGGCCTAAGGACCTTATGATACTATGCAAAGCTACAAACTTTGTAATGGGTAATAGGTGCCCAGATATAGATTACCTAGAGCCTTCGGAATACTTCAGGAACACACCTATCATCACCAAGCGACAGTATAGGTACTGGTTACAAACGTACATCACCGAATTCTCACGACAAGTACAAAATGGAGTTATTGGTGAAAAGGATTTCGAAAAGATTATGGAATGCCTCAAATCGGTAAATATATCGGTATCCCCGGCAGATATAACCGCTTCCAGTGATGATTCACAGGATGCTTACTTCAAACTTTACCCGCTTTTAAAGCCATTTGAAGAGCGTCCTAACGCTGCGGAATCCAACGCTACGACTCAGGTAGTTAACACCACGTCATCTTCGTCGCAATCACGGGAGTTCCTGGACCCGGCCGAGGTACTAACGCTACTCAACACTCTAGAACAAACAAAACGGTTGCCGTGTCTCGCCTTCACATTCGACCGTAACCACATGGAACATGTGTTGATATCTGTCACGCAACAGTTGAAACGTAGGCAGTGGGAGAAATATTATGGTACTCCAGAGGCTACAGCGTGGACAAATGCAGAGAATAAGAGACGCATAGACCATTATCAAATGCTCATGCGCCAATATGAAGCTGAGAAGAAGATGAAAGGTGCTAGTAGAGAGCAGAAGGAGGAACAAGGTATTGGAGGGAAGGTGGAAGACTTTCTAGAACTTCCCAAAGAACCTGTAGATGTGGCAGAAGATTATGACCCAGAATTTAATTACTATAATCGCAAGATATATGTCAATTATACAGAGGAAGTGGAAAACTTTATCAAAATCGCGTCTGGATCTATCAGTAATAGGAAAAATGTGGACTTGTTTGTAGAGGCTATGCGACGTGGTATTGGTATCCATCACGAAGGATTACCGCATAAATTTACTATGCTTACAGAAACACTGTATAGGATGGGTTTCTTAAGGGTGCTACTCTCCGGGCGTAGTCTTGCCTTTGGTATCAACGTGCCATGTAAAAGTGTCGTCTTTATGGGTGATAACTACGAACTCACGCCACTGATGTACAAACAGATGAGTGGTCGTTGTGGTCGACGTGGTTTCGATCTTTCAGGCCATGTTATATTCTGGGGTCTGCCGATGAAACGTATTCGGCAACTACTGACAGCTCAGTTACCAAACCTTAGTGGATATGCGTCGTGCAGTCCTACTGAGGTACTTGCCACACTCTCGGCATTCAACAGTCTACTAGTTTCGGTGAGAGCGAGGCCGCCACAACCAAAGAATACCGGAAAGATATCAACAACGGACGCTAGAGTACGTAAAAATGAGATCATCACGAGGAGCCGTGATATAGTAGTCGATCCGCGTGTCATTGTAAAACGTTTGGCGTCGATATTCATGCACGCGTTGAACCCACAGTCAGGATATAACAAGGACGAAGTGATTGTTTTCCGGGCATGCGTGGAGACACTTTTCAACCTTGGCTTTATCGACCGCCATGGTCTGGTCAGTGGATGCTGTGAGCTGGCACTGCTTACGCGGGATGCGCACCCAAGTAACCTCTTCTTGGCGCATCTTGCACAAATGGGAAAACTACATGATCTAGTTAAAACTAGTGGATCTGATGCAGCCGACAAACTGATGGATCTTCTAGCGAGGTTCGCATACAAACGTAAACAGCTTGGTACAACAGTGACACTTAGACGATTGCTACCACAGAGAGTACGTTGTGGAGTTAAGTATACTAGCAAGTTGAAGTCTAACTTGCTAGTGAAGGACGAGGGGTCACTTGGTGTTGAACTGTTATACCCTGAGTCGTTCCCGTTGCTACCCGCTACTAGCGGTGAAATTCGAGATGTACTTCGCGTATACAACGAGAACGTCCTAGGGGTCTTGTCCAAGTACCAAGCCAAACTCACGCCAATGGATGCTAAGCTACCGCTTTCCAATGTGGATTTCCGATGTGGACCAAATCAACAAAAATGCTGGTTCATGGACAAAAGAATGGAAATGCAGTTTACAAGCTTGTCATCGCCATTTGTTGGGATCAACGGGTTACCAGGTAACTTCACAACAGCACGTGAGTTATGGCTAAGTTCACGAGCTTGCTCGGATATCACACTTGACATGGTCCCGACAATTGAGTCCGTAGAGATCGACGTAATTCAAATGGATCCTCATTTCAACGTGATAAAGAAACTTGCAGTTGCACTAGAAAATTCATACATCATCGATTATTGGGTACATGGGCGTTTCTCCATCGTGAGGGATGTCAACGGGCTCGGGCAATATGCGTGGTTCGATTTGCGCAAGATTCTGGTTTTGCTAAAACTTGCAAAACTTACCCTAAAAGGATACACTGATGGAGGTAGTCGACCGGATGTGTTACAAGATGCCGTAGAGCAGGCACTTGACCGCTTCGAGGGAGCATTTAATCGCATTTAATTCGGTTTCATGGGCATTGGTTCATGAACCGTATGGTGTAAGCTGTACTAGACCGTTGTTAACAAGTTAGTGGCGTGAAAATTGCGTTACCAATGATATCAAACCCCCTTTTATAATCTTTTCATATCGGTATTCGTGATGGCAAACGTATGCAGGCCCATTGTATCTCGAGCCTAGAGGAAGCAAGGGGAAAGTGGTGCCTAGAACGCACAAGCTATATAGAAAGTTGTTGCAGAAGATAAGATGGTATGAATGTACTATCCAGTATTGCCCCCGGCGATCATGATCACGGGGGGTCATGGCCAGTCAGCCAACAGTGCCGTGGCACAACGCCGTCGTAACCCCGTTGGCAGTTTGAGAACGACGTTGGCCCTTCACACATTATACATCTTTGGTAAGATCTATAATATGTACATTTTAAATAAGGTCGTGGCAGTACACACGTTATCGCGAAACCAATAGTAAATGATATCGGTGTGTGTGTGTGTGTCGTGCCGGGTTCCGAGCCCTCCTGAGGCGACCCTGGGGATTTGGCCCGTTATCATTTGATTTAATCGCGATGGTGAGGAAGAGACCGATTCTCAAGATCATCATACTTGGTGACAGTGGGTAAGGAAAACGACCGAGGACGACATAATGTCACAGGGTTGGAAAGACCTCACTGATGAACCAATTCATCAACAAGCGATTCACCAATCAGTACCGCGCAACAAGTATGTGTTATAATATTAGATATATTGTCCGCAGTCGGAGCCGACTTCTCAACCCAGGAAGTTACAGTTGATGATAGAGTGGTGACGTTGCAGGTAAGACATTCACGACGGTGTAAGGGCCACTTTGGAACATGTGATTCGGTGGCGTTACTTTTTTGTTGTGGCTGGCCAAAGTGGTCTGTATTCTAGCACGAGATGAGCAGCCGGACCATGGCCGATAAGACAGGGGGTTGTGTGGACTCTATTGCTCTAGTACCCCAAACTGTAAATACTGAAGTGGTATACGCCATGCTGTGAGGTATTCGCAGGCTCGGTGGGCCGAGGCGTGTGGGCTCGAGGCGTCGTGCTGCTAGTTCGTTCATGATATTTTAAATTTGCGAAGCATAAGTGCAGTATGTTATTTCACGACTTTTTCATATGCTCTATTTTTATTGCTACCATTTCCTTGCAGATATGGGATACCGCCGGACAGGAAAGATTTCAAAGCCTTGGAAAGGCATTCTACAGAGGCGCTGATTGCTGCATGCTAGTTTATGATACAACGAACCAGAAGACGTTTGAAAGCATAGAGAGCTGGAAATCCGAGTTCCTCATACAGGTGGAACCGAAAGATCCAGATTCTTTCCCATTCGCCCTAATAGGCAATAAAGTAGACGATGTTGCTAACAGAAAGGTCAGCGCTAACAAGGCAACTAACTGGTGTAAGGCAAATAACGATATACCACATTTTGAAACAAGGTAAATGAAAAAGAGAGGCAAAAACATCGTTTATTCAGCGCTAAGACCGCACACAATGTTGCAACTGCATTCATGGAGATCGCAAAGAAGGCCGTCATGAGGGACACGCAAGATGATGAAATATACATACCTGATACACTGCTCCTGGATCAAAGACATGTACAACAGACAGGCAACAGCTGTTCACGGGGGGTTGGCAGCATAATCGGCTGTGACGTGTGAACCCTAGTACAAACCCTGGCACCGACATGCCAGACCCTAGCCATCTGGCCCGCCTTATGAGGCATGGGTACCGAAACGCCCACAGATGATGAGCTATCATGAGCCGATAGCACATCTGTAACACAACGTGAAGATGACGAAGATATATGATGATACGTGCTAACCGTTGCGAGGAACATCTTGACTGGGCGCATTGTGGTTGCTATGCAAGGGTAACCAGCCAGTATCACTTGATTTGGTCATAATATAGCCTCCATGCGATGTTATATAGGGTGCTTAGCTAAGATGATTGAGAATTATCTAGTATACGAACCGTATAAGACAATGCGTTTCGAGACACACCTTACTCCTTAGAGCTACACTCATAGTAACCTATGCGTATGTAATAAACCTTAAAAGAACGATCAGAATCTATAGGTAAATACTCTACAGAGCTGTTATTTCTGGTAAACTCCCATGTATTCGGGTTCCCACAATGTGGGTGTACCAGAGGGGAAAAGGGGTTAGAACGTTATCATGGCACCCGTGAACATTAAAATAAGAAATTTCGTCTAATGATGTATATATTTATCGAAATAATACATGTCTAGGAGGTTTAGATGGAACGCTAAGTACATGAATGAAGTGCCTTTGTGCGCGCAGGTCATATGCAGTCATTCCGTATGACTACTAGGAAGAATTACATTGAACGAACGAGCATTGGAAAAGAGAATAGGTTCCATTAGAAATGTCGTGCTAGCTTGCGAGGGAAACCTCCCAGGCGCTGGATTCGTAACTGATCCTAAGGCATGACCGACCAAGTTGTCTTGATCCAACGTTGCTTATCATACGAAGTATGAAGGGAATCCGCCTTGTAGACACGGCGCTTCTTGAAAATGTGCCCAAGAGTTCTTTTATAACCAAGGGCGTTTGACTCCGCTAAATATTAACATAGAACAATGACCCTTTTTACTAGTATTTTGGGTGTAGTAACACATGGACTTACAACACTTACAGATGCTGCGAAATCCGTCCTCAAAAGCTATGCTAGGGACCTTCTGACGAATGGCATCGATAAAGACCTTATTAATGGAATAATAGCGTCAGAGGCGTTTAACAAAATATATGAAGAACACTTGCCGGCATTCATAGCAGAAGTATGGGTTCGATATGTCATTCCTACCTTTTTTCTCTCGGCCTTTTTATGTCTGCTTTTGTATCTTATATATTTGTACGACGTACTGCCAACTCTTGGATTCCTGCTGTACGACGTTGGGAAATATATCTGCATCAAGATTGTAGATTTCTTCATGGCTTTTACTGCGGCGCGTGGTGACGAGCTATATAAGGCATTAGGATATGCTACTGATGATGACACACCGGTGCGTAACCTCAGAGCCAGCCTCAACTGTTTTAAGTAAAAACGTTGAGTCCGCATCATTTGAGTTCTAGAAATCCACAGTGTGAGTTTTGTTGTTGAAACTCTTCAAAACGCGCCTAAAATGGCGTTTATGTGTCTAGTACTCGCTACCGGTGACCTAGTACTTGCTACGGACTTTTGTCGACACTGAAAAAACACAACCTAGAGATACACCTCGGAAACTCGGTTTATATGTCATAATGAAGTATGTTGTTAGTCTCGTAGTCAAGACTAGGTAAGGTTGTAAAACAACTACAATGTCGCTTTTTTTGGATATAGGAAAAAAGCAAAGATGTATATGGTACACGTAGGGTCTATCAAGTGTGCGTGATGGATTTCCCGCTCTCGCCTCATCTATCAAGGGACAGTCTGAAATAATAGTGGACGTCTACGGTAAATGAAACAGCTACAGATGTGGGACAGAGGCGGGGGCCGTTGCGTGGCAGTAGAGCCGCATTGAAACGACTTTACGGACCTTTTATAATTGAGTTTAATATTAGCTCTATTACGAAACCTATATGACTGCGAAGTGTTATATGCCTATGTATCATTGTAAGTTGGTTGCGCTTTTGAACGCTAGACAACCTGCATTAATGACACGACGTGCATTGCATGAGGGTTTTGGTGGCCTAATAAAACGGCAGCATCACTTCCTTCTAATGTCAAATGTATAATCTAGTTATGCTGATGCCATAAAAAACATGCCGGCCAAAATGTTGACGCAGAAACAACAGCGTCAGTGCCAACCAGGGCTCTATCATGCATATATCCGTAGTTATTCATAAAAGTGTAGGTAGCGTAGTAAATAAAACTTGAAACTGCCCGCTGGTGATAAATTTAAATATTGTGGTTGAGAAACGGGTCAATCTGATTCTCCGTGGTGTAGAGCCACAGTGCCCGTAGGGTGATAACGCTCATTACTAAACACTAAGCCACCAAAAACGATGCTATATTTTCAACAAATGTGTGTATAGAAATTTAGAGGCGGAGTGAAGGCTTACAAATCTTATAGACGCAACAACCTCTAATGAAGCCAAGCCGATAGTACAAACTTAAAACAGACGGCCAAGATGCAACAACCGAATATAATAGGCAAAGGATTTGGGTACTTTGTACGTACACGACAAGTAATACTCGATTGGCTATCTAGTCGTATCTTTATCCGATGGATATACTGGGCAGTAGTTTCTTACGCCTTCTGGCATCATGTCTTCGCAAATGGAATGCACTTCGTTATCGCATACATGTACGCAGTTTACGGTCTTAACCTGGTACTGCGGTTCATCACACCACTGGACTTTGACGACCTCTGCGCGGCACACGAAGAAGCAAACGGTGGAACTATACTACCCTCAAGCGAAGGCAAACCGGCAGATATCACTCTAGAACGGATGCGAAAGGTCGAAAACGTATATGAATTCAGGCCATTCATGCGCCAAATGAACGAGTTCACATTCTGGCTTGCTGCAGTACGAGCATCGCACGCAGCTCTCATATGCTCGCGATTCGAGTTTCTAGATGTACCCGTATTCTGGCCACTATTGGTCATATATTTCATCATGCTATTTGCCACAACCATGCGACAACAACTCGAAAATATGATCAAGTACAAATATGTACCATTCAGTTTCGGGAAAAAATCGTACGGCAGTATAACACGCCCAAACAAATAAAAGTGCACAAAATGGTGCCAAATAACACACCAAGATCAATAATACTTGATCGAAAGAATGTCTGGCGTCTAAATGGACATGGGTATACCAGTCCAAATGGAACGTGCAATAATGGCCAGAAGCAACGTCAACAATTTTGTAGTAATTTGTCGCACATCTAACACTTGCTCTGCACAACAACCAAATTATAAGTGGTAACAGTGGAGACAGTGCCTACTGTAGCTTCATTGGACGTGAAAACGTCTGAGGACTAAGAGATAAGATGATCTTTGTAGAAAGCTATTGACCAATGACAATAACTAAAACCCTTTAATACAGTTTGCAGCAATTAGTAAGGCGGACTCGCCAACATTAATCAGAACCCTTCTTTTCTCCAAGAAAACGCATCAAAAGACGTGCGTAATGCGCCACAGAAGCATCGCTATCAGCACACGCAAGCTGACGTTCAAGAGACTTCACCACACTCGACCAGTGTTTCATGCGCAGCTCGTCGGGTCTACCGCAACAATTGAAGGCAGTACGCAAGAAAAAACTCACTTGAATAGGTGGCCGTAAAAGTAATCCTGTAAATTGGACACATCACCACCCGCAAACCATACAGCAGTGCGGAATGAACGGAAGAACTCCTGATTAGAACACCTAAAGCAGGTGAGAGGTAAGATTGAAACAACTTACAGATTCAACAGGTTAGAACGCCATATGATGTAGAAGAATTCTCGCGACATCGTGAACGCATAAGGCGTAGCTTCCCAAGCGGTACCCAACTGCACGCTGAAAGCAGACACCGTAGGCTCGTGAGATCGAATCACACGGTGATAACGAAGGTCATTGAGTGACAGACGGCCGCACGATTGAGAAGGAAGCAACTCAACGTTGGTAAACATCTGTCCAAACTCGTGTTGTGCATCTCCCAAAATACAGTTACGGTGCAACAAAACACAACACGCCAGATACTCTTGTGATATCTCGAGCAGAGTTACCAGTTCACGTAAGGTTTTCACGTCACGGGTATGGCGATCGCGAATACGACGCAGCAGAGTAGCAAAATCACATGAAAAAGAACTACCTCCAACATCTACCGGCCCATTTCCCGTAGCAAAATTGTACTCCCATACCCCGGGGCATGAAGAAATATCCTCAGAACATTTCTCAGAGAATATGTCGCGCTGTAACCGAGGTAACAAACGACCCACAGAATGGGCCAACCATTCCATAGTACTGTTCTGCAAGGACTCATAGTTCACGGTAACCCTGTTTAGCAAAAGGTAGAGTTTGCGCATCTGTGCCAAAAGAGACTTCACATCCTCTACAGGCCGAGACAAACAGAGAATTATGTTGCTAGCGAACCTAGGACCAACCACAAACTCGTTACGACGCGGTAGCTGGTCATTAGGCGTGAAGGGCACCGCACTGTCTTCTGGAGGCGAGTAAGACGCTGATGTAAACAGAGGAGTGCACGAAAAAGTGCGCTCTAGCCACAGAGACTCTAGCATGCTGCATACTAAGGATAGAGCTCCATCAACCGCCGAAGAGGTTAGACATGTCCGAATACGATTGAAACGGTGACAACGAGGCTCCTCAAATATCACAAACTTGCACCAAGGGCTCACCACGGGAGTTGTTGGATTACCTAAGTCATCGATCGCATAAGCACCGGGGGCGGTCCAACCAAACAACCTAGAGGGGATACCCATTGAAGATAAGAGCAAACAGTGCTCGTCTCTAGTTTGCAAAAGAAATGCCTCTAGCACAGGATCGTTGTGGTCAAGCAAAAACTGCCAGCAAACCTTGAAGACCTCTTCAGGGGTGTATAACCAACATAAGTAGTACAATCCGTAAGCCACCAAACCTTTGTTCGTATCCTCACCTAACATATCACCACGTTGCGATGCATCAGCAAAAATGTCAACGAAATGAGTACCCTCCTTACCTTCAACGGGGGACTCACGACGTATTGAATGCGATGGACGATGTTCACGCCAAAGCGGCGGAGGATCCAGATAACGAAGGGTAGACAGTGGGTGCTGCAACAATGCCGATATTACGTGTAACAGGCTGGAGCGATGGAATGTGTACATCTTTTGAGAAGTCACAAATATCAACTCCCAACCAAGACCACAAGGAGTCTCACCAACAACACAAGGACGACGCTCAGCGTACACCTCAAGAATCTCCTCATCGGGCGAAGTTAAGAAACAAAATTCGTCAAACCATTCGACAGGCCTTGTACCATTTGACGAAGGTGAGGCCGACGCTCCTGAAGAAATATTACCTCCAGAAGACACACGCTGATTATGCGACCACAGCTCCTCCGATACCGATTGGGGAGCATCGCCATTTGAGTGACACAGTGACGCTGACTCGGGAGTAAAAAGCGATACCTTAGCCAAAGAAAGGTTGCCACTCTTCCCATATGTCTCGCAGGAAACAAACAAATCATTTAGGTAGTAGTATTTGGGACGTGCGGGACGCGTTCCGCCGGGAGAACCAGCATATCGATCGCGCCAGAACATGCCCATCTGATGATAAGATGATTTTATAGCTAGAGAACGACGGTTCAAAAATGTTTGTGCCACCTTGAAACCTTTAACAACCAAAGACGTCTTATTCTGCGAGTCAGTAACAAAACCAATGAAAATACGAGTACCGAAATTGTCAACCAATATGATGTCGACACCCTCTGTACCACCCAATGGAGCATTCAACACCGTTACGCAACGGAAACCAGAAGGGCTGCCAACCAACCTAAAGTAACCAGCCCTAGTCAACTGAGTAACAAGGTCGCCTTGGCGCAGACAAAAGAATGTCAAATTGTAGGGAAACAGACGTCCAAATTCCACAACACCCTTAACAAATGTCTCGTAATTACACTCGTCAGCAATCTTAAATACACTCAAATCTCCAGTATCATGAGACAACATACATAATAACCAGCGATCCTGATCCAAACATATATGGGAGTCGCCTACCGAAAGCACGCCAAAGTATGACTTGTTCCACGGGTTCAATAGTTTCAAACAAGTACGACACTCACGTTTCACGCAGCAACTGCGGCTAACACACGTACAGCTCTCTTTATTAGAACCGTCAGAAAAACTGGACTCCTGCAGAGACAAATGCAATGCGCGCCACTCAGAAGGAGGCCAATATGCTGTGCCTAAAGCCGGACAGGAACCACTGGAATCCTGTAGGCAATTCCCGCTAGATTCCCACCAATTAGGCGTGCCATCAACGGCGGTACCTTCCTCATTAGTGTCCGCTTCCACGGTGTAACCGCTCGGAACGGTGCCATACAGCTTGTACACGCGATCGCTGCTCAATGCATTGAGCAGGATTTTGCAGCCTTTTGCTGCGGTTGACAAGAGCTTCCCGAATATCGAGTGATCCTTTACGTCCACAGCACCCAACTGGTACTGGAACTCGTACAAAAGGCTGTTCGCAGCCAACATAAACACTCTACCAGAGGCACGATGACAGATGACATCACGAATATCGTGCCCAATGTTGCGTTCTCGGAACAAGACACCAAGGCGGAAATCTCCAGAAGATTCGTGAACCATAGCGATAATGAACTCTGAAGACGTCACGATCAGAAGAGCCGGGCCACTGTAAAGTGATGCAAGGTACTCCCTGCCAAGTTTACTTGCAGCGTCTGCATTATTTTCGTCCAAATCAAAAGCTGAAGCGTAGCGTTCCAGCTCAAAATCTCGGAGGTGAACTGCCTTCACAGCTTGCAGACGAGACGGTAGACGGAAGTGCGACACCTTCTGGCCTCCACGTAGCTTGTGCAATGACATCACGTGTACGCTCTCGCCGTTAATGGGGGATTGATCGTAACGACATAATAGTCCCAGTTCAGATATCACGTGCATATGTCCACCACGTTCACATAACAGATCCGGTAGACCTACTGCAGAGTGCATTGGGCATATGGCCTCGACGTGCTCAAAGGCGCTAATCCCATTATGCGAACTTTTGGCGTTAGCTGAAGGCGTCGTAACCGGACCCTTAACCTGAGATTGGCGTTGGAAGTGACCGGGTCTTAACTTCCAATCATCACACGAATCTTCAGCCACGGAAGAATGGTTAGTGGTGGCGGCTGGAAGCACGTCACCAGGACCAGAACTTCCGGGGTTAGGATATTGTACATTTGAACCAGAGTTATCCGCAAAGGACAGTCCCATTGGTGGCGCAGAATCACTAAACGAATGGAAGGAATCACTACGCGTACCTTCGGCATTCGGAACGTAAGGACTGCTCAAGGGATCCTCGCGGGCGGTAAAGAACTCACCGCTACCATATGGTTGCAGATAAGACACATTTGTAGATGCGCGGCGAAACGTTCCAAACGAAATGTCAACGCCAGTGCCCGCAGCCGGGCCACGGGGCCCTGCGGGTTGAGACTGGCGAATATTCCACTCAACATATACATGTAAAGGGCACCCACAGTTTTCTTTGAGCTTTGAAACCAATGTAGAGTTCCTAATATATATGGGTTGCACGCAAAATTCTGGAACCAAAGCGCTATTCAAACGAGATAACCGAGCCTCGTAAAGAACTCGGTGGAATTCGAACTCCGAAGTACACTCGCGCTGAGAATAACGAAGCGACTCGTAACGCATAGCACTCTCCCTGTTCAGTAATAAACACGAAAGACGGTCCAGTACATCCAGCTTAGCCAGTGCAGTCACGTGAGTGTTTGAAGAAAGCCAGTCACGGTTATGCGACAGCTGAATATTTGCTACTGTTTCTCGAATCTTCTGTGCCTCTACATGTACGTTGTTGGTGTCCACGCGATCAGATGGAACCACACGACTCGATGCGACGTTTTTAAATGCGTTGGCAGCACGTGTACTCAAAGGCTCGGCAAGGAAACTCGACACTGCCGATACGCCTGCACTAAGGCTGCCTGCATGGTGACGCTTCGAATCAGTTCCATCGTCCCACTTGAAAAGCACCTCCTCCGGAACGCGTTTGGGAAGATTACCCTCCATATCCATCTTTGCTAACGTCGACGACGACGCGCCGAAACTCAATGGACCATGAACCGGGTGGCAGCCCACGCGAGTTGCAATTGATAGAATGAATTTTTACATAGCATGCCCGCAAGCGTAGAACCCCGCTTACATGGGCAACATCAGGCGAAGACTCGCGCAAACAGCACGACGAACCAACACATCGTGAGGTAGGGAACCCCGACATGCGCCTCTTATTAGGAATAACACTCACACATCAACAAGGATATCGAACCGCATAAATTTCGGCTCTAATTATGTAGTCTGACCTGTGTTACACATTAGCGGTATATGCAACTACTAGGCTTCTATGTGCAAGCAAACCGTCACAACCCAACGTAATTATATAGAAAGGATATTTAATTCTAACGCTCCGCTTTCTTCGTTAGTAATATTGTGACCTGCGGGGGGAAGTGGCTCCGCAGCTACGGTGGAAAATCGACCACGGTAAAAGTAAAGCACACCACAACTAATCTTTTCAAACGAAACACTTGTTAATACATTGGCAGAATTTAGCGAAACGAAATGCAAATAATCTTGATTCGAAATCGAGGATATTAAACTCGATGGATGAAGGCCTTCTACATGAAGGAGGCCTCTGCGCGGAAAACACGTTTGTGATGTTGTAATAACGCTAAAGCGCGCAGCATACAAAGTACAAGTGGTAATAGAAGACAGACGAATTCAAAGAACCTCCGATAGAATATAAATATGGAGCTTACGAGGGCGAAACCCAGACAATATGTGGAATTCCGTATCCCTTTGGGTAAGTTTTATTCGTTGCGAGGTGTTTCTTAAGTGGTAGTTAAGGTTGTGAGGCACACCGTAAGGTGTTCTACGCAATGTTGGCCGAAACTAATAAAAATGTGCAGCGGAATCACAGAAGGGCCAGACGGAGATGGGTCAATATGTAGAACAACTAAAAGGATTCGCCCAATCTGTATTGCTTGGCCAGTCTTGTCTGGGATATAATAAACTGCTGATTATGGGTTACATCCAGGAGGCCATACGTTGTAAACAAGCACCCGAACTCAGCGCACAGCTTGATCAACACCTCAAGACAACAATAGAATCGATGTTTAACAACGTGAACGAGGAGAATGCTGCGTTAGAATCTCAAGGTGTCGAAAATGAACATAGAAATGAACAGATATTGAACCGGATAGAACTCTGTTGGTGCCACCTCAGAGCGGCACTCAGCGATCTCATACAAGTATGCTCCCAGCTGGAATCTGCGGCACCAGGGGGATTCTCCATATGGTGAGACTGCCCGTTATATATATAATAACTCGACACAGGAAGGATGCCATGCAATATTTCAAGGAAAATCTCGAAGCTGGACATAGAATGAAGGACCGCCTCATGGTAGCTATGCTCGACAAAATTGCACTATACCGCAACGGAGGCGAAGTGACATTTTGCCAGCTGAGAAATATTGTGGAAATGTTTACGTTTGTCAATAGCTATGACACGTTCGAGGAGAAGGTTATTGCAGAAACACGTGACCACTACCGGCGACTGGCGGAAGAGGTTTTATCACGAAACCCAGTCACGCAAGCTTACTCTATATTTCGGGAAAAGATACAACATGAGGTAGTTATAAACGTATTGTAGATGACATCATGCAGGAGGAATGCTGTAGTAAATACCTTATAAAATCAACGGTGCAAAAGGTTCTAGACACGCTCAAGGTGCAGGTGCTACAATTAAACGCAGAGAAACTCATGAAACCAACGGACCTGAAGAATATCATCAATTCCGATGATATTCAGTCTATGAAGGTTCTGCTTGCACTTTATGCAGACACGGAGTGGATCTCCCTCCTACATGATGCCATCTTCGACGCGGCACAGAGAATCGGAGACGATATCACAGGGGAATTCTTGTCTCTCGTTCAGGGCGCGGGAGCGGCCAACGCACCAGAACAATGTTTCGATTACATCAGAAAGCTTCATGGATTCAAGATGCATCTTGACGCGACTGTCAAGAACACACTGCCGCCAAATGTTGACTTCAAAGCAAAGGAACATAATCTCTGGCAAAGGATCATAAATGCAAATGATAGAACTATAGAAGCAACTACTGTGGCGCTAGCTGCATATGCAGATGGCGCACCAAATACAACTAATGTTCAGTCTTTTATCGAAGAGGACTGCGGGATAACATTTATAATGCGACTCTTCCGAGCGATAGTAAACAAATCGAAGTTCGAGATCTTATTCAGGTCCATGATCTCAACAAGGTTGCTGTATGAGCATCATCTAAGCCAAGCGCATGAACAGATCGTCATCAAACTTAGGGAAGAATGTGGCGCCGCATATGTATCTAAGTTAGAGGTTATTATAAGCGATTACAAGGGCTCATCCAAGGTCGCAACGGAATTTCCTGCCTACAGGGAAGAATATATAACGCAACAAGTGGAACCAAACTTTGATTTCTCTGCGCTAGTGGTATCCAAGGAGACAAGCATAAGGAACGCAAAACGCGCCCACCCAGAGACAGAAGACGACGCACAAGAATGGGAGGATGTTTCGGCACAAAACTGTACAACAAGTCCGATGGCTGAAGTACAGCTGCAAGTCGCGCAGCGCCTCCAGACGGAATTTGCTGAGTTCTACTCTTCCAGACACAAAAACAGGTCCGTGACTTATTTACCTGATTTGGGATCGGCACTAGTAGAAATGGAGATAAAAGGGGTATGTAGAAATATATGGGTGATATAAATGATACTTAGGAGAGTTACGAGCTCAAATTGTCAATATGCCAGGTGGGTACAAGGAGCATTGACACCAATATAACACAGGCGTACTGTCTACTCTCGCTTAACACCAAGGAAACGATTTCATTGTCCGATCTACGGGAAGTCATGGGAGAGGAGTATAACGAAATCAGGATGCGCAAACACATGGCGCCACTAAATGCAGGTGAAAATCCAGTCGTCACCTTCATCAAGCCAGGTCTCACATTCGAAAACTGTACAGAGGAAGATTCGTTCGAACTTAATCCGAACTTCGTCCCAGAGGCCAAGCTGTGTGATGTGCAGTTCAAAGACCAAATCTTGGAACAACTTACTGTAACGGAAAACGCAAACGCAATCACAGAGGACATCACTCCCATTATAGAAGCCACGATAGTGAGGCATCTTAAGAGCAACCTCGTAGACAAGTCGTCTAATGTATTCAAAGTGTGCGTCGCGAAACACAGCTCACTGGACAGGTTCGAGTTCAACAAGATACTCGATTCGCTCGCCGAGAGAGACTTTGTGAAGGTAGACACACAAGCGGATACCATCACATATGTCCCGTGAAACAAAAGTACAAAACGTATAACGCTGTCCATAAATAAAAAGATTTATGCGGAGTCCTCCCATGTCGTAGGGGTAGGGAAGCAACGTACGGGCATGTATTGTTGCCGTATGTGACGCTGAAGATTGCCTACATATTTCATCGCAATTGTAGGCTCGGGGGAAGTCGCAATGATCTCCAACAGCTTGCTGCGATCCTCACAAAGGCTTCGACGCATATTGTCCAGACTGTTAATGCGCTTGGAGCGAGTTAACACGACATCAGGGCGCGATATTTTTAACAAATACCAGCCCAACTGAACCTCGAGCGGCATTTTTGTCAGTTTAACGAGTTCGAGAACGTCAACAGGCTCGTTAAACCGGGACAGGAGTACGCTTTTTGTGGTTCGTGGAGCAGCAGCTATGTGGAATTGTGCCGGCTTTCTGTAAATCGGAGGGATCGGCATTGTAAATCTGCAACCCGCTGTGCAAAGGTTCAACCCTAATGCATCAGATGGGTGTGCCAAATGGACAGGAATGGCAGGCATAGCTTCGACGTGAGCAGGAATTACAGAAGTCGACAGTCCAAACAGCTCTTCTATCTGGGCATCGTGTTCGCGCTTTATAAGCTGCCAATCACGCTTCACGTAGATGTAACAACATCGCCGCTCACCGCTCTTGTACATTTGACACGGCACACGTGATGCCAAAAAACAGTTGCTCAACTCGTAATGTTCAATCAAATCGCCGTTAAACGAAGCAAAAAGCCATGCCGTACGTGTGTTTATAAACTGCCGTACCATGTTGTTTACAAGTGCTTTCTCCATAGCTACGTCAAACGAATATACGTGAGAAGCGCCGTTGAAGTTGTCAAACGCTGCAATGTCCTCGTTGCAAAAACCCACACCCAAAGTCGACGGAAGCGTGGAAAAGCGATGAAGTGCACGATAATATTCACACCCGTCATCACTGTTGCTCCTTGAGGAAGTTAAAGCCACCGGAGTTGCGCACGTATCATCCGCGTACATTGAGTAGCTCTGGTACTGCGTAGTGACGCTGTCAGATTGTGTAGTCTGTTTTGATGCGGGGCTGGAGTTACAACTATAACCATTTAGCATAGATAATCGTTTTGTCACTGGCGTTTTCAACGACGTATCCGTATCGCATATTCCTACCGGGCACTCTTTCTCTCCAACGGGAGTGAAAGGCCTGATGTCTAAGTTCTGACCAAAACCGGTGACCTCGCAAATAAGGCGAGATACGTCCACCTTTAGGTAGTGCACAAGATTGTGAACAGATGACGCATAGCCCACTGGGCACAGCTCGATACCAATGGAAGCAAAGACCTGGACACGGTGAGAGAACAAAAAGTTAGGCGCACCGCGCCCACTCCCGAGATCCAAAATCACACTGCGATTATCCAAACCGAAACGCTGCATTTCTGCACAGATCTTGTGAAGACACGATGGGCGGATCTCTCCGTACATGCCATACGTAGACGTGCTGATGTCGTTCACACCGCTCTTGAAAAGGTAACTTAGACCTTCGTCACGAATACCAATACCTCGACTCAGATCATAGTAGAGACGACGAAACTGAGACTGGGCTAGCTGACGGTAATCGGACAACCCGTCCGGGCAAGGCCTGGGCGGGCTGCAGTCGTTGCCGGACCCACAGTTGCGACGTTGTAGCAAATTAGGCAAGGCGTCCATGCTGGTAGACTGGTAGCGGTTCACATGCCCGGAAATCAGGTCCAGTGTTTCTCCAGGCGAATCGACATTGCGGTAGTCAGCCGAACGGTTACTCCGAACTAACTGTCGTCGTTTAGCCATGTTAAACATCCTTCGAGGTGTACCTTCAATGTCTGCGGCCAAATCCGCGTCATCTTGTTGATGGGAGAACCCCCTTTTCGCACAAAAAGCAGCACCATACACAGAAGGATCCATTGTGAATAATCTGCCTGTGAAGAAGAAAATGATGAGGTGTCTTCCAATACTTTTTAGATAAATATGAAGAGCGGCTACGAGCAAAGGGTACGTCCAAATGTAATGTAGCGGCGGATACGAGGCACCAGTTGAATAATCACAAAACGAGGAAAGAGCCACGACGTGTCCACCGCGGTGATATCAGCGCACAAACCAGTGATAACTGCACAAATTGTTACCAACATAAATTGAACTTTAAATAACCAATGATCAGCGTAAAACAACTAGACTCTTAGCCAATTAGCAATAGCTAAGTATCACCGTGTAAAGCGAAGGTAGATCAGTGAAAAAGTCCCCGGCGACAATTTCTACTGATAGCCGCAACAGCGGCCACGCGAGCTCAGATACCAAACGCCATACATTAATTTTTCATACGCTGATGATACCGTACACACGAGCGACAACTGGCGACCCACTAGCCATAGAGATCTTCCCTTCTGCGGCGTAGTCACGGGATGAACAACTCCTGTGGGTAGAATCTTAGCGATATCGTGTATGTATCAAAAATAGAATTAAAATTATGCTATATTAAACGCTGTTGTGGAATATTACGCAGTGTAGAAACATTTATGGCGCATGCGACCGTAATCGCTACGCATCAACTGAGGCTGCCACGCGGGCTCGACACAGCAACAGATATTAGCCAACAGTGAGCTCGATTTTTTAGGAATCCTTCTCAAGGGGAAAGTGGATATATAAATATCTAGGCGACCCCCGGCCTTCCAATCCAAGGTCTACCGTGGTCCCGCGAGACAAAGAGAATGAAACTGCCTAACACTCTTTACACATTAAATAATGTTTAAAGCTGATGTTGTGATAGAAGACAATCTAATACGTGCCGATCTGTCATGAACAAGTGACATACGATGCGCCGAGCAGGACGTCACGTGACTCTACCTATAAAAGGACTTTCCATAGAACGATATAAATGTGCTAATAAATCGTTCTGGACAAGATGTGCAAGATCACTGTGGAAGAACACCGGAGGAGCTCTAGGAATAAATCCGAAGAGAACCATGACATGACACTTGACGCCTACTCAAGTGCCCACAAATCATCGGAACGACGCAGTTATCGTCGCCGAAGTAGCTCAACGAATACAGACTCTTATGAGAAGTCAAAAAAGGCTTCTTATGACTCAGTAACCCGGGAAGACAGACATCACGACTCTACACGGCGAGCAAAACGCAGCAACAGGCAACGAGATGATGATGATGATGATGATGATGATGATGATAGGCATGATGGACGAAAGAAAGAGGCGCAATATAGAAGCGAGAGGCATTTAAAGGAAAGGGAGAGAAGTAGAGAACGCGTGAGGTATTCTAGCATAGAGAGTAGAGGACATTCATATGATCGTCATGGAGATCGGAGCGGGGACCACAGAAAACGTCCTAGCATAGAGTATCGGGGAGATCCGCATCATCGGCGCAGCTACAAGAGGAGGAATCGCAGGACTGATGGTGGCGCCGACGAAAGTAAAGAGGTAAATGGCTCTGAAGCCGTCACACACCGAAGTACGAACGCCGTGGATCGCACTGTTGGAGCTGTAAACATGCAATCGGGAGCAGGCACAACTACGTTGCTAAAAAGGACGATTGGAGAAAGGACAGATGTTAGCCTTGACATACTCAATCACGAGTTTCGAGAACTCAATTATGCCAAGGCCTACGGCATAGATATCACAGGGTTCGTCGGAGTCCAAGCAGACATACTCAAAGTAGAAACACAGGGAGAAACAAAACCTATGTCAAACTACCAACGTAGACAGCTGCGTAAGGAGGAGATATTGAAACATCCTGACAGATTCTGGAAGTGTAACAGATGCGGGTATATGAACTACCTCTCCAACTATGAGTGCACGGGCTGCCAACAGCTCAGAAACGCAAATCGATAGTGAGATAAATGGAACTTAGTTTTATTCTTAGAACATTAATGTAGTGAAACATGATTATGTGGAATCAATATGATACACAAGGTTGTACTTGAATGTTGCCTGATCTTAGTCAAACACCGTCAAATTAGTCTAGTGTCTAGCGCAAGCAAACTGTCTGATATCAATGTGGCGATAAAGATAAGATCGCGTGTAGATCATCATATTTTTGAAAAACAATCGACGTCACAGTGGTTGATGTGGCCGATAGCCAAACAGTAGTTCCACATGAGTCCACCTAGTTGAAAAATCTGTGGACTATCAAGGGTATCAAAAGGTAGCGGTGTGACATCACAAGCGCGCTAAGCGATAACCATGAGCTGAACGTTATAAGAAAACTCATCGGCAGCTGCAAAGTTTTGACTACGTAGAAACCGAAATTACCATAAATGATTCGTCCTTGTAGTAAGATTCAGAATGAATCAACTTGTTTTGGAGAACAAATACAGCTTGGTATATCAGTACACCTCGAGTTGTTTTTAATCCGTCCATCAATGCCTGAATAGCCCATTTATCGGGAACTGTGGGATGGAGGCATGTAACACAGAGTTAAAATGGAAACATTACTTTATTAAAACCGAAACGAATGTAATACCTTACATATGCACGTGTACCACCCTGACATGTTATGTAACGATTATCTTCGCCAAATTGCAAGCACGATGCCAAAAGGCAGATAAGTAAAAACGAACCATTTGGAATTTGGATCCGCGGTCACCGCCCGGAACTTTACCCGAAAGCATACTTCTTAAGAAAGCGTACGCATATGAGACTTCAACTGCCGATAGAATCGGGTGGAATCCCTCAAAATCCATTTTACTTGTGGACAATGGAGAAAGGACCATACCTGCGAATGTTATACAGAAATAAACATTAGTATCTAACCTAAACCCTTAATGGCCTTGTTTATCATATCTATGGATGCTGCATTGTGCATTGCGGTAACATGTGTATCGCTTAAAAGCTGCGCAAAATGATGATATGTTGATGACAACTTACAGCAGACAACCACGATTCGTCCGATCTCGTCGAATAAAGGTAGCACAAGACCAAATCTTGCAGCTTTTTTCCTTCTTCCTGGATCAACGAACATGATTCAAAAGTCTCGAACTCTTTCTTAGCCAGAGTAACACAGTTTTGCTCGTTCTGTTAGTTTTAACTCTATAGGTAAATGAAGCTAACCTCCAAAAACAAACGTAAAACCTTCGATATCTTCTCTTTTGCACGTTGCGATGGATAAATTTTTGCAAGCTTGATGAGATGAACCAAGTCCTCGTAGTCTAACGTGCGATCCTGATAACTATGCGACAGCAGTCCAAGCAACATACCTCCTTTGGCACAGCATGGAGATAATTCTCCAAGCAGTTTATCTTGACGTTGAACAGCAATTCAGGTTCATTGCGATCCGCATCATCAGAGGTAGACTCGTTCGAGGGTATCTCCTTTGGTTGAAGTATGTCCTTCAGCACAGGGCGAAAAGCATTGAGGTCAGCGAAAATACTACGGGCACATACGGGGTTCCTCAGAACCTTGTTCAGACCTATTGTCACATCACTTTTACATTTTCAAAACATACACAAATAAGCCATAAGGCGACTGCGAAAGTCTGAGGTTCCAGCAGTTATCTTTTCAAATTCAGACATCCATCCTCCACGTGCGAATATCGGCAGCACATAGGGTGAGAAATGCGATAGTATGTCGCCTATGAATAGCTGTACGCATTTTGTAACATATAAATCTGTTATATACCTGTGGAATCGGACCGTCTAGGCGATCGCACTCCGCAGACTTTCCTGAACGGTTACGCATATAGAGCAAACCGCCATTGAGATACAGACAAAAACAGCATCCACCCAATAGTGCAACCTTGGAGCGATTCTCGTTGGTAAAATACTTGCTCAGCAGGGAACGCAGGGATCCCAGACTCTTACGCGACATTGCAACACCGCGAAGTGTATCTGTCACACATCAGGTGCTTTTAGGGCAAATACGAAACCTCACAATGACCAAAACAAAAATATTGCCTGCGGTATACAATATGTACTAAAAATTGATCAGCAGGGGAAGACTATGAGGGGAAGGTCAATTTGGGGGATACAACCTTGCAGCCTTCCAAAGGGGAAAACATATAATAAACCGATTTTTATATATTACTAGACTAACCAAATGCCAATTATGACAGTATTGATCTGGATATGTTAAACATATACTACAACGCTGGGACTAGGAATTTTTCTAGTCTACAACGGGTGCTGACAAAGGCCATAGAGGCAAAATTTAACGATATTCCGTTCCACATTAACCGTACAGGTGAGTCTGAATCCGATATTTGAGAACTAACTGAGCTGTAGCCTCCGGGAACCTGGCAGTGTTTGTGAAATATACAAACAACGGAAACCTGGCATACACTTATGTACAAAAGGTAAAGGGAAACAAGAGGATACTCAAACAGGAACTTCAAGTACTGGTTGGCAAAAATCGAATTATGGACACCGGAAATGCACTCGTAATACAGGGGAACTTCAAAAACCAGATAGTGAAGTACCTAAAGAGCATTGGTTTTTAGAGATGGCAACGATATTTTCGAAGATTATTGAGGTTTGTTGCATCCATGCAAATGATATGTTATGCAGGGAAATGGATACCTATACTTTAGTTTCATAGTTTGCTTGTGTTCAATGGGACTCATGTGCTTATCCTGGTTTATGTACGGAGAACTCATCACCACTTTCTACCATACTCACATCTCAGAGAATTTTGGGGAAGACGATAAGACAGATTGATGTGGGCAAGGGCCTGCTGTATGCATACCATAATATGAAATCCAAGCGCAAATACAGATATCGACAATATCCGATAGTGAAGGTGGATCGGTGTACAACGTACACTGACTTATAAGATGATAAAGGCGCTACTAAATTAAACGGAGAGCTGCTGGATCGCAAAACTACCATGCGTACGTCATCCGCCATAATAGCAGTCTTGAGAAACACCTGAGCAGCACACTCGTTAACCAACATAAATTGCAGGAAATGGCTAAATATGTAATCAGGGTGACTAACTCGTTACAGTTGTTGCAGCTGACAAAAATCGTGAGGGGCAAGAGCGGTGGCGGTAACGGAACGATTCTGAATGCACCTCGCTTTAGGAAAAGAGTCAACAGTTGTAATATCTTTTCCGCACCATATCATGGGCGTGCTGCGTCAAGCTTCACCGTTCCCAACTGTAGAATATACCGGAGGGTACCACTAGAGAACCAGCCACGAATATGCATATACAACGCCAGAATTACACCTGAAGTGACTATACTGTGTGACGGTGCGTTGAATCACAGAATTGCGTATTACGACACGAAGAGTGAGCCGTCCATCTCAATGTATATAGGGACTCCGCATGGTTTCTATTTCTTAAGGCGAAGAGCGCGATGGCTAAACCACAAACTTGCATTAGGACCAGCAACGACTCATTTCCTAACTGCGCTGGTCGGACCTGCTGTAAACAAGGTCGTTTACAACGATGCAGTGGACCTTGCATGTTTCATTAAATACAACCTTGACCTCGATTTATGCAATGTGCTTGATCTCAGCTATATGTACACCACACAATGCAATGCACGCTTTACGACGACGAGCCTTGCGATGCTTCGAGAACTGCAGAACATAAAATCTGTGAAACAGTATGGTATCATAAATCGCACTTCCACGCGTCGATTTGTAAGGTCGCACAGCCTGGCAATCCGACACCTGAGTCTCGCCAACGACCTACTGGAATACCTATTGCAAAAACAAGGACATCCCGAAAACTCGTGGAAAGAGCGCATTCAATATATGATAAGAAGTTTCACATCGCAGCCAACAAGGCGTTTTCATATGCAAGCGGCGTTAGGAGTAGTTGGACCCGGCAAGCTCACGCCGTCCGCATTCAAGGGACACCTAGAGGCAACCATCGAGAGAGTAATTGGTAAACGCACAACAGTGCTTGACATTTCAGATGAAGAGGTGATAGCAGGCATAGTGAAATCAAAGTCGTTTGTCGAGCAAACCGCCCTGCTGATCACGAATGTGTTTGTGTTGTCGAACCTGCATGATACGGTCAAACCACTTTACGCAATGGTGCCCCCCGAGTCATTCAACCAATTTGCTGACATACAAGCAGGAGATGCGGTAGATATTGTTCCCGCACGGAACGAAAAAGGGGTAGTTGAGTTGTTTAATTTTTACGATAAGTTCTGCTGCAAAGTCGAGCGCCAGCATGGCAACACGCTATTCTACGACGTGAGGACTAAGAGATTGGTGCCGAAGTTCACTCCTCGTCACTGAATAACTCGCTGCCCCAACTCCACCCCTGATCGTGGTCATTGTCTTCCGCGAAGGGAGAGTGGCTACTCGAATCTAATATCAAGTTAATCATGTCATACGTACACACATACCGTCCAAAGTGTTCATGTTTCCAGAATCCACATCGTTGTTGTGGTTAGTGAAATCGCTTATGTTGATTGTACGCGGTCCGAAAATTGAATCAACCATACGCTGTGCAAAAGACCAGCCAATGCCGTGAAGCACTCCGTCCTTTATAACATCCAAAAATCCCGGCTTGCGTGGCGGCTGAGCCTGTGTCAGCTGTAACTCCTTAAGCTTCTGCCTGAGCAGCAAGTTCTCCTGGGCAGTCATCTGGGTAGGTGTGGAGCGCCGTGCCCTTCGCCCGCTGAAATAGCGGCCATTGACGCGCACATACATGGACATGCGCGCTAAAAGCGCGGTATTTTGTAACCCAGGAACCATAATAACTTAGATATCTCGCAAAACAGAGTGGTGACGCGCGGCGGGAAACACCCGCCCTGAGCTAAAATGTCATACCAAAAAATATCTTGATAGTGTTATATTTACTATATTTTTCATATAACCGCTACTGCTTGCCGCTGGAGCCCAAGAATGAACGTATGTGGAGCGTTGTCTGTCCAGGGGCACGGTGGCTCCGCTATATGATGTTAGGATGCCAGCTGATCGCTTTATCGCGATTCCTGAGACTTCTACGCGCTCAGAGATGTTGCTACGGATACATAGCGCAAAGGTACGCTCTACATCGTAACATGGCGGCACCCAGCGTTTCCAAAAGGTTCGCTGTGGGCACGGGCAGCCTTCTGCCGCAAAAGAAACATATTACGACAACAGCAGCAAGTAAAGAAGTCATGGAAAAGGAAGATATTACCAAGAGAAAGTTGGACGAATTGTCTAATCAATTTGGCAAAAGGCCAGAGTTTAATAGACTCATGTATAATGACGACAACGTCCTCATGACTCTTAACGTGCAGCTTAAAAATCCGAAGTACAAGGCAAACGTGGACGTATCAATGGAAGGCACGACTGCCATATGCAAGTACGAAGTTGCCGTGGACGGTGGAGAGGTAAGCTGGGAACTGTTGCTTGCTAATACGTACAGACGATTACCGGAACTGCAACGGCGTTGAGCAAGAAGGCCGCACGTAAAAGTGCTGCTAGGTCTATTTTGATGAACTTAGAAAAACCTACAATCGACGAGCTGGAAGAGATCACGAAATGGATGGTTGCTGGGCAAAAAAGCAACATCGGGGCTCGAGAAGAGCATGTGTCTAAAGATTTCGGACCCTCAGGACACGTGGTCACGTTAAGGTGGAGGGTAGGAAACGATTCATTTGATGGTAAAGGAACCTCAAATGCATTGAAACTGGCGGAATTGTACGCCATGCAGGATCTATATTGCCAGACGCAGAAACTAGCGCCACAGCAACATAACATAACACAAGTGCCCTTAAAACCAAAGGATGAAATTGGAAATGAAACGCATACAATCGAAACTTTTTCAAGTAAAGCGGCGAAACAGATACCTATAGCTAACGAACTTTCCAAGGAAGATGCGTGCCAGATGAACGTCATGCGACATGCTGTCGGGACTAAGATGAAAGTCAAACAACAGGAAGACATGGTATCCTCATTTGGAGGGTTCTCGTGTACTTTAACGTGGACATGGACTGATAGCTCTGGTGTGGTGCAGAAAAAAACGGTCACCAAGAAGGGTACTAGCAAGGCGATGGCAAAGGCAGCTGCAAGCAAAGCGATGCTAGTAGAAACGGGGGCTATCGAACCAGTGACCCCGCAAGAAAGCTCCCAAGCAACGAGTATACGTAATTTAATACCAATGGTTGGTAAAATACAGTTACTTGTAATCAAACTGCAGAATATTGCGAAGGCCACACAAATGGCTGTGCCATTTCTCTTAACTACAAATTGTAGTGTATGGAGACTTTTCCTACCCCAACTAATGGAAGCTATCGTACAGAGGTGTGACGAACAATTATTAGAACCCATATTGGATGCCATTGCGCAAGCCGACGTCAAAATGCCGACTGATATATGGGAATCGCTGCTTTCGCTCGCGAGCACAGCGGTAGATGAGGAATTTTGTCGTACCATTCTTTATGGGCTAAAGAATCTGACGCTGGATCCGAGGCATTTCCTCTCCACAAGGGCCCTGGAATACTACAAATCGCAAAGGTAGGTGGAACTTAGGTTGCAGTGCACGCTTATTGTATTATACCTTTTTACCTCTATCAATACCTGCTACAGTTGGTTGTTGTCATTAGAGTTTAATGCGGAAAATTGCTCTAATCTAGCATCGATTCAAGGCAGAGCTGGAAAGGAAGCCATCAGCGTGCTCTGCGAGCTCACCAAATCGCAACTCCCACTCTTGTTTCTCAAGGGGGACATCACGTCGGAGTATCAAAAAAACCCGCTCAAAGAGGATGACATGGTACTGTTGGTACCATACTCTGACAACTATCAATGGGTATGTTGCAGTGCTATCCAATCATCACCCCCAGGGGCAAGGGTTACTCTGTCTACTCTCGAAACACAAGCACGAAAATAGTGTTCTCAGCGTCACGTGCAAAGTTATCAACAGTTTAAAATGGGAATCAACCGACGCTATTTTGAACAACCGAAAGTTTGGAATTTTTCACGTCACTAGCACCATCACTAACAAGAGGATGATGCAAGCGCTCTTGGCGATCACACACCGAGTGTTGCCATTACATGTAGGTGATAAATCGATGCTACTAATGATAGTATCAGGCGGCTTCTAATGGTTATTACTATGATAAGGAGCTTCAGCGGATACTTATCGAGACGGAGGAGGGTTCGATAAAGGAAGGCGACATGAAAAACGTGACCATACGCACAAACATACCTTTGACCGAGGCTCAAGCTGAAGCGTGCAGATGTGCCTTATCCAATCCCATAACTCTAATACAAGGACCACCGGGAACGGGGAAAACACAGGTGGCATGTGCAATCATCGATTGCTGGAGGAGGCTTTCGCGTGAAAAAATACTGGCCGTAGCCGACTCGAATGTAGCTGCAGATAATCTCATCGAAGGTCTGGCACAACGCGGAATAAAAGCTTTGAGGATCGGATTCGGGTCTGAGTCGCTACTACAGGAAGAGTCGCTGAAGGACCTTAGCAGATACGAGCGATATAGATCTCTAAGGGCAGCGGGGCTGCATAAAGAGGCCAACTCAATGCGTATGCTTATGATTGTTGAAGCTGTGAAGCAGCACCAGGTGATCATAGCCACGTGTGTCGGTAGCGGTAATGACATTTTAGCCGGATGCTCGTTCCCATATGTGATCATAGATGAGTGCGCACAATCGATAGAGGCTAGCAATCTGATACCCATTGGAAAAGGTTGTGAACAACTGGTCCTTATAGGAGACCACAAGCAGCTGAGACCTACTATCATATCTACCGAAGCAGCGAGTCAGGGGCTGTCCATCTCGCTATTGGAGCGTCTGGTTTCCGCCAGAGTGGCACCGGTCCATCTCCTAGATGTTCAGAGACGCATGCACCCATCAATATCGGAATTTCCGAACAGACACTTTTACAGAGGACTTGTGAGAGATGCGATCGATGAGGATAGCAGGAAACCAGTAAGGGGGTTCCGGTGGCCGAGCAAAGGTTACAATGTGGCATTTGTTGATGCAAGTGCTGGAGCTCCAAATGGCCACTTCGAAACCGTCGTTGGCACGTCGAAGTCCAATGCGCTGTAAGTTTAACTAGAAGGACTTAATGTGTGCTCAGCGAGGTTGATATCCTCCTAATCATTCTGAAATCGATCATAGAAGCGCAAGACGTGAAGGAGTCACAGGTGTGTTTATACAGGGTCTTTAACAATTATAATCAGATTGGTATTCTTACGCCTTATGACGCACAAAAATGGCAGTTAAGGCGTAGAGTCAACCAAATGGAGGCGGTCAATGGGCCGATGATAGAAATCGACTCCGTAGACGGATTCCAGGGCAAGGAAAAGGAACTCATACTTTTCTCTGCTGTACGATCAAATTTGCAGAAGGATGTTGGATTTCTCAGAGACCCCCGGAGAATGAACGTCATGTTGACCCGCGCACGAAGAGGATTGATTATTGTGGCAGACAAGTACACAATCATGAATGACAACGCCAACTGGAGACCATATGTAGAATATGTGACGGACAGGTGCATAGACATACATATCTCGGAACTCAACATGTTCCTGGACACAACGTCCCCTCGACTAGAAAGCATAGCAAGGCGAGCGAGGACCGGATCTTACCCCTGACCTTTCATCTCATAATCTATAGAGAACTCGAAATGGGACGTTTTCCGGCGGTTTGCTTTGGGCAGATTGGTGTGACATGTCTCAGCTGAGGTGTGACATCTGTGAGCAACGCTGGCGACAAGTTGATCGCAAAGGGTAGACTTATCAACTCAAAACACCCATACGCCTCTGCTTAACCGCTAATAATGTGTAAACATGTGTTGTTTTTGGTGTTCAGCTTCTACCGAGCTCCCAGCCCGTGGGCCGTGCATATTATTATACAGCTTTCTCAAGCATCACGTAAAACTAAGCAGAGTCGTGCTTTAAGCAGAGAGAGACAGCCTAGGTGGCGAGAGATATAACGGGCTGGACCTTGCCTGGCTTATGGGTAGCCATCCAATGGCCGCTGCGTCACATTTTATAAAAGTGCACCGGACACAGAGTCGACATATATCGTGGTCCAACGTGAACTATATAAATATAGTGTCATAATTAACAGTCGAAATTTTACGTAAACTGAATATTAACGCCTGGATGCACCAGTGAAGTGGCTGCGGGACTCTACCACCTGCAAGCCGAAACCTGTGTTTTGAAGGCTATTTAAAGAGCTTTGCCGAGTCTTGTGGTCTGAAGCTTAATGAAAGGTGTTTAAAATGGAGAATCTGGAGTTTATTCGCCTGATGACGAGTGGCTACTTCGTGGCAGGGCTGATATTGACCGTTTCCATCCAGCTGTTCTTTCGCAACCGATTTCAAGGGAAGGAACGCAAAGAATTTTATATGTGAGTGCTCTGCGCAGAAATTTGTCACAATGTGCAGACTCGTATTACTGCTGGTGCCCATGGGCACTTTCTGCCTCTGGTTAATGTAAGTTGCCTATACGACGTATACTGTGTCGCGTGAATAGTACACACTATGATGTAACGTTAATAAGTGACACAATTCTGCAGGTGGTTCTGTATGTATGCGGCTCAAATGAATCCAATGATATCGCCTATCAAACACATCCACGAGCACGCCCCTGAAGCGGCCAAAGCAGCTGCGGCGGCCACTTAAAGTCCTAGTTTAATGATTGAACCATTCTATCTTGACGTACTATCCCATAATGTGACATATATAGACCGTTGTCAAAGGTGTAGATGGCGCGGGATGCGCCTCCGCACCGGAAGGCATATCGGCGCGACAGCGGTGATCGGCCAGGGTGTAGAACGCTGTGAAAAAGGTGGGCAGGTAGAAGCAGAATCACTGTTACTCAAACGTCGACGAGCGCCGCTCACGACAAGTTAGGATGACGCCACCCCCACACACGGGATTCTGAGATAGACCGCTTAAATAGATACACTCACATGGCTAACAATATGGCGCATCGCGAAGCAAATACGCCGAAGGAAAACAAGCCAACGGCACCCGGTGAAATACGGGTCACCAGCCACGGACTCGTCTACGGCTATGTCAACTATGCCAAGAAACTCCTCGATGGCGGAGAACCCGTTGTCACACTCCGAGGCACTGGTAGAGCTATGACTAATGTAGTAGAAACCGCTGAGATACTGAGGCGTGCGTACAGAGGAATGCATCAACTCACGACCCTGGACACACAGGACAATATGTAAGTGGACTTACAATGTATTAATCGAGGACACAATGTCCAAATATATAAGTGTATGAGGGAAATTTGTTAGCTGTCATAATACAGTGGTGGTTGCAGCACAAATACCGCGTCGCCTCGGTGTCACAGTTTTATACTTAACCGTTTATGTGTGGCTGTGAATTCGTTTGCATTGTGGAAATGCTAGTTGTGAATGACACTTACGTTATGTAGGGCTGAGAGTCGTGAAGAGGAAGGCAAGGAATCACGCCGCCCCGTCTGCTTCTTGTCGATCAGTTTGACCATGGATCCCCAGAAGATAGACACCTCAGCTCCGGGATACCAAAAGCCTCTTACCGATGAACAACTGAAGGAAGTCGATGTAGAAAAACTTATCCAAGCCCTTAAGACTACCGGTATCAGGAGGAAAACGGCCTGGCCCAGGAAACACGGAAACCAGGCATCGAATGCGGACAACGGGAACAAAAAGTAACAATCCTTAAATATATATCATAGATAGAGTGATAATGTCTCTGTGTTGGAGCCTCCGCATAGGCCTGTTTGCCCTCAACATAGGGCGGGGTACTGTGGTATGATGATGTTCGGACGAGCTGCGTTATGACAGGTATACCGTGATTGTCTCTCTTTATGCGTGCTAGTTAGCCGCCATTGCGTCGTTTGCTTTTCTGCTGTTGCTCAGTCAGATAACTTCTTACCTTGATTGTTACATCTCCTGCAACTTAAGAATACCAGTACTAAACCATGTGTTATATTGCGACCTACTGATAAAAGTCATTGTATCACATCTAAGCGTAATGTATGTAATAAATTGCCATTACAGCTGATAAGTATGTGATACTATAATTATTATTGTGCTCTACATAAGCTCGCCGAGAACCACCAATGAAAACAGTTCACATCATCACTAATAATTAAGCACATATTCATCTCTCATAAGTGCTATGATCTAGTCTATTCCAAACCCACCAGTTGAGGTCATCATATGTCAGTTATGTTGTCAAGTGTAACTGTGCAATGACACATGGTCGGAACTACACCAGGTATCCATGAACTCCACTCTCTAATCATTCCTTGCTATAGAACACCATTGCTACATCTAACCAACACAACTCTTAGTGATGCTAACATCCTTCAAAGTATCGATTATTTAATCTACACCACAATTTTGGTACCATTACCACCCATCTCGGGGGGAGTATTTATCCGGGTTGTCAAATAACAAAAATCAAATATAGTATCACTAAGATGATAAACAATCAAATTCTACAATAATATAGTGTACAACTGTTCTATTAAAATTTTTCTTGGTGAGGTTGGTAGAACACTTCACAGACATCTCCACCAACATACTTATGTCCATATATTAACAATAAAAGATAATAGAACAGCTTGAGACTTCAATAGCTGATGACTAGTGTAGTGTTGATTTTTGTAGTATACAATGAAAGTGATTTTTAATGGTACCCTCTTACCTCGGTCTCTTCAGCTTCTTCAATTTCAAAAATTGCAAACCATTTTCGGGCTATAAACAATATC